CCCAGTAAAACTTCAGATATCTGCTAATACTAATGAGGTGGTGAAGGACAATCCTCAATTTATGCATTCCAGCACTTGTGAATGGGAATCCACACAGTAGTAGAGCAGCTCACAGTTGCTGTTGCAGCTCCTGTCCTTGAACTGTATCTGGCTGGCCTGGTCCCCTCTTGAACCCAGGGAAGCCACCCACACTGCTAGATATACACAGAAATGAAGAATAACCCTCCCCTCATACAAATAATACGGACAGCCCACACACAAACATACACACAATTCACTTAAATGCAACACCACTAACAATCCACATACATGCACACAACCCCACATGCAGCCTCTCACATGCAATATCCCAAACAGCCCCCACACACTACCAAACACACAATTTGACATATCCATCCACACACACAATTCCACAAGCAGCCCCCAAACACAGCCCGCATTCATATGTATCATACACAATACCATAAACTACACATGAACATATACAATCTAATAGCGCAAATACGCACAAATGCAATGATACAAAGCAATTACAGTAAAAATAACACAAGCAGAATAAGGCAGCAAACACACTTCAAGTTTAAAAAAATAGGACCGGCACGCTACAGGACATCACAATCCTATATCAGCACAGTGCTGCTAAAAGGTTGCCTACCCCTGCATTAGAGTATTAACATACTTTACTTTAATGATATTGACCCTATTCTCCAAACCATTTGATGGTACAATACCAGCCTATAAATCTCCTCAGACCTAATTCAGGCAATAGTACACACATTATCTATATCTATCTTTTTTATGTACAGCCAGTATCTGAATGCTTGACCTGTGAAAGTCAAGCTCATGAGCTCTCAGAACTGGAGCGTACAAAAAGTAAAACATCAAACAAACAAAACCAAAAAAACAACAGTAATACAGTATAATCTTATAGGAGTAAACCTATAGACATCTCCATCATTTCTGATAATAAATGTGATATAATAAATTTGAAATTTGAAAATAGATCTGGAAGATAAATCTAAATCTGAATTTGAATCTAAATTTAAATTCAAATTCATCCCAACTTTCTACAAAAGTTAAATTTTAATTAGAATTTTTGATTTTATTTAAATTCCATTTAAATTTTACCTTTTGTGGGCTTTATATATGGGTCACAAATATGGGATTGTGCACTAAAGAACTGATTATTTCTAGGAAACCAGGTCTAGACTGGCCATTGGCAGAAATTCCCAAGCCGGTCCATGCAGGACCCGCACTATCTGAGCGCCGGCCCTGCTGCATTCCATGACGGATTGTGGGGAGATAAAAGATCTCCCTCACCGGCCCACTTCCACAAACATGCGGCCACCGGCTGGGGAGAGCGGCGGCTGGGGTGGGAGACCGGAGAGGACCGGCGGAGCTCTATCTTGCAGCTCCACCGGGTTCCTCTCGCGAGATCCGGAGCGTTGCCATGGCTAGAGTTCACTCACCACTAGCACCACCAGTGATGGCAGCACGGTCCCCCCTCCCAGGCTAAAGGTAAGAATGCCTGTTTTTTATGTTGTTTTTTAACCCCCCAACACACAATCCCTCCTAACATATACACACACACATCACCATCATACACATCACCCACATCACCTTCACCCATCACCCTCACCCACATCACCCTCACACAGCACTCTCACACACAGCACCCTTACACAGCACTCTCACACACACATCACCCTCACACACATCACCTTCACACACAGCACTCTCACACTCACAGCATCCCTCACACACACACAGCATCCATCACAAACACACTGCACCCATCTCACACACACACTTAACCCCTCAAACACACACATACTGCACCCCTCACATACACACTACACCCCTCACACACACCCACTGCACCACTTACACATACACACATAACCCCCTGACACACTGCACCACACACACAATCCTTCCAATCATATTTATATATATATATATATATATATATATATATATATATAGATAGATATATACTACAGCATCCCTCACACACACTGCACTCCTCTCACACATACTGCACCCCTAAACACATTACATTCCAGACACACATTGGATACCTTACCCAACTCTGGATCATCTACACACATACACACACTAGATTCCTATATACACTCTGAATCCGCTATATACACACGCTCACTAGATCTCCTATACACATTCTGGGTCCTTCAAACACACACTAGACCCCTATAAATACACACACATACACACCGCACCACCTACACACACACTACATTACATTCCTAACATACACACTCTGGATCCCCTTTACACACTCTAGATTCCTTGTGAGCAAACACATACTACATTCCCTAAACACACACTCTCTACAACCCCTACAAACACTACATCACCTATACACACACACTTCCTACATCCCCTATACACACACACTCTCTAAAGCCCCTAGCCACATATGCATTACATTACACAACAAACACAACACAACTATAACCAACCTTATTACACAATACCACATTCAGCTTATTACACAATCAGCTCATTCTACACACACCCAGTTCCACAAGCAGGCTCCAAACACATGCTCTTTCCTGGCCCTTTCGTCTCCTGGTATCCCATTTATAGAGACACCAGAGACAAGTTGCAAGGAAACACAGCGCAAGCATGTTATTAAATTTACTTGTACTGCGCAGAACAAATACTCATGCTTTTCTTCTGCCCTGGAAGAGCATTGAACCAACATGCTCACTTTGAGAGGGGGCGTGTTTGTCATTGGTGATGACAAAACACACTCTCTCTGCCCCGCCACCTTCTTAGTGGGCCGCTGTGATAAAAAAATGCCCAGGCCAAATTCTTTTCCCAGTCTGGCCCTGTAGGGAACCAAATATTTTTCTCTAATTCTCTGCCATCCACACCATACTTTATCATAATTCTTATCTCTCTAACACATCTTGGACTGTAGGACGGCTTATTTATTTCCATTTATATGCTATGCTTATTTTACCAGTTAAAGAATATGGATTATTACTGTGGGTTGAAACAACTCCACTTCCTCAGGAAGCATATGTAAAAGGTAAATTTGTGGCTCAAAAGGCAAAGTTATTCCCATTGTCAATGAAATCACCCCTTGAATTTGCCTCCAGTAAGAGTCCAAGCAGGGGCAACCACGTGTCAACAGTGATGCCTTATAATACATCATAATGTTTGGTATTCCCAGTCCCCTTTTGGTAAATGGAAACCACAACAGTTTATTTGCTACCCTTGGCGGCTTGGGGTGTGTCTGACAGCCGTCAAGAGAGGTCGCATGGAGTAGGAGTTCTGCACTTTGTAGGCTTATAGCATCTAATAGCTAAGTTTTTGACCGAGTAAGGACCGGGGAAATTCCCGGGAGACTGTCACCAGGTAGCTAGCACTTACCCGCACTTGCCTGAAGTCTCGATGGCACCATCAAAACAGCTTAAAATAGTGGACCCGGTCCGTCAAAGTAGAAAAGACCGGGGGCGGCGTGCACAAGAGGGCGAGGAACAGGCCGCACTATCCCCCTCCTCTGACAAGGACTGGACAAGGAGGCACCAGATCAAGAACTACAAGAACTAGAAGGCAATCCCATTATGGATATTTCCCTGCACAGAATGTTGCTACTATACAAGAGGACTTCACAAGCATCACTGTTTCAATCCACAAAGATCTGGAAAAGCTTGACAGCAGAACTTATCACCTGGAAAATAGAACGGAGGAGCTGTGGGAAGCCCATAATGAAGTGGCAAACAGAATTTTTAAGCTGGAGGAAGAAATCACCTCCCAAAAGCTTAAGATGGTTGATATGGAAGACAGAGCACACCACAATAACTAACGGTTTCGGGGGATATTGCGGATGATGTCTCCACATAGGCACTGCCAGCATATATTGTAATGCTGTTTAAAGCACTAATGCCCACAATGAAAGATACAGCATGGACATTAGATAGGGTCCATCGGCTACCACGACCTGCAAGATTTACCATGGATACACCTAAAGATACCATGGTACGTTATCATTACTACCAATCTAAAGACCAACTGCTGAATACTACCAGGAAGTACCGCTCTGCCTGAGCCATATCAAGCTATAAATATCTTTGCAGATTTATCTGCCTCAACTATGGTGCGCAGAAGAGAATTCTCTACAATTACCAAGACCCTGCGTGACACCAGCATTCATTACAGGTGGGGTTACCTAACGAAGGTATTTGTGTGGCGTAATAGTTACTAATGTTATTTCTGACCCTGATGCTGGCACAGTGAAACGTACAGAGTGGGGACTTCTACAAAAGCTGGACCAAGCTGGACCAGTCCAGGCTCCAGTAAAGAAAGTTCAGCCTGAATGGAAGATGGCAGTATCTTCGAGTCGCAAGTGTTTTTTATTTTTCTCTTTTTTTTGTGTTCCAGATGAAGATATGCCTGAGCAGTCGTTGGGTAGAGTAAATCTATAAAAAGCATTTTCAGTTTGTCTAAATGGGTAATTGTTTATATTTGCTACCACAGGCCAAATTTGAAGGTGAGCCTAATGCTAATAACCTAGAGCTCTAATAGGGGTAGCTTATATTCTACCCTAAAACTCCCGTAAGGGAACAAAAAGAATTGAAAAAAAGGAGAAAAAATAAAAAAAGGGAAAAAGAAATGGTAAAGAGGGGAGAAAAGAATACAATAAAAGGAAACCTTATTTTTAATTACAAGCCGATTATTTATTTATTTTGAGCTTATAAGCTCTAGAGTGCCAGTTTGTTCAACAATGGTTAGCACCCCGGAAATAATAATAATAATAATAATAATAGTAATTAATAGTAATTGTAACTGTAATTGTAACTGTAATTGTAATCATAAGTACGTTACTATATTTGAGAACTTTTATAGTATATTTTACAGTATTATGGTTGCAACGTATAGAAATAATTACTGAAGCAGTAGCTGTTTACTTGAGTTTATTTTATGCAAGCCATTGATAAAAGTGAAACAACAGTGAAGTCTTGAACTAATTACGGGCGGGAAAATAATGAAAAGAACTCAATAGGTATTGGGAAAATGATGGTTGAATTTTGTTCTGTTGAAATATGAGAGAGGGTCTGCAAATAGCGTAGCTGGAGAGCTGCTGGAGTGTCAGACATGATCACAGCGGCTTCTCTCAACGCCCGCGAGGCATTCATTTCTCCTTCTGCAGCAACAACCTGTGAAAATAAGTGATTAGAAAAACAAATGTAGGAAAATAATTGATCAAACATTGCTTTAAAAAATTCTTAATGGCACACGACAGTCTATGCCGTCAAGCAGTGCATGGCTTTAACGCCGCTTGACAGCATAGACCATCATGCAATAAAAGTACCAGTCAGTACTAACATCAACAGAGGGAATCCATAAAACATGGGATTAGGAGGATGGGTAAATACTTGGATTATAGGTAGCATTATGATTAGGATTAGAGGATGTATTATGGATTGGATTAGAGGTTTTATAACAGGTTGGATTATGGGAGTGATTAAGAGTTGAATTAGGGGTTGGATGAAGGCTGGATTTAGGACAAGATTAGGGGTAGGATTAGGGGGAGAATTTTGGAAAAAGGTATACCTGTGTATCATTGTAGTTAAAGGAACACTATAGTCACCTAAATTACTTTAGCTAAATAAAGCAGTTTTAGTGTATAGATCATTCCCCTGCAATTTCACTGCTCAATTCACTGTCATTTAGGAGTTAAATCACTTTGTTTCTGTTTATGCAGCCCTAGCCACACCTCCCCTGGCTATGACTGACAGAGCCTGCATGAAAAAAAACTGGTTTCACTTTCAAACAGATGTAATTTACCTTAAATAATTGTATCTCAATCTCTAAATTGAACTTTAATCACATACAGGAGGCTCTTGCAGGGTCTAGCAAGCTATTAACATAGCAGGGGATAAGAAAATCTCAATTAAACAGAACTTGCAATAAAGAAAGCCTAAATAGGGCTTTCTTTACAGGAAGTGTTTATGGAAAGCTGTGCATGTCACATGCAGGGAGGTGTGACCAGGGTTCATAAACAAAGGGATTTAACTCCTAAATGGCAGAGGATTGAGCAGTGAGGCTGCAGGGGCATGTTCTATACACCAAAACTGCTTCATTAAGCTAAAGTTGTTCAGGTGACTATAGTGTCTCTTTAAGAGCAGTTGCAGAATGCAAATATGGGGTGTTTACAGTAGTGGGGCATGCATGGTCTGGGCATCTTCCCCAAATAAAGCATGTGCATGAAAATAAACAATGTAATATTTGGACCGAGGTATGTAATAAAATTGCTAAATTAAAAGTGTTAACATGCTCTTTAATTGTTTAATAGCCTGGGGATGTACATTCTACAAATACATACTTTGTGTAGCGGTTTTGCATTCCGTGACTATAATCCATTCCTTCCAATATATGTTTCATAACTTCTAAAAGTGAATTGAAATCCTAGACTTATTGGACATTTTAATAATCAGAACTAATTGGTGAATCAGTAGCCACCTGACCCTCCCCTCCTTCTCTTAATATCAGACTTCCCAAAATTGGGAGGTCTCTATACAGTCATTTATAGAAACTGCAAACCGTCTACTATATTGAATAGAATTTTCTAAAACTAAATAGAGCACCTCCTATTCATTTGAATTACTAGAAACTGTGAAATTATTGAATAATCACAAACTGTGAAATAATTATTTAAAATGAAGCTCTATTCATATTTATGTCATATGACGCATGAATTATAATTAGTAAAAGAACTGGTGTAGGAAGACTTTATTTTTAAATTGTCCCTGTTTAACACAAGAAATGCGGATTAGTCTGATGAAGCCTTGCTGAGAGTAATAAGAGTTGCAGTCCACAGACTCACAAAGGTAGATACCCCTAATCCCAATGTAATTACGTCAGTTTATGTTACCATATGTACGAGGGATCTTTTTTATGTAAATTGCCTACATAGGAGCTAATTAACAATATAATAAATGATATAAACATAATGAGAACATACCTTCGCTCTGGCTTCTCGAGCGGCTTCAGCTTCAGCAGCCATTGCCCTTTGCAGAGACCCTGGTAACTTAACGTCTTTAATCTCCACACGTTCCACCTTAATACCCCAATCTTTGGTTGCATCATATAAAATTTTCTGAATGTAAAATATGGTGGTTTAGTACAAGGAATAAACCTTTTGAAGTGACAAAGTGATTTTGGATTCTAGAAAATGATTCTTGATAGCTACCATAAATAGTATTTGGCTTTTTAGAATACAAATGTCTGATTATGACGGAACCTTTATACAGAGAATATGTGCATTACTCTGTTTCTTCGAAAATACTTACGCCCATTTGTTCGGCCATCTCTTCGCGATCTACAAGGATTTCAGTTAGGCTTTTGGTACCCAGCATGTTTCTCAGTGTGGTCTGAGCCAGCATTTGTGTGGCTTTATTAGCATCATCCACTTTGACCACGGTGATGATCGGATTAAAGATACGGTAGAACACAACAGCATCAACCATGATAGTTACAGAGTCTTTTGTTAGAACCTGAAAATTAAAGACAGAACATTTTGAAGATATATGTAATGCAGAAACATTATAACTAGTGATGTCCCGAACGTTTCGCCGAACGGTTCGCAAACGGTTCGCCACGAATGGTTCGCCACGGACTCATCATTGAGTAAACTTTGACCCTGTACCTCACAGTCAGCAGACACATTCCAGCCAATCAGCAGCAGACCCTCCCTCCCAGATCCTCCCACCTCCTGGACAGCTCACTAAGAATGCAGCTTCAAAATGGATGCTGTCCAGGAGGTGGGAGGGTCTGGGAGGGAGGGTCTGCTGCTGATTGGCTGGAATGTGTCTGCTGACTGTGAGGTACAGGGTCAAAGTTTACTCAATAATGAGTTCGTGGCGAACCGTTCATGGCGAACCGTTCGGGACATCACTAATTATAACACCTGGTTCAGATATATACATATTTATAAATCTCAAACTGCAAATTAACAGTAATTGCAGGTTTGAAACCCTTAAAGGCAAATAACAGTGTATATACCATCCTAACACAATATTCTGTAAGAAATATATTCCAGAGTGGAAAGCACACTCAATTAATGACTGCATAGCTACCACGAGCTGCCAGAGATAAGTAAGCAGGGTATTTCCTGATACTATAAAGAGTTTTCGGGACCAGATTGTGATGACAGTGTAGGGTAATATTGGATCTTTGGTGGGTTCATTTATTGTAAGTGTTATTGAAAAAAATACATTTTAATGTTCAGTTTTGCAATATCCATCAAATGTACTAATGCAAATGTATCCACTCAACTGCCAAACCGACTCTATTACAGTATATAGAAATCACAGCTTGAGCCTTACTGCTCTCCCTTGATGCCATCATTGGACTGTTTGACAGAATAGCCAAAAGAAGAATTGGGTATGTATTGGTGCTTGTAATTTTGTGTAATACATGAAATGTGTACATTAACACAAGACATCTAACTGAGTTGCTAAGCACATAATTCTATTGTTTGGGTGAAACAAATTGGATATCAACAGAATTCCAACACAATTATACATTTTGTTTGTTGTTTTTTATGTCCAATCAGACTGTATCCCAGCAGGACAAACTTTCTTGTTATCTATATTTTAGGTTTTAGTTCTATACCTTGGACACCTTTGTGAATTAACTAAAAGTAAAACAATTGGAGCCAATATAGCTCTAACTGAACTCCATCAGGGTTAATCACTAAAGTGAGTATTCAAATTTAAGGCCAGTGTAGCCAAACTGAAAGCATTGCTGACTTAGAGATTTTTTTTCAGTTTGGCTTTTTTGAACTTAAATTTAAAATTCACTTTGAATTCTCACTAACACATCTGTGTTAAAGTATCGCAGTTTTGCAAATATCTTGTCAGTTAAAGTACACTCATTGCAATCTGGTTTTCTCATAGAAAAGAATTTCTTCATCAGACCACAAGATGGCAGGCAAAGCTTTCTGTTACTAATCCACAGAGAAAATGCACGTTTTTCCATCTTTTCAAAATAATTAATAAATAAATCATTAACAACAGCATTTATATATCACCAAACACCATAGTGCTTTACACAACTGGGATAGATATCAAGCAATTGACAAACAAAATAGATACAAAAGTTGAAGAGTATCCTGCTCAAAAGAAGGGAACTTTGGAAAACTGAAAAAGTAATGGAAGACTGAAAATATTCTCAGGGATTTGGTCCTATAAATTGAAATTTATAAAAATACACACCATTCATGCTTACTGCATAACCATGTGAAATTATTCTTAGTGCATGCAATGTATTCACAAACACACAAACCTCTGATTTTTCACCCTTTCCCTTCATATGTCTACTCACTTCTTGTGGAGGAACAGCGAAAGAGACGGTTCTCAAGTCAATTCGGCAGAAATCGTCAGTGCATGGCAGAATCCAGAATATTCCTTATTAAAAAAACGCAAATATTTTGTAACCTTGAAATCATATCTGTGTACAGTGAATATTCTTGCATGCACAACAAATCACTTGGATTACTCACTTATGGGTTCATTCGCTGAAACAGGAATTGTGGGTTATTGAGAATTTCAGGCCATGATAATTGTATGAGAGAAATTTGCCTGAAAAGTGGAGTTTATTCACTAAATGGTGACCTCAAATTAACTGAAAAACAAATTGTCCTTTCAGTCTGAAGTTTAACATTCGGTTTTCAATTCACTGCAATTCGTGGTTTAGTGAATAAACCCTGGGGAACAATGTACAGATAGCACTAATCCACAGGCAATTTAACATCTGATATAAAGACTCTTATCAGATAGCTCCTCATTCCCAGTAAAAGCTTTCAAGGCTATTGACATGAATTCAAAGAAAATTTCACATTTTAAGCAAAATAGCCGAACTGACAAGATGGCCGATTTGGATAATTATTCCAATAAAGCTAATCTGCCATGCAATATGAAATTCTGAAAATCTGTATGAATTCCAAACAAACACAAACATGTCCTTTCTCCACACATTCACTACAACCCAAATAGACCAATTTCCACGCACACTATACTACAAACAATCTCATCTAAACACACATACTCACGCACTGCACCACAAAGAGTCTCCACTACACACATACACAAACACAATCTCGCAAGCGGTCTCCAAGCACATAAAATACCACAGGAAACATCCCTACACATGCACAACACCCATTAACAAACCTGTCCCTCCTATGTCCTCTGCTATATCGCTTATGGGGACACAAGAGACACAGAGACAAGTCACCAGTAAACACGGTGCAAACATGTCATTCAATTTGCTCCTGCTTCGTTAAAACAAAGGGTCCTTTCCCCATCCATGGTGTGCACTGATGGGTCATCGAAATGACATGCCCACTTTGCCCACCCACTGATCAGCCTTTAAATACCTGGGCCAAATGTTTGTCCCAGTCCAGCCCTATTTGGTGTAGTAGGGCTGAAACAGAGCCAATAATGACATCAACATCCTTGGCTGCTCACAGATATAACATTTTTCTGAAAACTTTACATATTCTTTAATAGTAGCTGTAGCAGTAGACTTACCTGGTCCTTTTGCTCCAGATCTAACTCTCCCCAAGCGAAAAATGACTGCTCTTTCATATTCCTGTACAATCTACCAAAAAGGAATCAAATAATATATTGTCCAGCACTGGCTTGATACAATATTGTTTATTTTATATATATACTGCATTTCATCATAAAAGACAACACAGCTGATATCATCAGGATAATTCATTTAGGTTTACTAAAAGTCCTAGGTACCAGGGACAATAGTCATTAGGAGGAATGCTCAGTTAATTCACTTTTCACTTGTCATTATCTCTTTGGTCTTACTTAAAGGGACACTATAAGCACTTGATCTCAATGAAGTGGTGTGGAAGCCATGTTTCTGTATTTTTAAGTCTCCAGCTGCAGACATCGCCGTTCTGCAGGCATGCAGTGTTTACAGTGCAGGGTATAATTTCCCTTGAGTTTCTTCTACAGAAATATCTCAGTAAAACTTGGCTATTTCTATCACATGGTCTCATAGTGACCACCTGATTGGCCCAGCATTTTGCTGCACATGTACAATAGCCTCCCAATGCTTTCATATGCATTACCTATGCGATTTTAATGCTTTCAGCAATTGAGGTGGGACCAGTTGCTAAGAGAGCAATGCAGTATGGCAGAAAAGGTAAGTGAAGTAGCTTTTTAATGGGCTTGGAGGGTGACATACACCTACAAGGACAATACAGCATTGGGAATACAGATATATATACAATTGTGTATCTATAGTGTTTCTTTAAAGGGCTATTCCAAGCACCATGATCACTTCAGTGTTTTTAAGTGGTTATGGTGCTTGGATTCAGAATGAGCTGCATATCATGTGCTAGCTGCTGGAGATATAGTTCAACTTTTGTCAGCGTCATTAGCCAGCCCAGAACTCTTGATGTCAATTCTCAGCATATTTAGTGCACAGATGCTCATTCATTGCCTGAGTGCGCTTAGCTGATGCTCTCAGCAAATGAATGAGTGGCAGGATCTGTATTGGAAATCTTTAGCAATTATGATGCATGGAGTAATCTGTATTTCTAACCTTATAGTGCCCCTTCCCCACATTTTTACACTTACTTTTTAAACTTACCTGTTTCCAGTGTAGAGTTCCGTCAAACACATTAGAGCTTTCCCATAGTAAAAGCATTGAATCATGGCGATAATGTCTGTTAGAATGCAGGAAGCGCCTCTAGTGGCCACTAGTGGTTGTATTAACCCTGCAGTTTCTCTGAAACTGCAATGGTTTTGTTTGCAGTGTTTAGAGGACAGGGGCACTTCACCCAGATTACATCAATGCAAAGAAATGGTCTTAGTGCCTATAGTGTTCCTTTAAGCGTTATATTTTCAGATGCCATGAATGTGAATAACATTTAGGTGCACAACTTGGAGAAAAAGGTTCCAAACCTGAAAAAGGTAATCATTGTTTTTACCATTAAATCTCAAAGGTTCAAGGTTTAAAAACTTTAGCAAAATCAAAAAAGTATCAAATTATACATTCCTTTTTGAGTGTTTTGTGAGAAATGGTGATGTCTCTATTCAAATCCAGGCCTGGCATGACCCAATCAGATCATAAGAGCAGAGTAAAACAGAAGGCAAGGTAAGGATAGCCACTTAAAGAGCCATCCTGTCCACCTTAACCCCTTAAGGACACATGACATGTGTGACATGTCATGATTCCCTTTTATTCCAGAAGTTTGGTCCTTAAGGGGTTAAAGGACCACTATAGTGCAAGGAAAACATACTCGTGCCCCCACCCTCAGGGTCCCCCTACCGCCAGACTCTGGAGAGAGGAAGGGGTTAAAATCTTACCTTTCTCCAGCACCAGGCGGGGGACTCTCCTCCTCCTCTCCGCCTCTTCTCCTCCTCCTCTCCTCCTTCCTAGCGACGTCATCGGCTGAATGCTCATGCGCGGCAGGAGCCGCGGGCGCATTCAGCCAGTTCATTGGAAAGCATTTACAATGCTTTCATATGGACGCTAGTGTCTTCTCACTGTGATTTTCACAGTGAGAAGCACGCAAGCGCCTCTAGCAGCTATCAATGAGACAGCCACTAGAGGCTCTAGAGGCTGGATTAACCCTCAGTGTAAACAGAGCAGTTTCTCTGAAACTGCTATGTTTATAAAAAAAAAAAGGTTAAACCTAGCTGGACCAGGCACCCAGACCACTTCATTAAGCTGAAGTGTTCTGGGTGCCTATAGTGGTCCTTTAATAACCTAATAACTCTCTTCTCACTCTTTTTTCTATCCCTCCCTTTCTTATCCATTCCCTGACTGCCCTCATTATCTACATCATGCCTCTTATATTTAACGCCTTTAATTTCTAATCCTCTTCTCAGTATTCCACATTCCTTAAAGTGTCTCTGACAATTGACAACGTTTTGGTGATTCTTTCAAACATGTTGACACTATGGTTTCCCTGCTTTTCTCTACTACTCTATATGGCACAGGAAAAGAACCTGTTTATATATTGAAAACTAAATGTTCACTCGTGGCAAATAATCCTTTGCGTTCCAAAAATAGCATAGGGTATTTTATTTACCTTTATGCAGGACCAAATTGAAATGGGAAAGGTGATTAGGACCATCAAAAAAGAAATGAAGATCAAAATAAATCCAAAGCAGTCTACTCCTTGGTTTTCTAAAATTCACAAAAAAAATTGTAAAAGTTAAAAAAAACGAAATCATCTTATTCTGTTTGTCATTTAACAATACAGAGAATTATGATTTTTTTATAAATGTCAACATCAGGTAATTTGAAATGTCTCTGTAATATTTTCTGTTATTAGCATAATAAAATCGTAGTCAAATTTATTGGCTCAAAAAGGATTCAGCAAAAAAAATATGCAACGTACAGGCCTACGTGGCCATGCATGACTACGGCCATGTAGGCAGGAACGTTACATATTGTTACATATTTTTTGCTGTATCCTGTGTGAATCAATAAACTTGACTATAGAGCTCCTGCATTGTGTAGCCCCTGGACTATATTTGGCCTCCACCAATGTTTTCTTGATGGAGGTAGAGCTGGTAATAGTGTCCAGCCATGCACTTTCTTCTAGCTGGACAGTATTGCAGATAATGGCCTAATGGCTTCCTTTCATTTATTTGGCAGTGCTGGGCGGATGTGATTCACCTGGCAGTATCCTTGTGTTTGTCTGTCTATCTGGCTGTATGTTTGTATGTATGTATGTGTTTTTAAAAAATATAAAAATCTTACATAAAAGTTGTAGTAATGCCATTCACAGGTAGAGACCATAAGCACAACGCGTTTCGACAAACCCACTCGTCTTCCTCAGGTGCACTCCTGCATTACTACAACTTTTATGTAAGATTTTTATATTTTTTATAAATAAATGTGAATACTCATTTTTAAATTTGTGTGCCTGTTCTGCATTTCTAACTCTGAGGAACAAGCTTCATACAGAGGAATACCCTTTGGACCACTCTCTACAAACGCTATTACCTGAGACGGGCTCTCAGAAATGGGATGTATTATTGAACTTTCCAGTATCTGACTTTTGGCTACCGTCTGACCCTGTCAACAATTGTGGTATATTTTTGTGTCTTTTATTGGGTATATACACCTACACTGTGCATGCATTGCATCTCATTTGTTGTATTACATATTTGTGCTGCACACTATTTTGTTGTTTGTATTCACTTTTTGTTGTGGGATTTTGTGATTATTCCCATTAAGTGTGTTCTACCTGCTTTCTCTTAGCGCCATGGATTGTACTACTTTCTTTTTTTCTGTATTTTATGTATTATAACATAAACAATATAACACATATCATATGTCTAACTAGTCAGCTTTATATATATAAGAGGTGAGGGGAAGGAAAAAAATACTTAATCTTTATAAATTAAATTAATCATTATGTACAACTTGCTTGGCTATGCAATTCTTCTTTAATAATAAATAAATAAAAAGGCTAAACAATGTGTTTATCTTCTGCTTTCCAACATGTACAGAAATATTTTTTGCAAATAGTTTTTTTATGTTTTGACATTTGCTAATTTTAATAAACACATTCTCTCAACATATACATAAAAAGGTGTTGTGCATAGTATACAATCTGAAATCAATATATAAAACAATAAATATATAATACTTAAGATTGCCGTTTACCAGGCTGCGGTTCCACGTTACTTGAAGGTTCGGATTGTCCTGGTTTTTCTTGGTCATAACTTGGATCCATTTCTGGCTGCACCTTATTTGTCTGATAACATATCAAACTAGGAGATCCTCTTCCACTGTGCATACAAGCAGCATCTGCGGATCACTGTAATATTTAAAAGAAAAATGTAAGCTAAACTTTATATAACTCAGCTATCACTATCTGTTGCCTAATAATGTTGTTAACAGCAGTGCATCAGTCTTATAACAGATCCCTGGAAGAAGAGAAGGCACTAAGGTGCTAAGACATCATATGGATATTAGTTAAAGCTCTCGTAATATGAGCTTTAAACATGATTTTTTAAAGGTAACTGGATCTGCTAATAGTAATGAATGACAGCATCATGCTGAGAATTGAGTTGCATGTTTGTCAAAACACTTGACACAAACAAGGCAAACAAAATAATAAAACATGTGACGATGTACGCAATACAGCAAGTAAGGGTCTATCTTCTTTACCATCTGAATGACTTTTACGTTTCCATTTGGAATCTCCCTACTGTATTGACACCATAAGCTTTAAGTATGCTTTAAGACTTTAAAATAAAAAGACAATTTAGTAGATATACCCTCAAAGAAACATGCTTGTATTTTTCCTGCATGTTTGCATTGGGGACATGTGAAAAACAGCTTGAAAACAAAAAATCCATAGACCTTTTATTTAAATTTAAACAATGATAACTGCAGGGTTTTCTTATGTGCATTTAATACTTTGTTAATTATAGGAACTCTATTGTTATTTAAAGGAACTCTATAGTGACAGAAATACAAACTTGCTGAAGCAATGCATCTTTATGAGAAAAGTTCAGAGCCTCCATGCAGAGCTGTTGTTGTGCAGCACTGATCCAGGAAGCACCTGTAGTGGCCGTCTGAGTTACTGTCACTGGTGGCATCCCTAGTAAACACTGCCTCTTCATGCGAAAATGCATGCAAAGACAGGCTATAGACAGCAGAACAACTACATTAAGCTGCAGTTGTTCTGGTCTCTATAGTGCCCCTTTTAGGTACTGGGGGAACAGGTGGAATATTTCTTCTGAGATGTAAAATCTTGGTGGAGATTCTCTTCTTAGAAGCTTGTTTTGAAACATTTTATAAAGTGCAATACTGTATCTCTATCCAGTACAGTGACTAAATAGTTTGTGCATGCCATTTCAAAAAGGCAATTAACAGAAATAAAAATGTATGCCAATAAGGAGATCAAGTGAGTTTAGACACCAGCTCTTTGTGCTGAAATATATATTTCTTGAGAACTAGAGCAGTGATGGTGAATCTATGGCACACCGACCCCTCTCTGTGGGCACACCGCCATAGGCCGCCGTGGGGGGCCACTAGCGCTGGTTGGCAGCAATGCAGTGTAGTCACCTGCCTGCCCAAAATGGCAGGTGCCTACTCTGCTTTCGTATCAGGAGGACCCCAAGGCAGGGGGAGGTATCTGGGAAGAAGATCGCTCCTCCAGCAAGCAGGCTGTGTGGAGCGTTGCAGCGCGTTCCCATGGCAACATTCCACACAGCATTGCACGGGAGGACTGGAGAGCTGCAGCCAGAACCTACATACTTATGACCACCGGTCTAGTGGCGGCATATGGCCCTTATCAACAAGGGTTGGACCAGCGGTCCGTGGATGGGTAGGGCTGTCCCTCCCCTAGCCTCAGGTACAGTTGTGGATAACAGACGTGCCCACTGAGTTAATAAACGGCTAGTGGTTAGCATTACATCATGGAAGGCTGAATAAAAGACCTTGTACTGGTTGGAACGAGGGGGAGGGGGCAGCTGCCCTAAGTTGTGTTTGGTTGGTAAGGTGGTATTCAGTGACGTATATATTTACTGAGTAATTATGTATGTAGTGTTTATATTAAAGTTGAAGCTTTAATATTTATATATTTATAATAAAGCTGTAGCCTATTTACTCCAAAACCTGTTTGTTGTGTTTCATTTCGGGAATAAATGGAGGGCTTATGCCCATACACAGTTACCCTCTACCTACACACAAGACCATGAGGAGCCAGGCAAGGCCTAGGCAGAACAGAGACACGTGAGTGTGAGGGAAGTGTATACAGAGGAATGCCCATACACAGTTACCTTCTACCTACACATGGTTATTATTGTCAAAATAATTTTTAACACTATTTAAATTCCAATAAATCCAAAGACATACAGCCCATCTCCCACTGACATTGGGAAGTATCTATATGATACTTCCATATTATATTCCAACTCCATCTGTTCACATATTACTTTGAGGAAATAACCAGAATTGTTACCAGCTTATATGGGTACCACATCATTTCATATTGAAAAATACGTGGAACATTAGTTTGAAAAATAGTAAGCTACAATAGATGTTCAAGATAATGCACTTTTTAAAATGAGCTACAGAATTACAATAAACACATTATAGCTAAACAACAGGTATTATTGAGCAACAACTCTCCATTAATGATCTATGGTCCAATAACTACATAACTCCTCCAATAATCAAATATTTAACTGCAGGCTTTCTGAGGCTAAATAAGCCAAAATAATTACCTAGTGGATTCGCAACAGGAAAGGATTTATAAGTGTGTTTCTAAAGAACCCATGAAAATTTTCTTTACTGAACATGGCAAAACCATCTGGGACCATTTGGAGTGCAAAATACAGACATTGCTACAAGTATTTTACTGTGTCTTGATTTTGCGATTCTGACTCTGAATGAGAACGAACTGTGTCCAGATGTCAAGCTGTCTGACCACTGCCACAGCCAGTGAGTTGGAGCTAAATAATAATATGTGAAGGAGGGGGGGGTGGAAGTAGGTCATCATCCTACTGCCCTCATGCATGGGTGTCTGGCAGGGTTAAAAAAAATATAAACTGCAAGGGACATGATATAGACCATTATGGGCAGCAGGTGTGGACTACTAAAGATATGTCCCTGAACCCAAATCCATGTGCATCTGTTGGAGGGTTTATAATCTAAGGGGGGGGGTGGATATGTCAGTGGTCCATTCCTAGGGCAGGATTACAAGTCTATTGGGCCTGGTGCTGAGCATGACACGGCTAAATACTTAATCACATGTCTCACAAAATTTCAAATGGTCAAAGAGGGATGTGGCGGAACCAACCTCGCCACTGGCCACTGGAGGAGCCTGGTTGCCAGCCTCCTGCCATGTAACTATGGCCCCTGGGATGTATTGCCCTTTAAAGACATGATTTGGGCATAATGGATTTGTGTTGTGCTGCTGCTGGCCCTTTAAGAACCATCTGGGGACATACTGTGGAGTTACTGGGTGGCCACCATTTCATGTAGCAGAGACACATGGTGAGAACAATGGATGAAGCACATGGTGAGAACAATGGATGGCGGTCATTTTAACTCACAGACACTGTTTGGACTTTTCTACACAGTGCCATCTCACCGGTATTTGGTGCACAAAGACATCGTGCAGTAGTTTTAAACTATACAACAGGGGACACATTATATCGTAATTATTTTTCATATAGCCTGTATATGTTCTGCGGAATCTGCATTAAACTGTATCTTTCAAACTACAGAACGGATCTGGGTGAATTTTGGATATGTGGTTCACCCAGATACCCCGGTTCCGAGGATATACTGTTATGGGGTTATTGCATGTTTTGGGGTCCCTGTGATATGTTTTATAATACTGTATTTCTCTGCCTGTGATAATTATATTAACCATTGTGTTCAGTAATCATATCACAGGCAGAGGGGAGGATTTTGTGGGGGAGTGTCTGTGTGTATTGTACGGATTGATTGGTTGTATTTCAAAACCCTGTGGGCAGTACTATGTTTGTGGATTGTGAAGAAAAGAGGCTGTATGTGCCAGTACAGGCAGTTCTGCTTGACCTCAAAACGAAGTGTCGTCTCGTTATTGGGGGAATTGGATGTATGCTGATTGCCAGGAGTTTAAGCTGATTATATGCTTTTCCTGTTCAGCTGCTAACAGCATTCATATGCTTGAGAGCATTCGTATGCTTCTCCGGTTCGGTGGTTGTGGTGTCTGCTGCAGTGCTTGGAGTCCTCAGGAAGCGCTAGGAGCATCCTTCAACTGAGGTACCCAGTCGGGGTGCCAGGTCATCCGTTACAAGGGACATTATAATTTAAGCGGTGAGAGTGGGTGTATGGCCAAGGGCTGTTTATAGACATTTTAGTTGACATACTAAGACGAATATATGCAAATAAAATGTAATTTAAAGAAGAAGAATGCAACTTGTTTACACTGACTGATTCCTAAACACATTTATTTTAGTTTAAAGACACATTACTGTGAGTATTATTACTGTGGAGCTCTGTTTTACACTTACAAACTTCAACTACACCCTGTTCCAAATTATTATGCAATTTCTATTTAAGTGTCACAAAGATTAAATATTTTGTTTTTCAGTTAAACTCATGGTTGGCATTGTGTCTCAGGGCTCTATTGATCACTGAAAACAATCTTGGACAGCTGTGATAATTAGATTGCCAGGTGAGCCCAATTTAAAGAAAAACTACTAAAGGAGGGTGTTCCACATTATTAAGCAGAGCACCATTTTCATGCGATATGGGGAAGAAAAAGGATCTCTCTGCTGCCAGAAAGAGTGAAATAGTTCAATGCCTTGGATGAGGTATGAAAACATTAGATATTTCACGAAAACTTAAGCGTGATCATCGCACTACTAAGAGATTTGTGGCTGATTCAGAGCACAGACGGGTTTGTGCACATAAAGGCACACTGAGGAAGATTTCTGCCAGATCCATGCATCGGATCAAGAGAGCAGCTGCTAAAATATCATTACATAGCAGCAAACAGATATTTGAAGATGCTGGTGCCTCTGGAGTCCCACGGACATCAAGGTGTAGAGTCCTCCAGAGTCTTGCAACTGTGCATAAACCTTCTGTTCGGCCACTACCAAGCAATGCTCACAAGCAGAAAAGGCTGCATTGGGCAGAAAAATACATGAAGACTAATTTTCAAACAGTCCTGTTCACTGATGAGTGCCGTGCAACCCTGGATGGTCCAGATGGATGGAGTAGTGGATGGTTGGTGGACGGCCACCCTGTTCCAACAAGGCTGCGACATCAGCAAGGCGGTGGTGGAGTCCTGTTTTGGGCTGGAATCATGGGAAGAGAGCTGGTCGGCTCCTTCAGGGTCCCCAAAGTTGTAAAGATGACCTTTGCAAAGTATGTGAAGTTTCTGACTGACCACTTCCTTCCCTGGTACAGAAGGAAGAACTATGCTTTCCGTAATAAAATAATCTTCATGCATGACAATGCACCATCTCATGCTGCAAAGAATACCTCTGCACAGGGCCGCCACCAGAAATTTTGGGGCCCCTGACAAAGCACAAGGTCTGGGGCCCCCTGCCCCCTCCACCCGGCCTGCCCCCTAACCCCTGCCCAGCCCGCCCACAAGTCTGCCCACAGGACTCCTACCTAGTCCGCTGACAGTGATGCAGGACTGAATGTAGTGTGTATAATGGAAGTGAATTAGAATGTGTGTAATGGATGTAGTGTTTGTGTGTATTAGATACTGTTTGTGCAGTGAATGCAGAGTGTGTGTTTGTGTAGTGGATGTAGTGTGTATAGTGAACGCAGAGTGTGTTTGAGTAGTGGATGTAGTGTGTGTTTGTGTAGTGGACGTAGTGTTTGTGTGTACTAGATGCAATGTGTTTAGTGGATGCAGTGTCTGTAGTGGATGTAGTCAGGGCCGGACTGGGAATGAAAAGCGGCCCTGGAAAAAAATTCTATACCAGCCCCATAATGCATCACGCCTGCATAGTGTGCAGATATGGAAGTGGGAAAAAAAAAACACTGCACACAGACTGATGAATACACGCACACAGACTGGTGAACGTGCACAGACTGGTGAACACGCACAGACTGCTGAATACATGAACACACACAGACTGCAGTGAGGGGTGCAGTGTGTGTAGGGGCTTAGTGTGTGGGGAGTGCAGTGTGTAGGGGTTCTGTGTGTGGGGGGTGTGGTGTGTATTTGGAGGGGGTGCAGTGTGTGTAGCGGTTTAGTGTGTGTGGGGGGTAGAGTGTGTGTGTGCTGTGTGTGGAGGGGGTGCTGTGTGTGTGTGTGTGTGGAGAGAGTGCCGTTTGTGTGTGAAGGGGTTCTGTGTGTGTGAAGGGGGGCTGTGTGTGTGGAGGGGTGCTGTGTGCGTGGAAGTGTGCTGTGTGTGTGAAGGGGTAGTTTTTGGGGGGTTCTGTGTGTGAAGGGGTGCTGTGTGCTTGGAGGGGTGCTGTGTGTTTAAGGGTGCTGTGTGTGTGGAGGGGTGCTGTGTTCGTGGAAGTATGCTGTGTGTGTGAAGGAGTGCTGAGTGTGGGGGGTTCTGTGTGTGTAAAGGGGTTCTGTGTGTGGAGGGGTGCTGTTTATTATGTGTGGAGGAGTGCTGTGGGTGGGGTGGTGTAGTGTGTTTATGGGGGGGGTTTATAGCATTGATATATTTTAAAAATAAAAAAGTTTTATATTACCACCCCCCCCCCGTTATCTTTGGTCAGGGGAGAGGGGGAGCGACTATTCTTTAATGTTCAATCCCTGGTGGTCCAGTGGTGGCACGTGCTGTTCAACCTGCAGCTCCTCTGGCTGCAGGCTGACTTCTCTCTTGTGTTTATTTATTCATTTATTTATTTACTTGTTTATTTATTTTTAAATCAGTTGGAATATTCTAAGGTCTTTGGCCTGGAACTTCAGCTCCATCAGCCCTATCTTATTCCAGCCATGTCCACTTCCTGAAAGTCAGAATTAATGTCTCCCCCCCTCCCCCCATATAACAAGGAGTCCCCAGGCCCTTAGCCAGCCCATTATAATCCCCTCCTATCCGTCTCACCCTAATAATAGAGAAGGGGGCCCATTAAATCTAATACCTGTAAAATAAAAATGTATACTTGTTTTCAGCATTCTTCTTTAATCTTCTTTTCTTTAGCTCTTAAAAGTACAATTAAAGGGGTTTGTGTCACCTGATTTTTCAAGGCTTTTAGAAAGGTGTTGTGGTAGGGACAGGAATTGTGGACATCTATTTACTTTGACCAGTGGACTGGGTGATTCTGGTCTATACCTATAGGAGGATTGGGTAATCTCTGCCCTATAGCTAATATGATGTTATCTCTCACTATGGATATTAATATAGTATGGAGCTTGGGGACCCTTCTAAGTGTAATGCTGACAAATCCCTCAAGCACAGTAACAGATGGAGATGGATCAGTTTTGTAGTCCTAACTGCATCTGCTGGAAAATAAATAGTGTCAGTGTCCTCAGAGGAATACATGATCCCAGAGGCAAACAAAATAATCATGTACTGTTGGCAATCTAGAAAAGCCAAGGAAACAATATTTCAACAACGCTTCCAGCAAGCAGAGATAGTTCAGTTACCAAAGGTATGAAATGATTACAAACAGAAGCCAGCTGGCAAATTGTTACAAAAAATAATTTAACAATGCAAAGGTTAAAGGGACACTATAGTCACCAGAACAACTAGAGCTTAATGAGAAAAGGCAGTGTTTATATTGCCCCTAGGGACACCTCCAGTGGCCACTCCTCAGATGGCCACTGGAGGTGCTTCCTTGGGCAGTACTGCACAGTGTGCAGCACTGTTGTCCAGCGTCTCCACGCACTGCATGGAGACGCTGTACTTTCCTCATAGAGATGCATTGATTTCATGCATCTCTATGAGGAGGTGATAATTGGCCAAACCAGTGTTTAGCCCCACCCCAACCCTGTCTCTGTGTCAATTTCAGCCAATCCAATGCCTTCCCTATGGTGCTGGAAATAAGGTACGTTTTCCTACCTTTTAAGGAGGCTAGAAGGGGGCCAGCCACCTAAATGGTGATATTAACATTATAGGGTCCGGAATACATATGTTGTAGTTGTTAGGTGCCCATATGCCCCTTATAGAACAAGCAGGAGGACCTATTCTTCCCCTATGCCAATCCAGAAGTTGCTCAACCATGAAGTCTCCATCCATGAGGTGGTGGAATGGGACATTAACAATAATAGAAAAGGGAGGGTGGTGCCTGACTGCCATGCTGTCTGGCCGTGTGTGGAGTGAGCTCTGTGTGCTAAATTTTAATCTATAGAAACTCTCAATCTCTGTGCCTGAGACAAGCCAGATACCCCTCAGCTGAATTCTGTTGTTTTTGGGCGCACGAGTGCCGACCAGAACTTGAGGGAACTCTGCAGCCTACCTGGAAGTGCAGGCGGTGGAGAGGCTGCTGCTCTCCCTGCTGGTATTCCCTGTAACACTACTGACGGCAGAGGTGCTCCTGCTCCGCCCCCCTGCCAGTGAGGGTTATCCCGGCACCAGCTAATCAGCTTGGTTAACCAGCTGCTGAAGAGGTCCAAGCCCTGACAACACCGCAACAGTATGCGGACTGCACCAATGCTTCTGCCAAGATGGCGACCTGACTGCATGCCCTCACTACACCAGGTTTGCTGGAGTCTAGCTTGGTGTGGCTCGACCAAATATTTGCCAACTTCTGCTGTAGTTAAGCCAGGCATGTCATCCTGATACCATGACAAGACGCCACAAAAGCACAGCACAATACTTGCCTGCTGTTCACCAAAGAATTGGGGCCATAGCTGTCAGTCGACCAGTCACTGCTAACATGCGCCCTAAAAAGCATACCATAGACAGAATTATGACTTCCAGGCCTTTATCTGCACCCAACTGCTACTCCGTGTGGAGAGCCATGTAGGGATGAACCCCAGTGCACAACTCATGTGCCTGGAAAGTGAATACACGCTTTACCCAAAACGTGAATTACGGCACCGAAAGTGACTGGATCGGTGGACCATGCGGGTTTGCTCTTTCTGAGGCAAGGGGCCAGCGAAGTGGCTGGTACTGGAAGAATGGAACTCAGTGTACCTCTGGGCCACTCACAGCAAGCATGGAAATCGGGTGAATTATGTGTCTTAGGAGCTGTGGGAAGGGAATTAGGCTCTGTGCACTAGCCATTATTAGTATTTATGTGAAACAAGGTTCTCAGCTCACCAATCAGCAACGTGTTTTGTTTTTTGTTGTTTTTTTTCCCTCACCATTGCTTTGTTTTATTTTTGCTTTTATTTATCTCAATAGCATTGCTAATTCACTCAAACAGAACATGGGTAGCTATTCTTACTGAGCCTACTAGTTCACTTTTGTGACTCCACCTTTATTAAAGACGTATTCACTATAGTGGTCACGCTTGTTTTTTTACTATTAACATAAACATGTGCATTATTTTCAAGTGTCATGGCAATGTTCTAGCATGTATGATTGAAAAACGCTTGCATATGCTGTCATGGCATCTCAGTTCTGTTTGTTCCCCCTTGTATAATCTAAATAAAGAATAATAATAAAAAAAATAATAATAATAATAGAAAAGGGGAGTCCATGGTTTCTCCCTAACCCCAACCTCCCCATGCCCAGTGGTTGGAAAGATTAAATACGCTAGCAAATGCAGTCTTCAGTGTACCTACTCTTATAAAAAACAGTACCGTTACACCTGGCTACATCAGAATAACCCATACTGTGTGAAGTACGCAAACCACCAGCCATCGATACATGGGTAAAGAAGTGCAGGTAAATGTAATCGTTATGAATAAAGTCCCCCCTAGGTTAAAATTAATCCTTCAGAAATCTGCTGAACAAAAAAGGAAGAAGGTGGAAAAATACATATGAATAATACAAAAAAATGAAAAATAACTAAAGATTATAAAATGACAAATCCAAAGTATGGGTTATTTTGAATGCTTTCTTCAACCTTCGCAGTTTATCTTGTAAATATCTGACAAATTGTAAAAATATACATATATATTGTAGCTCTATAAAGTGAATATTGTGCTTTAAATGCCAAGACATCTTTTTGCCTCAGTCACGCTTTGGCCTAGTATGGTTGACTATTCATATGGCCTCCACAGGAAGTATTGCCATGATATACACATCCCATGAGACCCTATTAGTAAAATACCCTGCCTCCTACTTAAGATGCTAGATCTAAGTGGTCATAGGGATCTGTTTCCTTCATCTTTATAATGGAAGAGAATCTGCACTATTTAGTTATAAAGGGGTTATACTGGCCTAGCAGTAACTAGCCTGCCTACACATAGCTCAACACTTGTACTGGCAATTTTAAAAATTATTTATACCCTTGCTGCATGTGCTGTCAGCAGACATATAGTATACATTTTAGACATCTGCTTACGATAGACATTCATGTCCATCGTAAGCAGATTGCAAAACCTGGTTGTGGAAAAATTGTATAAACAATGCTCATTTTGGTTCACAAATGACCCCAGATGTTCTCAAATAACTACAACACTCTGATACTAAGAGGGCAGAGCTCATGAGAGCCATTACATGAGGTCTGCAATCAGTGGGAGGACACCAGAAGCTCTCCACACTGGACCACCATGGATCTAAATGATGTCACCTGCCTACCCTAATGTAATCAGAGAGAAGGGGGTATAAACTGCATTTCACTATTTTTTTTACAATCTTTATTTTTCAAGTAAATACAAGAGAGATGACACAGAAAAATTAGACACTAAAAAGACAAATGGCACCAATGAGACAGCATATGGAATGTCAAGTCAAGAGCATTACCCAATATGTCAACAAATAACCAATGAAAACAGAGCATCCTACTGTGACATGAGTTGTACCCAAACATGCAGGAAGAGTGGAAACCAACAAATTATCACTTTATTTATCTTTAATTATTTTTATTTAAACTTTAATTATCACTCTATTTAATAAATATATAATTGTGAGGTGGGAAAAATTAAATTACATTTAGAAACTCACACCTCTTTATCCTGCAACTGGGAGCCGCCATCTTAGCTCTCTGTCAATCATGGATATAAGCTCTGTCCTTAGCAGTCAGCATAGTGAAAGCTTAGAGGAAAAGTAAGACAGTAAAAAAATAATTTGCAATGTTTGCCCTAAGCCTTATCTGAACTGGATTGTAAAGTCGACTGCTAACAGGGCTTTTCACCAAAGACCGGATTTTGTCCAAAATTACAGAATTCCGACTGCAATGGCAATTCTCATATATACTAAGCCAAATACAATAAGAATCTAGTCGTCAGAGTAAATCTGCAGCAATCACCCGGATGCATTTAGTCTGAATTAAAATTTGTGCTTTTGCATCCGAACCCTATACAAAGTATAGGATTAGTATAGGATTCTGAACATTACATAGCCCAAATTTTACTAAAATTCAGAACTTAATATTTCCCAAAGGATGCCTATTCACAAATTATGGTTAATTCGCTTTTTTCAAAGGTTTATGATAATTTTAGGTACTATTTGTCCTAGTACTATAATAAGCTGTAAGTGGTCCTGGAGTAGCGCCTTTTGGCATAAGTTGGAGTTTTATAAATAATAATAATCATATTAGTGAGATCCCACAGGTTACAGATGATTTTTACATATTTTTATTCAGTGATAAAATTAACATAGAAGTGACATTTCCCCTTTAATTCAGTGGAGTAAATACAAGTAACAATTTCTCTTCCATTATGTATCTCTCTGTCTGTAACAATGCATATCATCAAAGCTCACAATGTTATAAAAAGAAACCCCTCTAGATACTTTGTAGGAACGGTCAAATGAATGAACAAATCGTTACCCTCTAAAAGTCCCCCCACCCCCCTTTTTTTTAAGTTGCTAGTTACTGTGTGAGACCAGGTATCAGCCAGCTCTGCTGTTGTTGATGGCTGAGCATCATGAGAGCAGCAGTCCAGAATTCAGTAATTAGTGGTAAGGGATTACACAGAGGGCGTGCAAGCCACCTCCAAACAAACCTATCCCTGCCCTGGCTTTGATGGTAATAAAAAAACTCTATTATGGGAGAGTCCCAGCCATTCACCCTGTGGTCTAAACTGTCGTAAAACCAAGGGGTGTGCCTTCACTTACGGCAGGCACTCAGACAGGCTGGTGTTGCAGTGTGCTTGTCTGCTCAGAGCCATGCAAGGCTAGTGCTGTGTGTGTGAGTGACCATGTTAAACAGACAGGATGAGGCGGACAGGACCCTGTTCGTGGGGAATTTAGACTGCAATGTCAAGGAGGAGATCCTCTACGAGCTCTTTCTGCAGGTGATGGGCAAGCAGCAGGGTTGTGGTGTGCAATTGGAGAGATGCCCCTGTGTGGGGGGAGGAGGAGGGGGACCTGGCAGTTGTACCATGTAGAGGGTAAGCAGTGTGTCCAGTCAATCTGAGGTGGCACAGTGTTTATGTGTTATCTTTTATTTTTATTGGGGTTGGTTATCTTTGGGTTTTGTTTTTTTTTACTAGAGTTACTTATGGAAATATGCTCAGGGCAGGGCTGCTTTGAAAACCAAAACAAAACTTTGATCCCCTGCATGTTAATACACCACTGAAAGCATCAGTATGTTCCTGTACATTGGATCACATGTTAATAAAAGCTTAAAACAAGACATAAACAGAGCAAAACACAGCTCTCAGCATGGCAAGTTTTGTGCAATACACTTCCTATAATCCTAAATCACCACTTGGCTGGTTAGGGATGATGGTAGTTCTGTTGGTTTGAAGTGTGTGTGTGTGTACATATATTTGGACTTTCTACTTTTTTTTTAATAATTTTTTTTTTATTTTACCATTGTGTGTGTGACAGATTGAATATGATGAAGTTAAGTCTTTTATTTCCAGCTTGTGAACTCAAAGTGAATTTCAAATTTTAAAGGGGGGGGGGGCTAGGGACAGCCAGGTTGTGGAATTATTGATTTTGATATTTTGGTTTATTACAATATGCAATTCCAATGTTAATTGTCCACATTTTTGTGAATACACCCCTGTTTGTCACATATCTATTAGTAAAACATCAACATTTTCTGTAGCACTGTAAACTCCCTCCCCTCCTCATTTCATGATCAGGGAAACAAAACACACACAAACCAAAAATATGAAAACATTAAATATATCTTTAAATGTTTCTAATTTGCAGCAAATTCCCAAAGTATGCTATGTCTTTGCCATGGTTCCTCTTAAAAGAACACTATAGCATTTGGATCAGGTATCTAGATAGACCTGTATTTCGATTGCAGTAGTGGCCCTGGCACCAGATTTATTGACCTGTCCTCACCATTTGCCATAACCATTAATAATATATAAAGGTTTTACTCCCTATTTCCCAAGGCTGATACTCCCTCTGCGCTGCTTACATAACCACCTCTCGCCACATCATTGAAGAGGTGTGAAGTGGTCTGGGTGACTTTAGTGGTCCTTTAAATTATTATTATTATTATTATTATTATTTTATTATTTATATAGCGCCAACAAATTCCGTAGCGCTGTACAATGGGTGGACTAACAGACACATAATTGAGATCAGACCACTGACGTACAGGAACAGAGGGGTTTGAGGGCCCTGCTCGATGAGCTTACATGCTAGAGGGAGTGGGGTATAGTGACACAAAGGGTTAAAGTAGGGGAATTAAATAGTTTGTTACAGAAGGGTTTATTGAGTGCTTGGTAGGTCATTTTTGACAGGTGAAGGAACGGAGTCATGGGGTGGGGGATGAGAAACCTGCTGACAGTTTAATTGATACGCTTTAATAAAGAAGTGAGTTTTCAAAGATTTTTTGAAGGAATGGAGGCTGGGTGAAAGTCTGATTGAGGAGGGAAGGGAGTTCCACAGAATAGGTGCAGCCCTGGAGAAGTCTTGAAGGCGAGCATCAGAGGTGGGGATCCGGGCAAATCATAAATTATAATCTAATTTAACTACTGTTGAGCACATATACAAAGCAAACGCAGTCAATGGTTTTTGTTTTGTTTTTTTCTGATAAATCTACATACATACGTTGATTTTAAGCTTTTTGACCATGTATTTATTTTATGAATGAGACCTACAATTACTTGTTCTTTTGAGCATATGAGATTTTGCTCTGTTTAATTTTCAAGGCAAAGCTATGATCAAGTTGCATGTATTCCATAAATCTTTGTGCAACCAGTGTTGTGGACTGTGTTAGGTATCTTATAAAAAATTACTCTATCTACATGCTAAAAGAAGTGTTTTGTGTCAAATGCTTGACCAAGATTTGGCATGTTCATGCACTGTCCTCACTGACTCCATGGGAATAATAGGAGTTTGAGGTTGCTGTATCTCTCTTGTGCAGAGGGAACTTTAGGGGTCTGGTGTGTCACATTAACCATCAAATGTAAGCTAATTCGAGCACGGTCCTCATCAACCTATTGTTTCTGTAACATTTTGTAATTGTCTAATGTATTAAATTTCCACTTTTTATAATATTATAAAGCACTGCAGAATAAGATATTATGTAAATGTCAATAATAACAAAAGAAGCATTTGCAAACAGGTTTAACCATTTGTTATGCTGATTACATTTTGTTTGGATTGGTGTGTGTGTGTGTGTGTGTGTGTCAGTGTCAGGAATTGCTTCAAAATTACAATTTATCATATTGTCCCACTGTGCAGCTGACTCATCTTCCTCTTTCATTTTTTTCCCTGATCATGTTCAATTGCATTTTGCTAACTGCTTGGATTAAAATGCTGACCTGCATGACTCTGATTGAGCTGGCAGTGGATAAGTCTTGGAAGGAAGGTAGACTTGGTATTGTGTTACTTTCTAAGTGTTCTTGGTAACCTTTACATTTCTTGCAGGCTGGACCATTGACCAAAGTAAACATTGCAAAAGACAAAGAAGGCAATTTTAAGTCATTTGGTTTTGTCTGCTTCAAACACACTGAATCTGTGCCTTATGCTATATCCTTGCTGAACGGCATCCGTTTATATGGAAGACCAATTAAACTTGATTATCGTTTTGGTAAGTTGGATAATACATTGAATGAAGGAAATACATTGAACCTTTCTCATGATGCTCATTTTTTCTTTTAATAATTATATTGGATATTTACCAGATTATACTTTAATCCTAGCAGCTTCTACTAGATAATGTAGCACGCTCTCAATAATAATGTTGAGAACAGAAGCTGAGGAGAAACAGTGATTCTGCATTTCCATAGCAATGTCACAATTTAAAATCAAGCTTAGTATGACTGTTTGTTTTACCTCTAGAACAAGGCTGATGAGTTCAGCTCTAGTGAGTTACTTGAGGGGTCAGTCTGCGCAAAATCTGAAATCTGACCCAATAATATTTTGAATGTATTTAAATAATGCATAAAAAATATTGGTGTCTGTAAGCTGCAACTTATATGTTTGGTAGCTGCGACTAGCACCTGGCAAACCCTAAGTTAGCAAGTAGTTTGACTACTTAACATATAAAAGTGCCAGGACATTATTGGCTCCATAACCACTACTGTAGTGCTGATTGTACTTGGAGTGTTCCTATTAATATTTCACTAGGGGAAAATAAAAACTGACGAACACCTCTGAGAACAGGTGAGGGATACGTAAACTGCTTTACTGAGAGATTAGGTTGTTATATTTCTAAGACAATATTCGGCTTAGAAATATGGTCAGTGTAAAGTTAATAAACAGTAAAAGAGGAAATGTATGACAAAAATCAAACAACGGGGGGCAGTGCTAACTGCCGATCGACGCAGACGCACATGCAAAGAGCTCCTGCGAGAGCATCGCAGGTAAAAACCTGATAAAACCATCCGAAATTCACCCAAAAGACGCCCAAGCACTATGGGGAAAAAGGCTAAGCTCTGGAGAAGCGACACTGCCTCCTCATCACGAGATATCGGCACTTTGCTGAGGGGGACCCTGCAGCTGAGGCACACCAAAATGGCACCAGCGAGGGAGGACTATGATATTACATCGGAGGAGAGCGGAACAGAAGACTTATCATTCCCCAGCAAAAAAAAGGCAAACTCTGAACCTCTGCACCTACCTGGAAGTCGGCGGGCAAACACCAACCCTAGCCCAGAACAAACGCCGGTGAGCAAGGCCGACATCCAAAACCTGCTGAAAGAGATGAAAGTCCTGTTTGCTGCTGACATCGCATTGGTCCTTAGGTGGCATAACAACTAGGCTGCAGGCGCTGGAGGACTCTGTCCTGCCTGCTTTGCACAATTTCACCAATCAGCAATCCAAGATAGACAAGCGCAAGCAAATCTCCTCATGTAAGGTAGACTTGCAGCGCTTGAAGACTTCAAGCAACAGCGCAACCTCAGGATTCTAAGTGTCCCTAAGGACATCAGACACCGAAGTCCCTCATTATATCCAAGGCCAAAGCAATCATGCTGGAGAACTTTCAGATTCCCAAATCCTCTAGAGCCCCGGAAGGGGTCCAAAGAGACTTGCTGCCATGCTTCCAATCGATACGGAGTAAGCAGCTTGTACAGGCGGCTGTTTGTGAATCACCAATTCACCACTTTGAAGGTGCTGATCTCTCCTTCAATAATGACTTGACTAGGTCCACTATGGTCTGGCGACGAACTCTCCACCCTGTCACTCAGCACTTGAGGGAACGTGGAGTGGTGTACCGTTGGGGCCCCGGCTGCAAGTTGTCAGTGCTCCACGACGGGCAGAGGACCCATCTACTGTAACTGTCAGATGCAGGGAAGTTCTTTAAAACCCTGGGACTGCCTTTGCCACATACTGTTCTGAATGTTACTCTGGGTGAAAGCCCCCAAGCCCAGGTGTGGAATGAGAGCAACCCAGACCAGCAGCAGCCGAGGAAAAACCCAGCTGGCACCTGAGAAACATCTCTAAAAATGGCACAAGGACAGTTACCACTGGTTTACTTATGTTTGTGTTTGTTGCTTTCCATACATTAATCTTTTGTTATAAATGTTTCACAATTGACCTTCTGTTAATGCTCTTGAGAGAGACTCATACCCCCACTAGAAGCCGAATGTTCCAGCATTTACATTATCCATTATAAAATGTGCATTGTCCATCAGATGTTCTATCACAGGGATAGGCAACCTTCAGCACTCCAGATGTCGTGGACTACATCCCCCATAATGTTCTTACAACCATAATGCTGACAAAGCATCTGGAGTGCTGAAGGTTGCCTATGCTTGTTCTGTCATTTTCCAGCTTCACTGCAATGTACTCAATATTATCTGTTGTTGCTTTCTACGACTTGTTGGTGAATGCACTCAAAGTAGCATGTTATACCTTTACCGAGTTGTAAGATTACTTATGTGCTACAATAAAATATAAAATAAATAAAACCACCGTCCCTCTTGAGGTCAGAAAATTTTAATTGTAGAATAAGGTCTAGGCATAGGGAGTGTGATAAAACAGTACAAAGAAAGTAACAGGTGTGGTTTATAGGTATGAAAGGGGCACAGCTGTGCAGATTACAATTAAGGATTCCCAGGTGTTGCATTAGGTGGTAACAAACAAGTCTCCGCGCAGCTCAGCTCAATTTCAAAGACCCCAATGGTATATGGGAAACCATACAGGACCAAACAAAAAAAAAAATTTTCCAAGCAGCCACTCGTGTAAATAGATCATTGTTGTTCTAATAGCACGTACACAGATTCACCATGATTCAGGGAGATAATGAAGTTTAGTTATGCCTATTTTTGTCTTAAGTGGAACAATGACCAGAATGTTGTTGTTTTTTTTTTTTTTTTTTTTACCACATTGACTGTGTAGTGAGTTTTATACCTTGTAATTGAAAGGGGCACTATAGTCACCAGAACAACTACAGTTTACTGTATTTTTGTTCTGGTGAGTATATAATCAGTCCCTGCAGGCTTTTTGCTGTAAACACGATCTTTTCAGAGAAAACACAGTGTTTACATTACAGCCTAGGGATATCTCCACTGGCCACTGCTCAGATGTCTGTTTGAGGTGCTTACTGGGACAGTGCTGCACAGTGTGACTGACATTCAGTGTCTCCACCCTCTGCATGAAGACACTGAACTTTCCTCATAGAGATGCATTGATTTAATGCATCTCTATGAGGAGATGCTGATTGGCCAGGGCTGTGTTTGGCTTCTGCTGGCTCTGCCCTTGAACTGCCTCCTTTGCAAGCTCTGCCAATCCAGTGCTTTCCTATGGAAAATAATTGTGATTGGGTAAGATTATTACTTCTGATGTCAGCCAAGAAGGCAGATTATGAATAAAGGTGATATTTTACTAAAATTAGAGGTGCAAGGAAAGGGGTGGGGGGGGGAAGCAGGGAGCAAGAACACTATAAGGTCAGGAATACATGTTTCTGTTAATCACCCTGTAGTTTTCATTTTAAAGTGGAGCTGTCATTTCATGATTTAGATTTTTTTTATTTATTTTTTTATGGATGAATAGTTATTCTCCCAAAATCCGTTCCACTCATTACTTTGGTTGAGTGGAGCTGCTTTGTAAACTGGAACAGTTCTCTGTTTACTGAACTTGAGTGTATGAAGTTCTTGGCAGAAACACAGACCATTTCTTTGCTCTGTTTCGTAGGAGGTGGGATAGCTAATCCCAAATTTTGCATGTGGCATGCAAACTCCCACTCCAAACTTAGACAAATATAACACTTACCTCCCCACCCACCCCCAATATATTGATGCTCATGTACTGTATTTCTTTTTTTTTTTTTTTTTTTTAAACAGATGAGTTTTCTTTGTGGTTTAAACTGAAATATGAATTGATTAAAAGAAAGGTTTATATCTTTTTACTTGGTTTATTCATTTATTATTATTACATCTGTTCTTGTTACGTGCTCCATTTTTACTATAGCAAGTCCCCGTTTAACGAGTATCACTTCCCATCACTGCGAATGATATGACCATGTCTGTTCTTGTGGCTTTTCTTCTGCGGTCTGTAATTGTCATAGAAGTGTCATTATGAGTGAGACATTTCACACTGTCACATATATTTGTTTTCTAAGTGATGGAACATGGAGAATATTGTCTTATCAGTCTTATACTGGCTGTACGTTTACTAATATAAAATTCTTTAACTGAGATATATTAAAAACATTGTTACATCCTTTGGCATTATATCTGCTTAACCGACTATACCATGGCAACACTGCTTTTTGCCTTTTTTTATTTTATTTTGTATTCTTGTTCTAGGTAACTCTCGCTCTTCTGAATCCACCAGTCCCTTGCAAAGTCCAGAGAATGGTTTTGTTGCCAATACACCTGGCTCTGGGTGAGTGTTTTCTTTACAGCTGTTAGATTATTCAGGGATTACTGGCAAACTTCTTTTTTTTTTTTTTTTTTTGACACTCTGAGCTCTCTAACCACTAAAGTGCATTAGCAATAACGATTCTCTCCATCTTTGGGTGGAATTTATAGGCTGCCAATGGTAAATTTCAGTTAAAATTAGACAAAACTAATGCTGGAGTGAATTAATGCTTCAGAAATACCTGTGAACATGGGCCAGGCCATTGGCACCTGGTGTACTGAGGTTAATTGTTTTGAATCTCAACAGTCGGATGGTACCAGTGTCCTTCTGGTACCATAACCACTGAATTATACTGCAGTGGTTATGGTGCTTAACCCCTTAAGGACACATGACGTGTGACATGTCATGATTCCCTTTATTCCAGAAGTTTGGTCCTTAAGGGGTTAAAAAGACACTTTAATAACACATCCTAAAGTATATTTTATTAACCGTACACGGCTGAAGGTTAAAATCATATGTGCAATGCTGACATTCTGCTATCTGGTTCTTATATCAGTTTGACAATTTTCAGAGCAATTCATCAGTCCGGGGCAAAACCTTATTTAAGTTCTGAGATTTCAGTTAAAAACACTCAATTGGAGCTTGGGATAAAAATTGTATACACAAGGCCATTTTATCCATTATATGTGTGGTTCAAATCTGACCACTACAGTTACTCTTTACTTACTCCACTATATATGTGTAAAACACTACAAACAACTTAAATTGTATTTTTTTTTTGTCATATTTTAATCTTGACTTATATTAACATGATCTGCTTTAAAAGTGTTATTTTCTTTTTCACTTGCAGCATGGTCAGAGGTGGAGACAGTTATCCTCTGTCGCCCTCAATGGCCGGTATAGATAATGGCTATTTGTCACAGGCATATTTATACTTCTGTAGTATGGTAAGTTCTGTGATTCTCGTTTGTTTTTATGTTTTCTAATGTATTTTTTGTGCAAGAAGCCGTACAATTTCAAATCTCTTCTTCCTAGTCTGTTGTAAAGACTTGGTTTATGTGAAATGTTAGTACAATTATTAATGTACTGAAATTGCTTTTCTCAAACCTCTGGATTTTGATTATTTCTGATGACTTAAAGGTAGGCAGACAATGTAATAGAGCAGCAGGAAATGCTAGTAGAATGCTTGGTTGTATAGGGAGCAGTATTATCAGTAGAAAGAGGGAAGTGCTCATGCCATTGTACAGAACACTGGTGAGACCTCAGTTGGAGTATTGTACACAGTACTGGAGACCGTATCTTCAGAAGGATATTGATACCTTAGAGAGGGTTCAGAGAAGGCCTACTAAACTGGTTCATGGATTGCGGGATAAAACTTACCAGGAAAGGTTAAAGGATCTTAACATATATAGTTTGGAGGAAAGACAAGACAGGGGGATATGATAGAAACATTTAAATATATAAAGGGAATCAACACAGTAAAGGAGGAGACTATATTTAAAAGAATAAAAACTACCACAACAAGAGGACATAGTCTTAAATTAGAGGGACAAAGGTTTAAAAATAATATCAGGAAGTATTAGTTTACTGAGAGGGTAGTGGATGCATGGAATAGCCTTCCAGCTGAAGTGGTAGAGGTTAACACAGTAAAGGAGTTGAGGCATGCTTGGGATAGGCATAAGGCTATCCTAACTATAAGATAAGACTAGGGACTAATGAAAGTATTTAGAAAATTGGGCAGACTAGATGGGCCGAATGGTTCTTATCTGCCGTCACATTCTATGTTTCTATGGGTGGTATTTTGTGTATTCCTCATTCTTGGGTCCTGTACCACAGGCTTGGTAGACTGGGGATTCTGCACTTTTTATTTTAGCTGTTCCTAGAACAGGGATAGGCAGCCTTCGGCACTCCAGATGTTGTGGACTACACCCCTCATAATGCTCTTACATCCGTAATGCTGGCAAAGCATCATGGGGGGCGTAGTCCAAAACATCTGGAGTGCTGAAGGTTGCCTATGCCTGTCCTAGAACATCTCAGTTGGCCCATCTGTAATCTTCTGAAGCCAATCTCCCATCAAAATTCCATGAAACATCCACATTTTAAACATGTTTACTACAGGAAAAAGGACATATGTTCTATGTCGACTAGTTTTTTTTTATTATTGTGTGTGTTATTATTATTTATTTATTTATATATATATATATATATATATATATATATATATATAATGTGTATATAAATTTTTTATTTTTTTTTTACTTTTTCCTGTAACAAAATTTATAAACACACTGAATTGCTATTTTTTTGTTGTTTTTGTTTTCTTTTTCCCAGATGAACCCGTTTTTAGCTTTTCAGAATGCTGCTTATGGATTAATGGCCCAGGAATCCCCAAATTACATGCCAAGTCTTCAATGGAACAAGGACAGTTTCTTTCAAGCCTATGAAAAATCAGGATCTAGTTCCACTGCTGGACCTAGTTCTGTCAACTGGGGCCAGACAAACCCAAACAACTCCAAATGGTGCCAAAGACCAGAGGACACTAGAAAAAGAAAAGCAGATACAGAAGCCAGGGAAACCAGTAGTGACGAATCAGTCTGTAGCAGCAATCCACCAGAGCAAACTCAAACATCTAAAAAGCACAATGCTAAAAGAAGATGTTGATTTTATGTTGCACTAAATCCAAGTAGTCCTTGATCTGTTGTAGGACTGCAATTTCTATGGCGCTTTGCTAGCTTCAAAGTTAAGAAAGCCCCATGATGAGTTGTAATTCTAGAACAGCTGAAGATGTACCTGTTGGCCACCCATGTAGTAAAAGATGATTGTCCAATATGTAGAATTCTGCTACACAATGGACCAAAGCTAAAGTATCCGGTGTTAGAAGCTGTGAGTTATGACTATATTTTGCTATTTATGCAAATCTCCTCTGCACTTTCTATGGGTCAAAAAAATATTTTAGTAATGCAAGAATAGACTAAAATCTTGTGGGATTTATTCACTAAACGTGTTGTAAGGAATTGAAAACTAAATTGCAAAATTGAAGCTAAAATAACACTGCAATTGTTGCCCAGTTAGAGAATTTTTACAAAATCTGAATTTTCATCTCTAAATTATGCAATTTGTTTTTAATTTGCTGCAATTCAGTGTCTAGTGAATAACCTCTTCTGAATGCACAGCATAGACTTTGCATTATCGTGTTTCTCCTAAGATTATACAGTTACGGCTTATATAGCACATTTTGTTTATGAGAGGTGAAATATAGCTACAGTTTTTCCAAGTACACATTTAGAGATGCAATTTGAAAATATCTATTCACATGTTTGTTTATGTCACTATTTGTTTCGGTTGAATATTTAAAATTGTTTGCAATGCAGCAAAGAGTGGTTTGTAACCACCATGTTAGGGTTGTATTCTTTAGTATACTGTACGTCAATTTGATTGTAACTCTAGATATGCTGTATGGCTCTTTATAAGTTTGTTGGTTTAACTAATATTTAAATAAACACATACAGGGGATTATTCATTAATGGCTGACTTTTTAATCAAATGAGGTTTAGGTTCAAATTGTGTCACTTGCCCTTCGTAGGACAAAGGAAGACAACAGGGGCTGACCTTTTGCATAATTGTGTTTTTATATATTATGAAAAATAATTAATTTAAAAAAAATTCTTACAGATCATGGAGCTAGTTTCAGCTTATTTGTAGGTGAACATTTAAAGGCTCTCTTCAGTGTGGTAATTTAATTATCAACTACAAAGTTAGCGCCCGTACCGCTGCTACCAAGGATGTAAAAGTCTTCAATCAGTAGATTTGGGTGATGACTGTCCTCATGTGTAAGCAAAGCAAACCTGTGTTTAATTCTTTCACAACAACTGTTATCATTCCAGTTTGCCTTTATTAGTCTCATAATTAATTGCAGTCTTTTCCTTTTTCTCTGCTTGTGTTTTTTTTTTTTTAATACTTTATTTTTGTTGTGCTCAGGTCAACAATAAAGGCTTGTCTAGCCACAACTGCATCCACAAGCTTAATTATAACAATTATTGGTGGTAGTGTGGTATTTCGAGTTACAGTTGTGAAAAATCAGTTGTGCATTAAGTAGCATGTAAGTAAATAGTAACATGTCTGCAAGAGTGTCCAGTACAGGTATCAAGTCATATAATGGTAAAAGCATGTTAAGGGCAGCGCTCGTTGTACAAGAAACAATGAATAAAACTGCAAGCTGCGCGCTTGCCATAAACTTCATGCTAAACCCGGATGACATGAGTGTAGTGTTAGGCTAGTATGGTGGGATAAGTAGTAGATTGTCATATGTAGCAGACTAGGCAGAGCAAACAAGCTAGGTAGGAGAGCACATTGAGTGCCATAAGTTGCTGGGCAAGATACAGATTGAGACATAGCTTAGTATAGTTCAACTCTGTGGGAGACACCCCTGTGGGGGACATAGAGAAACCAATACGCTGTGTGTTGGCCGCTGGGTAATAGCTATGGGAGTTGGAGTCAGAGTCCAGAGTGTAGTGCTAGCAGGGAATTGTCCCGTAAGACTATTAGGTCTGTGGAATTCCTGCTGTCTGTCGACATGGTGATTTAGCCGATACCTGGGGGGGGGAGCGTGTCGGCTCCTAAGTGTGGTAGTTTAAGGCAGTGGGGAGGGGTGTTGCCGACAGTCCCAATGGGCTGTTGATTGTTCCATGCCCTCTCACCTTCTCTAGCCTGGATCTTGCAGGGATCCCGTGCTTCTCTTGAAGGGATCTGCCGGCTTGTCGCTGGCGTAAATCCCGTGATCTCGGGCTGCAGTGTATCCTCCTCGTGCGCGTTCTACAGGCTGGTGTTCGGGGGCCTCTTAATCCTCTGCTTGGGAGTGGGGTGCCATGCCAGAGCTCTGCCCGTCGGTTGTGTCTTGGAAGCGGGTGTAGTCGGTTGCCGACTCCGTGCCTCCACTCTCCTCCAAACCTGCTGGCAGATGTTGTTGAATGCCATCAGGAACTGAGTTTCTCAGTCCAGGGCAGGTACCCCTTCCTCATGCTGAGTAGCTGGGTTGTCTGCTGACATCTTGGACCGCGTGGGTGCTTCTTCCACCAAGCGATTTTGTGCGGTGAGTTTGTTTATGTTTGCCTCCGTGTGGACCGGGATAACCCCCACCGGTCTGAGGGGGGGGGGGTGCCCTTTCCAAGAGTCTTTGTTGATTGCAGCGGCGGGAGAGTGACCGTCTCGCCGGTGCTAGCTGTGCTTGTAGGTTGTGTGGTCGGGACCGACAAGAAGATTGTCGTGTTTGGCATGAATGGGTAGCCTTGGGTCAGTGGGAGCTTGCTTCGGTCGGTAAGTGGGTAAAAACCACCTCTGTTGGTGTTTTTATCTTTTACACATATGGGAGGGGCAGGTTGTGTGTGTGTGTGTGTGTGTGTGTGTATTTTCATATTTTCCCCCCTCTTCCATCTCTTCCTTTGCCTGGGAGGGGGGAAAGTACTAATCCCTGGTGGTGAGAGTGAACTCTAGCAACTCAGGCTAGAGTTTACTCACGCGAGATTCTGAGTGTTGCCGTAGTTACAGCAGCAATGCTCCTTGCTTGCGAGAAGAGAACCCGGCGGAACTGCAGGTTAGAGCTCCATCGGGTTCTCTCTTCCACAGTTCCCGATGCTATAAAAATAGCACCGGTGTTCTATCAGTTTGGTATACCCCGTCAGATTGCTATACCCACGTCACTTCCGGGGAGGGGAATCAGCTGTCTCCTGTGCTGCACATGCGTGTTAGCACTCCTGCTACTCCTCCACAGCAAGGTCCTGGAAGGTAAGTAAAACTAGTTTGACACTTTCATTATAGTTAGTGCATTCACTAAGCTTAGGACATGGGACATTTAGGGTTAATGTTAGGGTTCAAATTAGGGTTAGGATTAGGGACTTGTTCCTATTTAGTGATATTTCACATTTGGGGAATATCACTAAATAGTGATTTCTCACACTTTATTTTAACCCTTACCCCAAGGGTTAGGGTAAGAATAGAGTGTGAGAGAGGTTAGAATCACTTACCTAACCCTAATTTGTACCCTCACTTAACCCTAAATGTCCCGTGTGCCTAAGCTTAGTGAATGCACTAACTATAATGAAAGTGTAAAACTAGTTTTACTTACCTTCCAGGACCTTGCTGTGGAGGAGTAGCAGGAGTGCTAGCACACATGTGCAGCACAGGAGACAGCTGATTCCCCTCCCCGGAAGTGACGTGGGTATAGCAATCTGACGGAGTATACCAGACTGATAGAACACCGGGAAAATATCTTGTGTGTCGCCCCTGTGTGCCCGTCCGCGACACAGTGTTTAGGAACTGCTGGTTTACCCCCTGTAGATATGCACCATGACCGCTTCCATTTAAAATTGCCTTCAAACTATTCCACTACTAAAATCAATTGGGCTAATTTATAAAAAGTTGCATGGCTGTTTTTAAGCCAAAATTATGTTTTTCCATTTGCACCAATAGTTTACTTTACCATTGTCATATTTTTCCTTCTGTGCTTTTTTCGTAATTTTAATCAGACAGGAATAGTGCAGTTGTGGTGTCCGTGTTCCTTATTTTTAGGTTTTTTTTACAACTTTTTCTTCCATTGCAACATTGTTCCTTTTTCTCACTAAAGTTATTCTGATCACTCTGTCTCCGAGACCCTGTGTTTGAAGGGACACTATAGTCACCAGAACTACAGCTTATTGTGTTTTGGCGAGTATAACCATTCCCTTTAGGCTTTTTGCAGTAAATACTGTAGTGTTTACATTAGTCTTGTGATAACTCCACTGGCCACTTCTTAGATGGCTGCTAGAGGTGCTTCTTGGGGCAGTGTTAAACAGTGAGCAGCATTTAGTGTCTCCCTCTTTACCTCCCTCCCTCCCTCCCCTAGGTACGTCCGCGGCAAATAGGAGCCCTGGACTTACCTAGACCAGCAATAACAGTCAGGGGGGCCTGCCAGAGACCCCAACAGTCCCCCTGCAGCAACTCTGGCCCTCCAGGGCCATATGATCACATTGCCACAATAGGAGTCTAGGCGCTGCCAGCAGGGGGACTGTCTGAGCTGTCATATTGACCCTGTAACTTTCCAAAACACCATAAAACCTGTACATGGGGGGTGTTGTTCTACTCGAGACTTCGGTGAACACAAATATAAGTGTTTAAAACAGTAGAACTTATAAGGATGATGAAATCACCAGTAAAAGTGCAGTTTTTGTGTTTAAAAAAAAAAATGCAAAAACCATATATGAACGCTAACGTTGGCAAGCGTTTGTGGCTACAAAAGACTGGACATACATCATTTTGAATACCGTGGGTTGTCTACTTTTACAAATGGTATGCCATGATGGGGTTAATTTTCATTCCTGGGCTGCTATACGGTCTCAAAGGCAACATAGGCCCAGCAAACCAATCTGGCAAATTTCGATGTGCAAACATGGAAAAGAGGAAAGCCCTACATTTGACCCCTGTAAGTTTGCAAAAACCCATGAAACCTGTACATTGGGGGCACTGTTGTACTCGGGAGATGTTGATGAACACACATTGGGGTGTTCTTTGTCAGTAACACATAATAGGAACTGAGAATCCCTAAAGTGCAATGTGAGAGAAAGATAACACAAGAAAATGGCTACGAAAAAGGTTGACAAAGACTGGTGGTAGGATTAGTGCATGGAAAGTGTTAAAATACCACCATTTGAAATACCCTAGGGTGTCTACTTTTAAAAAAATATATATGGTTTGATGGTGGTAGATTACATTGGCCAGCTTCAAAAATTACCCAAATAGGACATGGGAGCATGATGACCAGCTGAGAAAATTCCAGGTTGGAAAACTGGAATGCGCACCCTCCAAATAAGGTCTTTTAGCCCCTAGAGAACTAAACACACCTATACATGGAGAGTATCACTGTACTCAGGAGATGTTGCTAAACACCTATTGGAGTGTTCTTTGGCAGTAACCCTTAAAGTTCTCAGTACATGTATTCTTAAATTGCTATGTGTGTAAAAAAAAAAAATATTATTTTTTTTTTATTATTTTTTATTTGGCATAGATTGGTGGTAAAATGGTTACATGAAAAGAGTCAAAATACCCCAAGTTTAATACTTTAGGTTGTCTTCTTTAAAACATTTATACATGTGAAGGGTTATTCAGGGATTCCTGACAGATATCAGTCTTACAATGTAACTTGTGTTCATTTTTTTGGGAGAAAAAAATGGTTTGGAAAAATTAGCAAAGTGCTACTTGTACTTATAGCCCTATAACTTTCCAAAAAAAGCTAAGAACATTTTAACATTGGGCATTTCTAAACTCAGGACAAAATTTATAAACTATTTAGCATGTGTGTTTTTTGGCAGTTGTAGATGCATAACAGAATTTGATGCTCAAAGTTAGAAAAGGTGTGTTTAAAAAAAAAAAAAAAATTTATGTAGTAAATTATATGATATGAAAATAATGGTATCTTTAGAAAGACCATTTAATTGGGAAAAACTGTATATAATAGGTGTGGGTATATTAAATGAGCAAGAGGAAAATTACAGCTTAACACAAAAAACGCAGAAATGTAAAATGAGCCCTGGTCCTTAACGGTAAGAAAATTGAAAAATGGTCTGGTCACTAAGGGGTTAATAAAAGAATGAAGGTTTTTATGCAAAAACACAACAGTGTCTACGTAATTAATATCAAGAGCATAACGTAACATTCTTCTTCTCTATGAGCAGGGGGGCATTGCGGTCAGAGTGTTTTTAAACACAAGACACTTGGTACATAACAATTCCACGAAAGTATGTTAAAAGTACATTCCACATATAATGAATTGCAGTTAAGCTAAAAGTTCTAAAACTATATACAGTGATCATTGGAAAAATATATGTTTCAGTATGTAGTCCTTCAGTTTTAACACTAGAGGGTCAGGAATACATGTGTGTGCTCCTCACTCTATAGTGTTCCTTTAACAGATACAGTGATATTCCTTTTCACATTTAACACTGCAACATTTTGTACTATAGGCTATTTTTTTTTATTTTTTTACATTATTTACTAAAGTAAAATGGCTCTGCCTCCATGGCTGAAATCACTCTTGATGACCGCAACAATCTAAAGCATTGTAAGATTGTGCATGCGCTGCAAAATGCTGTGCTGCGCCAATCGACATCTCCTCATAGAGATGCATTTAATCAATGCATCTCTATAGGGAACATTCAGAGTCTCCATGCAGATCATTGAAACGCTGGACGCCAGTGCTGTACACTGTGCAGCACTGGACAAGGAAACACCTCTAGTGGCCTTATGAGTGACTGCCACTAAAGGTGTTCTTAGGCCGCAATGTCCGGAGTACGGATTGAGAACATTCCTGTCCCCCCAAAAGGAACACCCACATTGGTGGGAAATTTAATTTGAACCCTGTCTTGGACGAAGGTTTCCAGTGTTTTATATTGGTTTTTAACAGTTACTACTTTTAAAAAACATTTATATTGGTTTATCTTGTTGAAATCAACACCAATTAGTGGTTCCTTTCTGACACACTGCATCCTAGGTTTCTAAGAGAGCATTGTCACCCTATACAAGAAAGGGATTATTAGGGACTCACTATTATTAAAAGTAAAAATTAACTCTCCAACAACCTTTAACTAAGACATGCAAAAAAGACAAAACAGTTTGGTCTTTTTTGCCATGTCACCCTATATTTAACACTCTATCTACAGACTTGGAGCCAGTCAACTAAAGTGAACACATTACTTTTGGTTTATTTGTTTTATTTCTGCAAAATATACTGAATGTAAATTATACGTTTACAGCCTTTATTCCTGAAATACTAATCCAATTGTTTTATTCACTCACCTCTCTCTCTTTCTTTTTTTTTTGTTTACACAGCGTTGCATTATTATTGAGCTTTTTGTATTTTCCTACATGGTTACGTGGATGGGGCTGATCACCTAACCACTGAGCGATGTGAACACTGCTCTTTATATTGATAGTATGCAGGGACAGGTTATTGAGACCAGAGCCCCTATATTAAGCTGTAGTGGTTCTGGTGACTATAACGTCCCTTTAAGCTACTAAGAAAGTTATTAAAAGGACCTTCAATTCTTCATTATTTTGCATCTTCTACAGGACTAATATGGCAACTCAACTATCATGACTGCCTATCATTTTACTAATTACAGGGTTCCCTACTTTTCCTTATATTGTATTGCCAGAAGTCCCAGAGGAGAGTGACTAATGTTCCTATTTTTACAAAGAGGAGTATAAGTTACTGCTTATTCAGTGCTGCGTGGTATCAGAACCTTACCTCTATATTTAATAATTCCACAATCAACAATGCTGGAGCTTCCATGGGTTAATGAATGAGCGGTGGGAGGAAACCACACGCCATCTGCGAGCAACATTCTATAAGCACTTACTGAACACTGCAGCAGAAAATCCATGTTAATAATATTCGGTGATCTATTGTAACTAAATGTAACAAGAGTTAAACCAGCATCACTGCAGCTCAGACACATTCCTAGCGAGCAGCACGTGCTGTGTGTACAGGACAGGACCCTGTGATTGGCTGAGAGGCATGTCTTAGGCTAACATGTAATAGGGAAGGTGGAGGCTCTGGATGACAGACCCGGAAGCTGTGTGTAAGGGCAGTGAGCTGAGACTGTGCTCTCATCACAAGAGAGACCTATTCACAAGTCCCTGCAATCCCACCACAGAGCTTAGTCCTGGATCATGTTTACCTGAGATTCTGTAGCCAAGTGTCACCTTTATCCAGACTCTGCATTGGATTGCTTCACCCCCTGGTTAAAGCAGGCACATGCATGACAGGTGATTTCTACCTGTGTTCTTCTACCTGGAGTTGACATGTTGAAAGCACTCACAGGAAGCAGTGCAGGCTATGAGAGGCTCTCTGACAGTGGGAAGGTGAGTTCTCATTGTGTAAAACATGTCAGAAGTCTTAAAATGTTTTCATTTATTACAATCAAATCAAATCACATTGTGAAGTTTCATATTTGACACATACACAGTATCATTCTCTACCAGTTGGTTTCACTGATTCTTAAAAAAATTGACTACATCCTGAAGAAGATACAAATCCCACCTCATGTCCTTGAAAGGTGATGATCGCTGTTTCTTATTTACTAATCACAAACTGTGTTTTGTAAATATCATTTCCAGACACTCTGCTTACTGTACAGATAAGTGATCAGTCCCTATTAATACTGCAAAGAGTTCTCATTGTCCCAAGTAATCATATATTGATTTTAATTCTATATCTAAACTCCAGTCATAACCTGCTCAGTAAATAATTAATTGTAATGCTTGTTGGGAGCAGTTCTCTGCCTCCTCTTATGTTGTGTAATGTCACTGAGGTCTAGTTCATTGATAATTTACCTTAATGATCCTCCCTAGTCTAGCTGTCACAATCTGCAATACCTGAAATTGCCTTATGTTTCACCCCACCCACAATAAAATGAAAATGCTGTTAGGAGTTCTATCTATCTATCTATCTATCTATCTATCTATCTATTCATTGGTAGTCCCTACATAGCAGTTTTTATATAGATAGAACATATTGTTATTTTTGGGCTAGTACAGATTAGTTATAGATGCCATGGTTTCAGTTGCTGTCCAATTACTTTTAGCCTGCTGATCATGTCTCATCTAATCTTTCAAATAGGTAGCTGCACTCACGGATTTTAAAAGTCCAAAAGTTATCGATTAAATGTTAAAAGACGATCAACGTTTCAGTCCTGCACAGAGGACTTTTATTAAGAATTCAGCCAATAAGATAAATTCTGCAACTATTTCTTATCAGCAATGTCTCTCCTCCCAAACACAGCAACCATGCTCCTAAACAATTTTTAGAATGAATAGAGAATGAATGTAATTACTTTGCCTTGTAACTGCTTAGCCCCTTAAGTAAAGGCTAAAACTGATTCATCATAACTTTTTTTAAAAGGATGATGGATGTATTAAATGTAAAGTATACAATAAAAAATATACTTGACCGAGTGTGTCCATCATTTGGAACCAATACCAGGTTCTCTTCCTGATCTGCTCAGAGATTTTCAGCAGCACTAATTCCCACATTGATTTCAGTGGATGTACTGCACGCAATCTAAAAACAAATGCATCCATATTAGGGGTTACTATTTGTTAAATAGGCAAGATATTCACTTGGTCAAGTAACTGTGTACAATAAATACTTGTATATTGTAGCTGCGCTATCTTCAGACAGGGGAGGACTGGCAAATATCTGTCAGGGGGCAAATACAAACATGGCTCTCAAGCTGCGAAATATAGTTTTGACAGAAGGAGGCTGCTGGTCTTCGAGAGGGGACCTAATCTATGTTTGTGTTATCTTACTGCTGTACTCTTTTTTTGGTGCCAGGTGTGCCCTGTGTACTTTGACAAAACATTTAAAAAAATGTTTTAAACTTACCTGGTTTCCACTGGTCATCTGCAGCCACATGCCATGCTTCTCCTTGGAGGAGAATCCAGTTAGGTCCCCTGAGAAAGCAGGGCCATGCTTATTGGTTGGGAGCATCCACTCTAAGCCAAAGTGCATGGTGCTGTATAAGCCATGCTTTAACTTTTTGAAGACATCAAGCTTCTCCTGCAGGACATGCCTCATGGGCACCTAGAGGATCCTGATAAATTGACCAACCATCCTAAAATGCATTGACAAATTGCATTGTGATAGGCCAGGGCACTCCCAGCACCATAACCACTACACTGGGCAGTAGTGTCACTAATCTGACGACAAGATATTTTTGTGATATAAAAGAGTTAAATTGTTCATTTCTTTAATGCCATGGTAAGCAGACATGCATGTAGGATTTAAGTGTGTTAGTGTATAGTAACACATCTCTTATAGTACCAGAATAGACAACAAACAGTTTGCCTGGCAGTTTACTGTTAAATATCAATATAATTTCAGCAGTGAGATATGCCATACTTTAATAAAAGTATCATAGTTCAAGGCAATCTCACATTTAAGGAAACGTCTTAAAATCGTGTCAAATATAAACCACATGACAAGTTTGAATATCACATGGTGTTGACTTCCATATATTTTGTGTGTTTACTTTTTATTCGGTAAATCGTTTTACAGCTTAAGAGAAACTTTACAAAAACAATTGGAGTAGCTTTCACTGAAAATGTATTCCCCCCCATAACTGTAATATTCCCATCGGGCATCTATCGTTACATTTTAAGGACAGGTTGAAGGTTTTATGGAAGTAGTGAAATTGTGGGAAAGAAGGGTAATAAATGTGTTTTTAAGAAAAGTGTAGGTGATTAACCCCTTAACCCCTTAAGGACACATGACGGAAATATTCCGTCATGATTCCATTTTATTTCAGAAGTTGTGTCCTTAAGGGGTTAAGGACCAAACTTCTGGAATAATAGGGAATCATGACATGTCACACATGTCCTGTGTCCTTAAGGGGTTAAGATAATGGACAGTATAGCGTATGTCCATTATGAAGATGGCCATGTTACCCAGGTATAAGAAGACTTGCCCAAGGATCAATGTATGTGCACTTAAATCTAAGAATACTTGTAGGATCCTGTGACAAAATTAAGAAAGTTTTAATCTGGTTTGGTTCTTAAAAGAATGAAGACTAGAATGAAGGTTCCCTTGTCCAGTTCTAGGCAGCTCGATTTGGTAGTTTGTGGTTTTATGTGGACTGCACAGATCACTGTCATCATAACCTTCCCATTCGTTCACTTTGATGTGAGTTTTGCTGATATTCTGTATCAGAGAATTTTTAGTAAAGTGAGAATACAAAGTGAAATTTAAGTGTAAGTCCAATATAGCCGAACAAGAAAAATTAACAACTATGTTCCGAGCGGAGCTGCTTTCATTTTAAATTTTAAATTCACTTTGAATTATCACTTTGGTAAATGACCTTGTAAATCTTTTAATCAGAAACCAATGGGATTCTGAGCGCCTGCGTCTATCTATGCCTGGACCAGGTGTGTAATTAATAACTAATTAGCTGCACCTATCAACCTTTATTTGTTTTGCAAGATGTAGCTATAATGAACAAGTTGTAAAACACTCCACATTCTAAACCTGATCATGACTAACTTATTTTTTAAAGGGTATTTCTATGTAAAGTCTGTGAATTACATTTATGCACAGTATTGTACTTTTATTTTGTATTAAAAATGTTTTCTCCACTTTTTTGCTATTTCAGAAGGTCAATCCTGAGAACAATGCCTCTTTCTTCAATAGGATCACCTACTCTTGGTATAGCAGGTACTGTTCAAATCATAACTGATTATGATAAGGAGTAACATGCGCTAATCTGATGTTTTAACACATCCCCCTCCAAAACTTTTATTTAAAATGTAAAAAAAAAGAAAAAGATCCAGTTTGCAATAAGAGCCAAAATGAAGCAAACTATGAATAAAACACGTCAAGTCCCTCTATTGTATTATTAGGACAGAGGCAGAAAAGCACAGAAACATCAGATATTTGAATTGTGGACCAGAAGACGTAAGTGTGTGCCCATTCTTGTGAAATTAGCGCAAGACTGCAAATCCCCCAGTGTAACCTGAATACACAATGTTTATTACCCCTGCACCAAGAAATTAACACAGAGTGCTTAGTTAGTCAAGAGGACTTTTTAAGGTGACGTGTGAGTAAGGAAATGAAAGATATTAAATGTTTCAGTTGATGATAATTTAAATAGGTTTTCACAGTGATTACCTATCACCTAAGTGGATGCAAACTCCCATTCTTCAATCTCTGAGATAACGTGGGAGGCTCAGCTTCCAAGCTGCGCTAACCTGCCCCAGTGCTTGCATCCAGTCATTGCTGTCCATGGTCAGCAGCCTTTGCATAAGTAATGCAGCAATGAATCTTTGGGTGCCATGGAGAACCCTGATGTCTTTCAAACTGCTCCAAAATGGTTTAATGTAGACAGGAGGGTCAACTGTCAAAGACCCATGAGCTGTAGTGGTTATGGTGTTTTGAAGGAAGTACTGTTACCCCAGTTCCTTTGTGATCCTCTGACTTTGTGGCATTATGTTGTTCTGTTTATTGCAAGGTTTGAGCATTTAGAGTTGGGAAGGTTCCTTTAAGAATTCACTACCTGTTATTTTCTTGCAGGGTAATAAGTCTTGGCTATAAGAAACCTCTCGAAAGAGACGATCTGTTTGAGTTAAATGAAGATGATTCCTCTTACAATATCTATCCTGCTTTTGAAAATTCCTGGAGAAAAGAAATCTTGGAACATGACAAAAAGGTACATTTATTTCTCAATAAACCCTTCATTCATTTTCCTGTCTGCTCGCACCTCCCACACGTCCCCGCTCTGTCAGTCCCTGCATTGGCTTCCAGTTAGATATAAGGCTCAATTTAAAATTCTGGTGCTTGCTTACAAGTCCCTACACAATACTGCTCCAACCTACCTATCCTCCCTAATACACAAGTATGCAGGGCCGCCATCAGGGGGTGACAACCATGACTGTTGTCACGGGCCCGGCGGCCCTGAGGGGCCCGGACTGCTCTGGCAGTCCTGGGCCCCACTTTCTTTCTCTGTACACATAGATAGCGAATATCGCTATCTATGTGTGCAGCCGCAGGCCCCCAGCTCCCTGTTACCGCAGAGGGGCCCAGGCAGCACACAGCTTCTCCTCTTCTCTTCTTTCTTCTAATAACTCTCGCGAGACCCGGTTACCATGGCAACGCTCCGCGGGTCTCGCGAGAGTTATTAGAAGAAGAGAAGCTGTGTGCTGCCTGGGCCCCCTCTGCGTACGGTAACAGGGAGCCGGAGGGGCCCCCATGCCACCGGGCCACCACAGATGGAATCTCCCCCCTCCCTGGATACAGGTAAGCAGGGAGGGGGGAGAAACATTTAATTAAAAATTAATGTTAAAATGCCCCTTGCTCCCCCCCCCAGATTGCACATTTACACACACACTGCATACACTAACACAACACACACTGCATACACGAACACAACACACACACACACAGCATACACTAAAACAACACACACACAGCATACACTAACACAACACACACTGCATACACTAACACAACACACTCTGCATACACTAACACAACACACACACTGCATACACTAACACAACACACACTGCATACACTAACACAACACACACACACTGCATACACTAACACAACACACACACTGCATACACCAATACAACACACACCGCATACACTAACACAACACACACACACTGCATACACTACACACTAACACACACACACACTGCATACACTACACACTAATACACTCACTGCATTCACTACACTAACACACACTCTGCATCCGCTACACACTCACACACTCTCTGCATTCGCTACACATTAACACACTCTCTGCATTCATTACACTAACACACACTCTGCATCCGCTACACACTAACACACGCTCTGCATTCACTACACATTAACACACACTCTACATTCACTACACTAACACACACTCTGCATTCACTACACATTAACACACACTCTGCATTCACTACAAATTTACACACACTCTGCATTCACTGCACTAACACACACACTACATTCATTACACTGACACACTCTGCATTCACTACACACTAACACACACTCTGCATTCACTAAACTATGCATACACTCTGGATTCACTATACTGACACACACTCTGCATTCACTACACTAACATACACTCTGCATTAACTGTACACACAGCATCCACTACACAAACATCCTGTATTCACAGTACACATACTACATCCACCACACATTGAAACACTCTGCATTCACTATACACAGACACTGCATCTAATACACGCACTACATCCACTACAGACACTGCACCCACTAAACACATTTCATCTAGTACATACAAACACTACATCCACTACACAAACACACACTACATCACTGTACACACACTATATCCACTACTCAAACACACTCTGTGTTCACTATACACACTGCATCCGCTACACAAACACACACTCTGCATTCACTGTACAAACAGTATCTAATACACACAAACACTACATCCATTACACATATTCTAATTCACTTCCACTATACACACCACATTCAGTCCTGCATCATTGTCAGCGGACCAGGTAGGGCGTGGGCGGGCCCGGGAGGGAGGAAGAGGGGGCCCAGAACTTGTGCTTTGTCAGGGGCCCCAAAATTTCTGATGGCGGCCCTGCAAGTATGTCCCATCAAGGCCCCTACGCTCTGCCAAAGACCTACGGATATCCTCTTTCTGTACTCCCACCTCTAACGCTCACCTCCAATACTTTTCCAGGGCTTCACCTCTTCTGTGGAACTCCCTTCCCTTCTCCGTAAGACTTTCACCCAGTCTCCACTCATTCAAAAAATCATTGAAAACTCACTTCTTCAAGAAAGCATATCAATTAAACTGTTAGCAGGTTTTTATCCCCCCCCACCGTGACTCCTTTCCTGCAACTGTCAAAAATTACCTACTAAGCCCTCAGTGGATACTTTTCTAACAACCTACTTCATACCCCTACTTTTACCCTCTGTGTCACTATACCCCACTCCCTCTAGAATGTAAGCTCATTGAGCAGGGTCCTCCACCTCTCTGTCCAGTTGTCTGGTTACAATTACATGTCTGTTAGTCACCCATTGTACAGTGCTACAGAATCTGATGGCGCTATGTAAATAATAAAATAATAATAATAATTACCAAAATGTAATGTTGTATACGATCACCAAAGCATGTTCAAAATTTAAAATACCTATATTATCTTGGTGAATTAATAAACAGCAGATGTAAAAAAAGTGTTTATGGAAAATTGATGAAAATTTTAAGTGCAAATGCTAAATTGAGATGTATAAACAAAGTTCCAGCCTTGCCTTTTCTTTATTTTTCCATTTATATATTCAAATATAAATGTAATTTAATGTAGAGTGCACAATTCTTTTAACATTTACGATATGTTCATTGCATTCGTGGGAGTGCCAGATTTGTTTTAAAGGTGTAACCTCAACCTTTTGCCTAGTACGTTCCATATCCTGATAATGTAGAGCGATATCTCAAAATGAACTGAAAAAAAATGATCTATAAAGCTTGATTTGTCATATGGCTAATAAGCCCCGGTCTGTCTCTTTGGCCCATCATCATACATGACGTTTATTCCACAATGGTTGGAAAGTTACCTGTTGGCTGCCTCAGGTCTGTGATTTATGAGGCTCTGAAATTTTTTAGCAAAATTAAAAAAAAATCTGAAATCTAAATATATGATATAGTAAATATATTATCCTCCAAATTGCACAAAGCCACCACTAAATTTTCCAAAATTTACCTAAACTGGAGCTTGGTCGAAATTAACCATGCTGGTCATAATCCGGGATCTTCCTTAGGTTTTGCAATTTAGAGGCACATTGAAACTCCAGTGAATAAAAAAAATATATATATAACTATCAAAGGCATTGAAACTTCCAAAATGGCTACCTAGATTATCTCCTAATGCACATTCTATGAAATCTGCATCTGAATGTAGGTTCCACCAATTCAAGTTGCGGCATTCATTGCTATAACAGCACGCACGTAAAGGTACACTATAGTCACCAGAACCACTACAGTTTAATGTAGTGGTTCAGGTGTCTATAGCCTGTCCCTGCAGGCTTTTCAATGTAAAAACTTTTAAAAGTGATCTGAGGGGGGCTGTTTAGCTGAATAGTTAGTTTAACAATATAGTGTTAGGAATACATGTTTGTATTGCTGGCACTATAATGTTCCTTTAACTGTGTGAATGTAAATACAATGAAAGTTATTGGTGCCATTAAAACTGCGGTCTTCTTTATGTATCAACAGGGCTCTAACTATCGGAGAGCGTCTTTACTCTGGGCATTATGGAATACGTTTAAATATTTGATTGTCCAGGCTGCTCTGATGAAAGTAGTAGCTGATATTTTGGCCTTTGCAAGTCCTCAAATTCTAAAGTAGGTAAACTTCTCTGCAGACATTTTAAGTTAATTTTTATTATTATTTAATCACACACAAAGAGAGCGGATAATTGTACACTGGATTATGTTTGTGGTTTATTTTTGTAAAATGACAGGGCATGTGTATCAAATCTACCTCTGCTTTTGTCTTCAGACAGATGATTTTTTTCTGCGAGAACCAGTCAGACAATGCGTGGAATGGATACATCTTTGCTGTTGCTCTTCTTGTGGTCACTATTTTGCAAACATTGGTTCTGCAGGTCTACCAGCGCTTTAATATGCTCACGGCTGTGAAAATTAAAACTTCAGTTGTTGGACTTATATATAAAAAGGTAAGGTAAAGCCAGCAACAAAATCAGATATTTAACAAATCATCATTGTGTGTTTTTTTTTTTTTTTTTGCATGGTTCTAACATTTGGTTCCACTGAGGGCTTTTTTGGAGTTCGGTAGGATTTGTTCAGGGAGCCGAGGATCCACTTGGTAGAACTTTAATTAAAGATGTAGACAATTGTCCTATAATAAAATAAGTTTGAATACAATCAGAAAGCACTAAAATCATTGAACACATAATATGAGTGTGTACGGAACTTAATTTTAATACAAAAGTCCAGTCTAAAGGTACCAGTCCAATAACAGTATAAATTCTGATTTGTCTTTACTTGGATTTCTAAATTGTAAAAATGCATTATGTATTCAGAATTCTTTTCAATACATGTATGTCCTATACGGTCCTCTAAAGATATTCCCTACATTGTATAATTTAATAGATAACTTATTGTGAATGCTACAATGTGTGTTTAATCTGATGATGTACATTGTATACCAACCTTTACGTGTAATCTGATGTTACAGTGGTTGGTATATAAACAAGCCCCATCACTAATGAACTCAATGAGCTGGTTCGATGGGTTCACTGTGAAATGTTATCAGCATGCACAGTACAGGGTAAACTGGTCTTGTGTAATATGTAACAGATGAAGCTGATACAGCATTTTCCCCCCACTTTATATAATTCTTTATTTTTGTAATGCACGTCAAAGATAACATATTCGCAGTCTGGGCATTACATAATGACATAAGAAGAAACCAACATTGCAGCACAATGCAAGACAAGGAATCTGCACAATTTTAGGTATAAACAAGTTTAAATCAACATGTGAGTTTGTAGGACATAGTCTCCAGGTGTGGGAGATAAGTACTAGGCTGAGGAGCAGGCTTTAAGAGAAAGAGAACAAACAGCTTAAAGGGACACTATAGTCACCTGAACAACTACAGCTTAATGTAGTTGTTCAGGTGAGATATACAGCTCCCTGCAGGCAATCTAATGTAAACACTGTATTTTCAGAGAAAATACAGTGTTTACATTGATTGATAGGAATACCTATCCTATTGATAGGAATACCCACCAGAGGGACTTCCTATCATGTATGGCCCTAAAAAGGCCATGTACACGTCAGACGTATTAAAATACGTAATCAGCAAAGCAGCTGTCCATGTCCCCTTGGAGGAACTAGGCATGGGACTCCTGCAATATTCACTTTAGAGGTGCATAGTGATCATGGTTTGCCCTCAACTAAACAGAAATCGGATAATTCTACAGGCTTAAAATAGAATGAAATACCAAACAAATAATTGGGTTGGGAAGTTGAATATAAAAGTGTAATCACAGTAAGTGAGGATGATACAAAAAAAAACCATACCCTCGGTTGTAATAAACTGGCCAACACAACACGTTTCCAACAGTGAGCTGGTCTTTCTGAGGTCCATTACCTGAGGAAGACCAACTCACTGGTTAAAATGCATTGTGCTTACCTGTTTATTACTGGAATTTTACTATTGTTCTTTTTGACGTTGTTTAATGTAACAAAATTATTTTCAATTTTATTATTTTGGTTCCTGGTTATTAATTGTAATGATAGTGGAATGTTCCTGTGGACCTGAAATTGAACCAAGCAGGTTTACAAGACTCTAATCTAGATGTGATATTCTACCTGCATAGTTCATCCTCATAATAGGACTCATAATAGGCTCTAAAGATTCTGAGTTCTTCCCATAGCACTCCAAATTGCTGCTTTATATGATATATTGCACTAAATGTCTTTTTATTCTTATGGTTATACAGGTATTACATACACGAATTTGTAACAGGAGCCAACTATAACCATTGTGCGCCATTTTAATATTTTTAATTATATTTACTACAAGTATAAAGGAGTAACAGTACACTTGGGTGTTTATTGCTGCACTGGGTTGTATTTTATGAGAGCCAATTTTTACCCTTAATATAGTACAGTATAGACATTTATTGACTAAACCCAGATTTATAAGTGCAGAACACAAATGAAAGACTATATTTTTTTCTCTTTTTGCCTCTCTCATTTCCCTCCCTCCTTTTTCACACATTAAATAACTTTTTTTTAAAGATGTAGACAGCCCATGGGAAAACTAAAACTGTTATCAATTTTTATTTTTTTATTTTTGTATCATACATCCCATTTAATTCATTTTTCTATTTTTGAGCATGGAATATTTTATTTCATTAATTTTCTTTTTAAAGAGGTAAACAGTCTTGTATCAGTATGCAGAGGGATGACTAAATAAAGAGTTACCTCCTACTTATATATTTGAAAACCTTTCAAATATACCACTCATTTTCCATTACACCCCAAACCCTTCCCCTGGATGGAGGGGTCTGGGGTTCTTTTTCTAGTGATACTAGAGGGAAAAGCTTAAAGCTTCACTGTGCTCGAGAGGTAAGGCACAGATTATGACCTTATCCCAGTACTCTCTTTCCATTATATGAAATATAACAGAGGTGACCCAGACTGGACACATTTGTTCTTCCAGGGTTCAGATGAGATCTTCTTCTCCCTTTGACCTTAGTTGTTACATTAACGAGTCTCTGAATCCTGCTACATTTAGGTCCATTGATGAAAACAGCTTGTGGAACATGTACTGCTATATTTCTACTTTAGAAATTGTATTTTCTGTTGAATTAGTTTTTGAATTGCAGTATCCAGTTAACAATTCATTTAAGAAATAACCTGAGCCCACCTCTGAAAGCACTCATATATGCATGTTTGTTCCTAATGATCCTAATGGTCATTTTATTTATCTCTGTAATGCATATGTGAAAATACAATTAACTACTGCAAGCTCGTGATGTACTATTTAATTCATGTGTGTATATTACTAACACTTTATGTTTTTTTTTTTTTTAATTTTTAAATTTTAGTCTTTGAATTTGGCAAATTCTTCACGGAGGAAATTAACAGCTGGGGAGTTGGTGAACTTGATGTCGTCTGATGCTCAGCAGCTCATGGACCTAATGGTCAACTTGAATCTCCTGTGGTCAGCACCGTTCCAAATTCTTATGGCTATCATTTTCCTGTGGCAGGAGCTTGGCGTTGCAATATTAGCTGGTGTAGCCGTACTGATTCTTATTATACCTCTGAATGCATATATTGCTGCTAAAGTAAAGCAGCTAAAGGTAGACTCAAAAGATATTGTTTTCTTCTAAATTATATTTGCATAAATAATGTTTTAAATGGCTATTCTCCATTCACATGTAAAACTTGTCAGTTAGGCTCTGTTACTGTTATGAGATCAATGATACATCTTAAATGTTTCTGTTATATAGGTCACGCCTGGTACATAATAAATAACTTTCCTTTCTGTTTTATGTTATACAGAAAAGTCATCTAAAGAGTAAAGACCAGCGAATCAAATTATTAAATGAAATCTTGCATGGAATAAAGGTATTTTTTTTAAATATAATATTGCATTAAGCTGTTATCGTTCTGGTGACTATAGTGTTCCTTTAACATTTTCCAAGTATGCATCTTTGATTTTAATAGTGTTTTTTTTGGCCCAAATCACTTCTCCCTATGTTGTATCCTAGTGTCTCTTATTTTTTCTGTATATGTGTGTATAACCAAGATCTACAGCAATATATCTTTAAACTACAATAAATGTGTTTATTTGTAAAAAATATATTTTCATCCTGTTCTATATTACATTTTCCTGATGATGGGTATATGGCATGCATCCATTTGCATGTTCCAGGATTTAACGCATTTTAATATGAATAAAATGAGTAATGTACTGTGTAAATTACTTATCCAGTCTAATACTCATTTTCAGCATGATTAGTGAAAAAGTAGAGAATATTACTAAAAGTGAAAATGTGGAAATATACTTGATATTTCTTGCTAAATCAACATATTTTGCAGATTTTAAAGCTGTATGCATGGGAACCCTCTTATCAAAAGAAGGTTGTTGACATCCGGGAAAACGAGATGGATGTATTGAAATCCACCGGTTACTTGACTACATTCTCCATGCTGACATTAACATGTATTCCTTTTCTGGTAATCACTGTGCTATTTATTTGTTTCATTCTAATACAGTACACATACTATCGTTTTATAATAGATTGTTTTCTGTTATGTCCACACCAATTACTTACTGTGTATGTATATCTTTGCCATTTGGAAAGAGATTGTGTAATACAAACTTGGTGTTGTATGCTCTAAATGGTTAGTTTATATAATTTAACAACTATATAGTAAAATTCATGTTATGTTGAGAGCTGGACGAGGGAGGTGCTGAGTGTTTCTGTGTATCTAGCATTATGTATCTGTATATGTGCCTGAAAGAGTGTGTGTCTGTGTATGTGCATTTCTGACCGAGTGTGTATGTGTTTCTGGCATTTTGTAACTGTATGCGCACGAGCATCCTTGTCTGTGTCTGTGACCATATGTTTGTGAGATAGTTGCTTGTGTTGTGTGTAAGGGGGGTTGCTTGTGTTTTGATTTTGTGTTTTGTTTGTGGTGCGGCAGTGTTCCATATGTGGGAGTTGACTATGTATAAAGATGACTAATGTAATAGAGTTGAGGGGTGCATGTTAAAGGGTTAGAGTGGTAGGTTGGTGAGTGTAACAAGGTTGGGGGTAATTGTGATGGAGGGTGATTCTTACAAGATTAAGGGGTGAGTGTGACAGACAGTGCTGCAAAGTAAGGCATGGTGAGTCTGACAGGGTTGTGTGAATTTTGTATGGCTGTGCAGGGAAATCTTTTGATCTCCCTGCCGGCTCGCATGGGGAGGAACAATTAGAGCTGGAGCTCCTGGGCTCTGCCTGGGGGACACCTTGGTTAACTAATGGGTAATCCGGCCTTGGATTCATGTCAATAGAGGAGGATTGGGCTGGAGGGAGAACGTATCCTTGGAACTGTTATAGGAGAATTCTAAAGAAGCCACGTACAGAGAGTCCGGACACAGGTCAGTTCAGGAAGCAAAGGTCTTTATTCTCACTGATCGGGTCTCAGCTGAACTCATGTTCAAAATTTTTGAGCACTGAGCACATGGAGTACAGGCTTTTTATAGCTATTCATCCCCCATCTGTACCCTTACACCAATCAACAAACAGTATTTACAGCATTACCTTATATGGATAGGTAGTATGGCACTAGGAGAATGAAATGTGGTTTTTCAAATCCAGCACATGCTCAGTACATGGATGACAGTATCTTAGCTACACGTAACTAACTAACAGATACCTGTACTTGTATATGCCACATGGAGATTTTAGACCTACTAAGTTTTGGGCTTAGCTGAAATCTCATCACAGAACTGGAACGGGCGTGAGGTTTACCTCAGAGAGACTAACTAGCAGAGCAGTGCTCATGAAAACACTGGATTTTGGTTGGAGTAGTATTTTCAGTGGCGTACATACCAGGGTCACAGGGGTCGCGACTGCGACCGGGCCCGTCCCACCAGGGGGCCCGGCCACCCCTGCGACCCGGTATGTACGCCACAGGGCCAGCCTCTTCCCCTGGGGGGCCCAGGAGCCGACCACCCCAGGGCCCCCCGAGGCTTGCCCTGCTGTCACCCGGCACGTGGGCGCGCGAGGGAGCACTCACTGCTTCCTCTTCAGCTCCCTCGCGCACCGCACTGATACCGGAAGCCAGAAGATGACGTCATCTTCCGGCGCCGACATCCCTACGCGGCGCGCGAGGGAGCTGAAGAGGAAGCACTGAGTGCTCCCTCGCGCGCCCGCCTGCCCGACCGGCCACCCGCCCAGGAGCCCAGCAGCACCACTGGACCCCAGGGAATCCCCCCAGCACTCCAAAAGGTAAGGAGGCTGGGGGGATTACATTTTAAAAAAAACGTGTTAGTGTTAGTGTGGGTGTTAGAGTGAGTGTTAGAGTGAGTGTTAGAGTGAGTGTTAGTGTGGGTGTTAGTGTGGGTGTTAGTGTGTGTTAGTGAGTGTTAGTGGGTGTTAGTGAGTGTTAGTGGGTGTTAGTGGGTGTTAGAGTGGGTGTTAGAGAGTGTGTTAGTGAGTGTTAGTGAGTGTGTTAGAGTGAGTGTTAGTGTGTGTGTCTGCTAGTGAGTGTTAGTGTGTGTCTTACTGAGTGTGTGTGTTAGTGAGTCTGTTTGATGTCTGTTAGTGAGTGCGTGTTTGTCAATGAGAGTGTATGTTTTGTAAGTGAGTGTGTATGTATGTCTGTCGCTGAGTGTGTCTCTGTCAGTAAATGTGTGTGTCTGTTAGCTAGTGTGTATGCTTCTGTAAGTGAGAGAGTGTGTGTCTTCAGCACTTACCTTTCTCCAGCGCCGGACTCCCTTGGCGCTGGGGATCCCTCAGCCTCTCAGCTCCGAATGCGACCGCGCACGCATTCAAACCGCCCATAGGAAAGCATTACTCAATGCTTTCCTATGGACGTTCAGTGTGCTCCTCTAGCGGCTGTCAGTGAGACAGCCACTAGAGGCTGGATTAACCCTCAGTGAAACATAGCAGTTTCTCTGAAACTGCTATGTTTTCAGCTGCAGGGTTAAAACTAGAGGGACCTGACACCCAGACAACTTCATTGAGCTAAAGTGATCTGGGTGTTTGTAGTGGTCCTTTAAGTGTGTGTGCATCTGCATGCACTGGCGTACATACCGCGGTCGCAGGGGTCGCAGCCCTGTAACCCCTGCGACCAGGTGCCCACCGCCATGTGTTGCGGCCCGGCCCACGCGCGGGGGGGCCCACGGATCAATTTTCGCACCGGGGCCCCATGAGTGATGTGTACGCCACTGAGTATTTTAAATATTTGTCAAGCCAAAGAATTGGCACAAACATAACAATTCCCTTGTCAAAGTGCCACTTTTCACTGCTTATTGATTACCACCATAATAATACTTTAGTTGGGAAAAGTGCATAAAGCAGTGTAAATGAACTTTTTTTTGTTTTACCCAAATTTAGCATTTAAATGGCTTTTTCCACGTGGCATGCTATAGTTTGTCAGAATATTTGATTTTTGACAATGCTTTTCTAAAATTGGGCAATCAAATATTTAGTTTTTATGTATAATGAAACACACTAACCCTTTATGTGATACGTGCACACCTTTTATATGCACATATTGGTTTATATGAAAATCCTTGATCTTACAGTTTATCTATTATTTCATCAACTACAGTTTTACAGAAGATGTCTACCCGAACATATTTCAGAAATTAAAAGTGAATTTAAAATTTCAGGATAAAATAGCCAACTAGAAAAACAAATTCTCCCGTTTTCAGTTCGAAAATGTAAAATTCCAAACAATGTACAATTTAGTGAAAACCTTTGATGTTGTCTACGCCTTTGTTTGTCAGATTTTGTGTTTGACTCCAGCTGTGTCTGGGGGGAAAACATTTTTTTTACACAAAAATATAACAGAACGAGTATATTTTTTTCCACTACAATAACACCACAAAAAAGAAACAAAATGGAGAACTGAACAATCCAGAAATAGATGTTTTTAATATACAGCTTGCTAAATCCTTTCTCTCCCCTAATCCTTTCTCTCCCCCAAACCTCTGTTTTGTAGGTATCCATAGCAACCTTTGGTGTGTACTTTTTATTGGATGATGCAAATGTTCTGACGGCCTCCAAAGTTTTTACCACTATTTCGCTGTTTAATATTTTGCGCCTCCCGCTCTTTGACTTGCCCACTGTAATCTCCTTGGTAATGCAGGTAAATATATACATTTTTATATGCCAACGTTTTCTTACTTTTTGCTAAAATAGATGTTTTGTTAATTTATAAATGTATGCCCTGAATACAAATGTATAAAGATCTCGTAAAACGCTATCTGGTGATCTGTATAAAGATTATCACACAGTAAGAGAAAAGGACAATGAAATTACAGCAATGAAAGAATTTTTAAAGATATAGAAATGATTGATTTCAAATCCCAAATCGTCCTTTTTAAAAACGGTCATGACAGATAATGTGGCAGGACCATCACAAGTACGGAAATGGACTGAGTGTATTCCCAGCAAAGGAGAATGTACAGTTGGAATTATTCTAATTAACAGTGTTAATAATACCTCATTGATCAAACAAGATATCAGATAATCAGAATAGTTATTTTTTAAGCAAAATATGGAATGGCTTCAATATGAGTCAGTAGGAGTAATGTGAATGCATGGAAGGTTGAATTTGAGTTAAAAGGACACCCCGAGCTGGAAATAAACACTTGTTCTTTTAAATACAGTATACTTTACTCCCAGTGTCACTAGGAATGGTAAATAAATGAGAATTTCTACAGCATGTAGTAGTCTGTTACCATTTGGAAACAGAAGTTGAAGATAAATTTACACATTCCTAAAGTTTTATCAGCAGAATGTATTTGTTTAGCTTTAATTAATTTGCTCAATCTGAACAATTTACAGCATGTATATAAAGCAAGGCAAGTTGTGTTACCTTGTATTTTAATATTCCTGCTTGTGGCTCAGGTGTATGAATTAAATTTTTCAGTCTTTTATCAGCCCTTCTCACTGTGTTACTATATTGTATGCCACCAAATGTCTTGACTCCATCTGGACAAATTGTTACTGGTGTTTTTTAGCACATTATATTTAAAGCATTTTTAACACATTTGTATAATCCTGTCAATTTTAAAAAGCCGAAACACATTTTCAATCTGGTCACAAGAACATTTTTGAGTATTATCAAACTCTAGTCACGGAATAATCTATACCAACATGGAATGTTCTGTAACCTGATGACAGGTGTGCTGCTGATAAAGGAACACTATAGACACCATAACAACTCACCTGAAGTGGTAATGGTGCTTGGGTCCCCTAGCACTGGTTCTCACTTCAATGTTCATTTTTGAAGGGTTTAACATTGAATGAGGGTCACCAGAGCCATTGCTGATTCTGGGTATGGCTAAATCACAATTATACTCCAGTTTAGCCATACCAACGCTTACTAGCTGAAATAGGCTTTCACGACTGCCTGTCATCACTCAGGCATATATGTACGCATGAACCCAGCTATTTTTGGCTGTTCTAAGTGATCTCATAAACTCTTGCTTGGGGAATTAAGGAGTTAATATTCTTTTCCTATATAATGCGTATATCTCTTTTAAAATGTGGTTGATACTCTTTTAGACTAAAGTTTCCCTTGGTCGATTGGAAAACTTTTTTTGCGGAGAAGAACTTAATCCAAATTGCATTGAAACTAATTATAATGGAAGTAAGTAGATTTTTTAAAATAAAGCCCCCACCATTTTTTCTGTCTTCCTACTTGCTATGTTATCTATACATGTTCGTGTTTTTGTACTACTAGATCACTCTGTGGGTTTTGTTGGTGCTTCTTTGCAATGGGATAAGACAGGACCTTGTACTTTAAAAAAGTAAGTAGTTTAATTTTATAAGTAGTACTGAATCTGTATTCTCTACATTTTTAATAATACAACGTATGCAGAGATCTGATTAAACAGATTTTGATGCCACACATGTAATTTGACTCCCCATTCTTTTTCTAATAATGAAATGTTAATTCTTAATTTGTTTTTGTACTACGGAGTGTGCATTTTCCATCTTCCCTTGAACTCGTCAACTCTTCAACTTTTTCGGTAAAAAACAAATGTCCTAATATTACCCTAAATTTGTAATAAATATAATTTTACTTAATTGGATTGTTGTGGTACTACTACTGGAATCTTGTTCTGCCTGTATAGGCACCCTTGGGCTTTACATAGAGAGCCTGACACGGCTCTGCATCATATCTAAGTTTGATCCTAAGACCTCTGCTAAAAATCAGTATAAGTATTTTTATTTATTTTATGTGTTACACTTTTGGTGGTTGTATTAGTGCTTATTATTTTTACTATTGTATTCTCTAGTGCAAGGGGAGCACTTTGTAAAATATACACATAATCAATATTTACTCCAAGAAGCGACTAGATACACTTTTTCCTTGTTATTTTTAGTAAATTCAAATCTCTACAAGATCAGGACAGCAAAGTCTGTTTTATTATTTGTAAAGATAGAGTACATGCCTCAAATACAAATACCTAAATAGGTTTCTGTTAGGAGCAGTCTACAGCTTGTATTTGGAAAAGTAAATGCTTTATTCCACCTAACTTTAAGAGAATTTTAAAGTTTTTTTATTTCTGTAATAACACAAATCATTTGTATTCTTTAGTTTAAATATGAAGATTCCTGAAGGATCATTAGTTGCTGTGGTGGGCCAAGTAGGATCTGGAAAATCCTCTCTGCTTTCTGCTATCCTTGGAGAAATGAGCAAGTTGGAAGGAACTATTCAGCGAAAGGTAAGAATATATTGCAGATATATATGGTGTGGTACAGGGCCGGACTGGGAAGAAAATTCGGCCCGGGCATTTTTTAATTACAGCGGCCCACTAAAAAGGGGGCGGGGGCAGATAGGGTGTGTTTTGTCATCACCAATGACAAGCACGCCCCATTGCAAAGTGAGCATGTTGGTTCAATGCTCTTCCAGGGTAGACCATGCGCAGAGCTCTGCTGAAGAGCTCTGGCATGAGAAAAATACCCTTTATTTGTTCTGCACAGCGCAAGCAAATTTAATAACATGCTTGCACTGTGTTTGCTTGAAATTTGTCTTTGGTGTCTCCATAGTTGGGATACCAGGAGACAAAAATGCCAGGAAAGCATATTGCGCAGTGTGTGTGAGGGTGCTCTGTGTGTGTGTGTGTGTGTGTGTGTGGGGTGTAGTGTGTGTGAGAGAGGGGTGCAGTGTGTGTGTGTGAGTGATGGGTGCTGTGTTTGCGTGAGGGTGCTATGTGGGTAAGGGTGCTGTGTGTGTGATGGGTGCAGTGTGTGTGTGCTGTGTGTGAGTGGGTGCTGTGTTTGCATGAGGGTGCTATGTGCATGTGAGGAAGCTGTGTGTGAGGGTGCAGTGTATGCATGTGAGGAAGCTGTGAGTGTCAGGGGTGCAGTGTGTGTAAGTGAGGGTGTGTGATGTGCGTGTCAGGGGTGCAGTGTGTGTGCTGTGCGTGTCAGGGGTGCAATGTGTGTGTGTGAGGGTGCTGTGAGTGTTAGGGGTGCATTTTGTGTGTGCTGTGAGTGTCAGACGTGCAGTGTGTGTGTGAGGGTGCTGTGAGTGTCAGGAGTGCAGTGTGTGTGTGAGGGTGCTGTGACTGTCAGGGGTGCAGTGTGTGTGTGAGGGTGCTGTGAGTGTTAGGGGTGCATTTTGTGTGTGCTGTGAGTGTCAGGGGTGCAGTGTGTGTGTGAGGGTGCTGAGAGTGTTAGGGGTGCATTGTGTGTGTGCTGTGAGTGTCAGTGGTGCAGTGTGTGTGTGACGGTGCTGTGAGTGTCAGGGGTGCATTGTGTGTGTGCAGTGTGTGTGTGAGGGTGCTGTGTGTGTGTGCTGTGAGTGTTAGGGTTGCAGTGTGTGTGTGTGTGTGTGTGTGTGTGTGTGTGCTGTGAGTGTTAGGGGTGCAGTGTGTGTGTTTGTGTGCTGTGAGTGTTAGGGTGCAGGGTATCTGTGAGTAAGTGAGACTGCTGTGCCCTGAGTGATTATATCCCCCCTCCCTGCTTACCTTTAGCCTGGGAGGGGGGATCCTGCTGCTGGGGCTGCCATCCATCCCTAGTGGTGAGTGAACTCTAGCGAGACCTGGAGCGTTGCCATGGCAACGCTCCGACTCTCGCGAGAGGAACCCGGCGGAGCTGTAAGTTAGAGCTCCTCCGGGTTCCTCTGCTGGCAGGCTGGCTCTCTCCCCGCCGGCAGCCGCTATATCCTGCATGTGGGCCGGTGAGGGAGATCTTTGATCTCCCCAATGGCCCGCCATGGACTACTGCAGGGCTGGCGCTCAGATAGTGCCGGCCCTGCAAAGACCGGCAGGAGAGATCCTGTGATCTCCCTGCCGGCCTCGGCCCACGGCCACCGTGTCCCACTGGGCCTGATGTGGTAGCTCTGTGGGTACGCATGTATATGTTTTGAGGAAGGGGCTATGTTTACTGTGAAGCAGAATGCTAAAAGTAGAATTTTTGTTGAGCTCCAGTATTAGCATTTAGCGTTATGGTTGCTTTTTTCACATATACCTGTAGTTTTTCGTTAGTTATTGCTCGTTACATTAAGAATGTTTGTGGAGCTATACATGTACGTCTAACCAACCTGTTTTTAATTAAACACAGGGATCTGTGGCCTATGTTTCACAACAAGCCTGGATACAGAACGCTGTTTTTCAAGAAAATATCCTATTTGGGTTGACCTTCAATAGACATTTTTATGAAGAAGTCCTGGAAGCTTGTGCTTTGTTGCCAGACCTTGAATTATTGCCAAATGGTGACCAAACTGAAATTGGAGAAAGGGTGAGTCCTTTATTCAAGTGTTAGAATTTCAACACGAAATGTGCAATTTGACGATTTCTGCTGCTTTTTTTTCTATCAGGGTTATTTACTAAAATGAGAATTAAAATTGAATTTCAAAATTATGTTCAAAATAGCCACACTGAAAAAATTCTTTAAATCATCTATGTTTCCAGTCCAGCTATATTGGCCTTAAATTCAAAATTCTGTTTGAATTCTCACTTTACTGAATATCCCTGAATATCTGTTTTGATAATATGCCATCCTGTCCTAAATATGGTTTTATGTTTTTGGCAGGGAGTGAATCTTAGTGGGGGTCAGAAGCAGAGAGTAAGCCTGGCGAGAGCAGTTTACAATAATGCCGATATCTACCTTCTCGATGACCCCCTGTCTGCGGTTGATGTCCACGTTGGGAAGCATTTATTTGATAAGGTCATTGGTCACAACGGCCTGCTGAAAAATAAGGTGAATTTTTTTAAGCCACTAAGTTTTTTTGTTTTTTTTTAAATGAGTAATGTTGCTTAACCTCTAATACCAGTTTATAATATGAAGTTTTAAAACAATCTAAATAAATCACTTTTGCTTTGGAACCAAAACGCTCAAGCACTCATTTCAAATTAATAAAGTAACCATGTTTATCAGAGATGGACATCAAAGGGTACTTCCTCTACCGTAATCCATAGCAATTTACCTGAACATTTAATCACTGCCCACCGAAGCTGAAATTTATAGAAGTGACGTGTCCAAGATGAACACCTACCATATGCTGTTGAGAAAGGTTGATCCAGATAACTCTGTTGTGGCTTGTGGTGTGAATATATCGTTGTAATATTTCTATGTATAATATTTCTATTCATATAGATCAGTGGGTCATAATCATGTGATAAAACCATAAATTGTGCCACATGCTGTTTCTCTATTCATAGGGTTCCCATATGGTAGGACTAACCACATCATTCTTTACGCAACGGAATGCAATAAATTGTTTACTGTAGCTGTGCTGACTCCCCCACTGCTATTGAGAGATCTCTGTGATGTCTGGGACAGAATTTCAATGTTTTGCAGACTTTATGTTATAAAATATGCTGGTATATGAGAATGGCTCGCTGGCCTAATTTTACATTAGTAAAATGGATCCGCAACTTAATAGTTGCTATACTATACTATATACTGTTATATACTATAACATATACATTTTAATTTAACACAAGTAATTGTGACTATTGTATTGTGTTAACATTTTTTCCATACCTTGCATGAATTTTTTGCTCGGCTAATTTATTCTTTCCTCCCAGACCCGAATTCTTGTGACCCACAGCCTGACTGTCCTTCCACATGCAGACCTCGTTGTGTTAATGGAGGGAGGACAAATAGTTCAATTTGGAACATATGGCGATCTGATCTCTAAAAGGCAAAACTTTGCTGATATGATTCAAGTTCTGAATGCAGACGCTGAAAAAGAAGGTCTGAATAAAGAAGAATGTAAGTAGTTTTTTTTTTGGTGGGGGGGATCCTAAACAAATCCCTACAACATGCTTAGTAGAATGTCCCACTGCTACTGGTTTGTATCACCAAATGTTCTTTAAAATCAGTTTTTCCAATGAGAATGTTTTACTGGCTTGTGAAAAAGTTGCTTACATTTTTCAGTTTGGTTTTTAGTTTGGCAGTTTTATTCTGAATAATGTATAAAGAAATTATGTTTATGTTACTACTTCTTTGTGTCACTTTTCATTTATTTATTTTTTCATTGACTAAAATAAAATCTGATCTTTGTTCAGCAAGTCCCTTGAAAGCCAGAAATGTGAAGAAGATACCACAAAGGGATATTTTGGCTCAAAAAGAGAGGTATGTAGTGTGTTTTTTTTTTACAATTAGCAGACCAATTACACACAGAAATAAAATTAAAATGTAGTGTTTGAGATCAAAATATTGTTCTCTTTTGAAATCATGGCCGGAATAGTTGCTGTTTACTCACCCCACGTCAGTGGTTATGGTGCCAGCTGGTCACTGATGCCATTCCGTTGTACTGCGTTAAATCGTGTTTGAGCAGTTTGACACAAACTTAGTCACGCAGGTGCCCATGGCTCAGACCCTGGCTGGTGATATTGCTAATGATGTAGCTACACTTATCAATATCATATTTGGACAAAATTAATTGACTTAGCTGACACACTTAGCCAATCAATGCCAACCAAACCTGAACAAAATTGACATTGCTAATGCAGATGTCCAATGCAGATTTGGAATGTGCCAAGGCCAAACTAGCACCAAAACAACTACACCAACACATAGTGGTTGTGGTATTAAGCTATCTATGTTCATTATGCTCTTTGAAATATTGTCTTTTAAATGGGATTAAACTACAACTCCTATAAATATCAGCCAATCAGAAATATATGTAACTGCTGTCAGACTTGTCTTTAAAAGTTAAATGCAGGCTATACTTGGATTATGGAGTCTGGTTTCATGTTAATATATTAATTACATTCAGTAAAGCGGTTCTGTCATTTTTTTTCCATTGAATTTTATTTTTATTAAGTCCTCATAATGCCCCACCTGGCTCTATGTTGTCTGTCATGACATCTATCACCGTGAAATGTATTGTTCTGTTATTGACGGTACTTTATAGCTCAACCCAGGATATCATGCATTAAGCTTCTCTTGACCTTCTGTGGCAGCGAATGAACTTGCATGTAGAGCAAGAGATTCGGTATTCATGCACACTAGGACTTACTGAAGTAGGAAACACCACATAGGAACAAGCTAACACAGTGTGTAGTATCACTGAATATCCAAAACTGTCTTAAGGCACATATCCGATTAAAAACACATATACAATGTTTTGGACTGTAGCCTTAATCACGCATATCGAGTTTCAGTTCTTTACTCTTTCAACGTGTTTCCTAATTAGCAAATTTAGATGTAGGTGCCATGCATGTATATTTTGAGAACAGTTATATTTAAACTTGGGGGAAACTACATTAACCTTACTTATTGAGTATCTATGGTGTGAATATATGAGTGAATAGGTTTAAACATAGAAACATAGAATATGACGGCAGCTAAGAACCATTCGGCCCATCTAGTCTGCCCAACTTTCTAAATACTTTCATTAGTCCCTGGCCTTATCTTATAATTAGAATAGCCTTATGCCTATCCCACACATGCTTAAACTCCCTCACTGTGTTAACCTCTACCACTTCAGCTGGAAGGCTATTCCATGCATCCACTACCCTCTCAGTAAAGTAATACTTCCTGATATTATTTTTAAACCTTTGTCCCTCTAATTTAAGACTATGTCCTCTTGTTGTGGTAGTTTTTCTTCTTTTAAATATAGTCTCCTCCTTTACTTATGTGTTGGTCTAAGCAAAATAATCACTACATGTGACATCTCAAACAATAATTGTTTTTGTCTAAATTAACAAAAATACTAAGAATACACTCATGCTGTACGTTACAAATGTTCTCCCTTCCCCGAAGACTGCAGCTTCCAAAACTTTGACAGACGCAGTGTCTTTGGTCTAATTCGAAGGTTTATCTGTTGAGGTTGCTCAACTCTTTGGGAGCCAGAATGATGACCAATTCCATTACCGTTTTAAAACATATGCTTACTGGGGCCATGCGTTCCTTGGCAATCTTATCAACATTGACATTCAAAATTAAAAAAAGATTTTTGTACAACAGATTTTTTTGTGTGCATTAAAAAACATGTGCTTCAAAAATAAATAAATAAATAAATACAAGGAGTTTAACCTAAGTTGCCAGAGTGAAAAACAAAACACTAAACCATTGAGGCTGTATGGTAACACATGTAGTAACAAAGCTAAGCTCCAACACTGTCTGTCTGTCTGCTGATAATGTGTTGTGACTGCCTATAATTTATCCTCTCTACCAGCAGTGTGCACTGTCAATGTGTTCCCCAATCCCATCCATGTGTGTGTCTGAAACATGCTGGTAGATTATTTCAGATTTCCAGGGACAGTTCACACCATTGTTATCTTTGTCCTGAATTCTCAATTCTTCTTCTTTTTTTTTTTTTTTTCTGTGCTGTAAATTAATCAGGAGATGTGGGGATGGGTTCTCCAGAGAGTCCAATTCCATGGGTAAAGTCTCACCATTTTTAAACGTCATCACCTACAACTGCCCTCCAGGGTCACAAATGAAATCTGATTTTCAGGACAATGCCTGGCACATTGGTCGGTTATTTACTTATTAACTGTTTTGGTTTTTGTTTTTTTAAACAGGCCATCATTTCATGCTCAGAAACAGACTACAATAGGTAAAGAAAAGGTGGCAACTGGAAATGTAAGTAAATATATTTGCTAATGCAAATGACACACATGTATTTGTGATCTGTTCATTCTGGTTTTAATTGGTGGTCACATCCTTTGATGTTTTGCAAATAGAACAGTTTTTAATTATATTCACACGGTGAATGTCTACCATCTCTGTTTTTTTAGGTTAGCAATATGTTTGGTAGTAGCATTTGTCTTATTTATTTTTTTTACTTTTCAATCTTTCACTTAAAGTCATGGGAAATAGGACACACACCCTCTTTGCATTCTGTTCTTTTACACATCAGGACATAATACCGGATACACGGTGTAATATGTCACGTGTTGTTGTTCATCTGATGATATATTTGCCTAATTGTAAGACCTGCTAACAAACAGATGATTGTTATTATGTCCTGTTATGTAAATTCAAAGAGGGTGTGCTTTCTTTTTACAATGACTGTAATATACATATATTGTATGAAACTATAAACATGATTCAAGTTTTTTGTATGCACAATCAAACAGAGGTGATTCACTTTACAATGATGGCCTCTTGAGAAATTAACTCACTTTATTAGCAAGGTATGCCTGTACACTTGGCATTCCACTAAGCCTTAATATACTAATTGTGAATTGACCCTCAAAGTTTGTTCTAAGCAATGCTTGTAAGTATAGGACACAAACAAAAATGGAACATTGGGATAACTGGTAAATTCTTACTGAACATGAATGGAGAAGGGTAATACAGAAGCACTGTTAAATAATTAGGCCTAATATAAATGATTAAGTCCAGGCCCATAAAGACTTTGATCTAGTACTGGTTACTTGGTACTTGGTAATGGCTTGATTAGGTGATGCTGGATGCTCTTCCTGGTGTATTGAGGCCCTGATGATAACACATAACAGGTGAACGATTGCAGGTGAACAGTCTGACATTGGGAGAGGCAAGATAAGGATAAAAGTTAAAAGGACACTATAGTCACCTGAACAACTTCAGCTTAATGGTTGTTCAGGTGAGTACAGTAGCTTCTGCAGGCTTTTTCATGTAAACACTGTATTTTCAGACAAGTGAGTATGTCAGAGAAAATACAGTGTTTACATTAGAACCTGTGTGAGAGTGAGTAAGTGGGTGAGTGAGTGACTGGCTGAGTGTGAGTGAGAGGGAGTGTGAGTGAAAGTGAGTTAGTGAGTGAGAGGGTTAGCGAGTGAGAGTTAGTGAGTGAGAGCTAGAGAGTTAGTGAGTGAGTGAATATGTGAGAGAGAGAAAGTGAGTGAGAGAGTTAGTGAGTTAATGAGTGAATTAGTTAGAGAGAGTGAGAGAGTTGGTGAGAGTTAGTGAGAGTGAGCGAGCGAGAGTGAGAGAGTGAGTGAGTGATAGTGAGTGATAGAGTTATTGAGTAAGAGAGAGTTAGTGAGTGAGAGAAATAGATACAGAGACACAGCGATAGATACAGAGAGATAGATAGATAGAAAGAGATAGATATAAATAGATAGAGATAGATAGAAATAAATAGATAAATAGAAATAAATATATAGATAGAGATAGATAGAAAGAAATATATAAATAGATAGAGATAGAAATAGATAGGTAGAGATAGATAAATAGAGTGTGTGTGTGTATGTTTACAATATTTAAAATTTGTGTGTTTTTGGAAACACACAAACTTTGGGCTGAGGAGGGTTGCGGTAGGAGGAGGCAGGCATAAACAGCGAGCTGAGCTGTCAGTCACCTCAGCTCTCAAACGCGCATACCGCACACATGCGCAGTAGAGCACTTAGTTCATTCATAGAGTGGCATTCAATGCCGCTCTATGAAGAACGCGATCAATTAGAACCATCTGACTGAGTCCTGCTACTTCGGCATTTTTACGAAAAAGGGGGCGTGGCCTGCCGAGGAGCTTGGCACTGGAACGGAGGTAAGTTTAAATCATAAAAAGCACTCAAATTTGTACTTCTTTTTAATGGGAAACTAATTTAAAAGCAGGAAAGAAGGCTAGGGGACCTGTATTTTTGCTTTTATATGTTGACTATAGTGATCCTTTAACTCATGCCTGATGTAGGTCTTGTCTGTTCCTGAAAAGTAATCATGGATCGCCTTGTATTGACCTTCTAAATCTTTGATAATGCTTTGGGTACAGCTTGGGTTTAAAAGTTATTTAATTACTTAAAATACGCCTATAGACACTTTAGAATAGTGATTGATACTATCAGATATTATGTAAGAAGAGGATTGCCTGTCAAACTGGAAACTAGCCTGAAATCTTCTGACTGCCATATATTTAACATTATTTTACTTTTTCATAGATGAAAATGTCTGTTGTGATGAAGTATCTACAAGCGTTTGGATGGTTTTGGGTGTCCTTTACTGTAATTGCATATGTTGGCCAAAATGCCATGGCAATAGGTCAAAATGTGTGGCTCAGTCAGTGGACAATGGAAGCCAAATTAATTAAAGATGCCAATGAATGGACAGAACTAAGGAGCAATAAACTTGGAATATATGGCATTTTAGGATTTGTACAAGGTATGATTTGAATGCATTGGGCTTTTTTTATTATTTGAAATGAGTTACACCGTTCACGTTTTAGACTTTCTACCAATAAATCTCATAAAACATTTTTGACCAAACTCTGTGATTCTTGATTTCCATGTCTTGTTAAAGCTAGTAGTTTGAAACATTGTACACATTACTACGTGTTTAATTGTTAATGTTGATCCTTTTGTTAACAGGTATTTTTGTGTGCTATGGTGCATATGTGATCACAAGAGGAACAATTTTTGCCTCCCGATCATTGCATAACCAGATGTTGGATGATATTCTGCATCTTCCTCTTCAGTTCTTTGAAACAACACCAATGGGTCAAGTGCTAAACAGATTTACCAAGGTAGGCAAGGGACACTTTTTTTCTGCAGCTTGTTTCGATGTACCTTTGGGAGTCCTGAATATGCATTACATTCAGGATTCAGTCTTAACGTACGGGAAATAAGTGGTTAAAATGCGGATCTCTATTTTCACATTAAAGGAAATAGTCACCAAAACAACTACAGCTTACTTTCAGGCGTTTTCATGCCTTTTCAGAGGTCCCACCGCATTCTGCCTCATTGACGATTTGAGCCAATCCAATGCTTTCCATATGGGAAAGAATTAGATTGGCTAAAAATTGTAAATTCTGATGATGTCTCCAAGCAGGCAGATCAGTAAGTTTTACCCCTTCTAAGGAGGTTAAGGGGGAATAAGCCACCTAAATGATGATTTTAACACTATAGGGTCAGGAATACATGTTTGCGTTGCTGACCCTATATTGTTCCTTTGAAGTTGTTCATCACATGAGGTGTTTTGACCAGTTTTTGTCTCTATGTCTGCCAACAGAGTACTTGACTCTAATCAGAAAATATTATTTGTGGCTGGATATATTTTTAAAGGGACACTATAGCATTAGTAATACAAACATGTATACATGTTGCTGTGTTATACTATATGTTTGGATTAGTAAGAAAAAAAGCAGATTTACATAATCTATTTCACCCTATGCCAGGATCCATGTGTTTGTCCTGCCTCTGCTGGCCAAGATCATTAATATTGATAATCTCAGTTTATCCAGTGTTTCCCCATAAAGAAGCATAGATACTCCGAAAGTCGTTCTTGCATTTTTTTATTCAAACGTTAGCAGTTTATTATAAGTTATTATAGGATAATAAACATAAAATAAACATTCCATTGGCACATTGCATCAGGAAGCAGCCCCAATAGCCATGGGAATCCCTCATTCTAAACTAACTTTAGATGAGACATCAGCCTGATGAGTTGGATGTAGTGGTTTCGGTGCCTATAGTGTCCCTTTAAAAACAGAAGATATATTAAGATAGGAAGATTTAAAGGGAAACTGTAATTCCCAACTGTTTTAATATTATGTTTACTTATCCCTCTATTTAACAGATATATATGTATTTGTAATGTGTGAAAAATGTCCTCTTCATTTGCAATATTTGCCCTGACTTTCCTTGCCTGAATTGGATTACGATGTAATTTGCTACACGTGTAATGTAAATGTAAATGTAAAAGAAAATGAAGCACCTTATAAAAAAGATTAATACACATTATATATGATTTTCAATGTTTTATTCAATAGTGTAATTTCCAGAGAAGTCTTTAATAGCATTTTCATTTAGGATACAACCACAAAGAAAAAAAGTTAATCTCCCCAGGTCTCCATATTACAAGCTGGTTACTAGATATGTGTACATTAGAATTAGATTGTCCTTCCCACTGATGGACCTCATAGTGTGCAGCTCTTGTTATGCTACAAGCCTCAGACTAGATGTTGGATGCTTTAGCCGTTCTTCATAGCTGCTCAGCTTAATAAATGGTGATCCGGAGAGTCTGGCCTGCTTAGTTGTCCTTAAATAAATGTCTGTGAATATCTCTAGGTGATTGGGCAGATTAATATTTCAAGTTTGGTCTTTGATCTTATCTGCTCTTGCAAGTGGTGATTGAAAAGCTGACGTAAGATAAGTTCACTGTCTTAAAGAGGAACTGGGACTCCCAGAGAAGTGTCAGTTCCTTGTTTCTCCACTCCAGTAAATGCTATTATAGCATTTATTGGGGTGTTAAGAGCAGCAGAGGTAAGTAAAAAGCTTACTTACCTCCGCTGTACTTTGGCATTGCTGAAGGAATGCCCATGATGCCTCTGCTAGCTAGAGTTTGCTAATTTGACGGGCACCTGGCCGGCAAAGTATTTAATTTAAACTAGAATGAGCAAAAAAATAATTAAAATGTTTACTTATCTAGTTGTGCTAAAATTGAGGAAGTGACAGCTCCTTTTTAAAGGACCACTATAGGCACCCAGACCACTTCAGCTTAATGAAGTGGCCTGGGTGCCTGGTCCAGCTAGGGTTAACTCTTTTTTTTATAAACATATCAGTTTCAGAGAAACTGCTATGTTTATAAATAGATTAATCCAGCCTCTAGTGGCTGTCTCATTGACAGCCGCAAGAGGCGTTTGCGTGCTTCTCACTGTGAAAATCACAGTGAGAAGACGCCAGTGTCCATAGGAAAGCATTATGAATGCTTTCCTATAAGACTGGCTGAATGCGCGCGCAGCTCCTGCCGCGCATGCGCATTCAGCCGAAGAGGAGGAGAGGAGGCGGAGAGAAGGAGGAGAGCTCCCCACCCGGCGCTGGAGAAAGAGGTAAGTTTAACCCCTTCCTCCACCTAGAGCCTGGCGGGAGGGGGTCCCTGAGGGTGGGGGCACCCTCAGGGCACTATAGTACCAGGAAAACGAGTATGTTTTCCTGCACTATGGTGGTCCTTTAAGTTAATCAAGGTTACACTATGATTATTGTATAAATAACAGGTTTTGCCAAAATTACTATTCAACAATTTGTTGTTGCAGGATGTGTACGTGATTGATGAGCGGTTCCATTACTACTTGCGCACTTGGCTAAACTGTATGCTGGATGTTCTAGGGACGGTTTTAATCATCATCTATGCAACACCCCTTTTCACATTGGTTATTATCCCACTTGCTTTCTTCTATCTACTAATTCAAGTAAGTGACACATTACAGATTCTATGTAAAGGAACACAGCAAAACACCTAAAGATTAATATCACATAATGCTTTGAATAGGTCAGGGTTATTGTATCAATGTATATTGACCATGTCTGTGAGCAATAAAACGTAACAATTAAGAATCACCTTGGCAGCTGTTTAACCCCTTAAGGACCAAACGTCTGGAATAAAAGGGAATCATGACATGTCACACATGTCATGTGTCCTTAAGGGGTTAAGAAAGGTTATTTTGCAAAAAAAAAAAAAAATAACAATAAGAAAGCTAGAAAGAATAGATTTAAATAGTCAAGAGATAAATGAGGAGAACATTGTCAGTTGCATTGTAACAGATCAGAATGAAAACGGAGTTTGATATTTGCATTATCACTTGTATTCAGGAAGGAATGTCAATGTATTTATTCCTTTATGATAGATGACTTTTCAAGCATTTTTCCGATTACAAAAGATATGTCTAACCCTCTTCACATAGGGGTAAATATTATTTGCTTAGGACCGGTTTGATATTCACTAAAATTAACTATTCAATCAAACCTGTAAGAACTGTTCTAAAAATGATATTTATTTCTATGAACCCCAAAGTTGTTTTAACAATCGTTTTTTCTGTACATCATCAGCGGTACTACATTGCAAGCTCGCGGCAAATCAGAAGACTCGATGGGGCATCTCGCTCCCCAGTAATCTCCCACTTTGGTGAAACACTGTTAGGGGTTTCTACCATCCGAGCTTATGGTCATCAGGAGAGATTCCTGAATCAGAACAAACATGTGGTTAATGAAAACCTTGTGTGCTACTATAATAATGTCATCTCAAATAGGTAGGTTATCGAACACACAACAGATTGATTACAGTAAAAATGTGTCATAGTCTGCAAAATGTGTGACCCAGCTAATGTAATTCATTAGTGACCGTCTGATGTAGATACCCAAGAACCATTCTCATTCCCTTTGTAGATCTTCCCATATAGACAAAGAAAGAGAGCAGCTCCAGCTACATAAGGTGATAAGCTACCCACTAAAGTAGACGGGGTTAGCAAGAAAAGAAGCTCAATGGCAGAAGAACTCACTGTATGGCCAAACATATGCAGGCACCTAATAAAAGAACATCTAATTGAAACCTTGTGGGCATTCATATAAAGCTGATCATCCTTAGCTAGAACAACTTATAAATAACATTGCAATTGTGTAGTATATGATCTTGACGTTACTCACAGTGAAGTTAGAGGTACATTAAATTATTAAAGGGACACTATAGTCACCTGAACAACTTCAGCTTAATGAAGCAGTGTTGGTGTATAGAACATGCCCCTGCAGCCTCACTGCTCAATCCTCTGCCATTTAGGAGTTAAATCCCTTTGTTTATGAACCCTAGTCACACCTTCCTGCATGTGACTTGCACAGCCTTCCATAAACACTTCCTGTAAAGAGAGCCCTATTTAGGCTTTCTTTATTGCAAGTTCTGTTTAATTAAGATTTCCTTATCCCCTGCTATGTTAATAGCTTGCTAGACCCTGAAGGAGCCTCCTGTATGTGATTAAAGTTCAATTTAGAGATTGAGATACAATTATTTAAGGTAAATTACATCTGTTTGAAAGTAAAACCAGTTGTTTTTTTCATGCAGGCTCTGTCAATCATAGCCAGGGGAGGTGTGGCTAGAGCTGCATAAACAGAAACAAAGTGATTTAACTCCTAAATGACAGTGAATTGAGCAGATAAATTGCAGGGGAATGATCTAGACACTAAAACTGATTTATTTAGCTAAAGTAATTTAGGTGACTATAGTGTTCCTTTAACTTCACTTAGGCGAAATCTGGGGAGAGGTATTCTTCTGTATGCTGCAGAATTTGAAGTATTCCCTGTTTGGTGCCTGAGTTGGGTGGCTGATGTGCAGATTTATACAATCTCTACAGCTTTTAACTGATGGCCCTCTGATTTTTTGTGAAACTCCACTTCTTAAGGCCGCAGGTATCAGTCATGCAGAAGCTGTTACAATAAACTGCTGCTTTTGAAGAGAATGGAAGGTTCTCTGTTCTCTCCAGCAGTGTGAGGTCTATAGCACACTGACCATGGCTGAAATTACACCTGTCAGGGCTAAATTCCAACTTGTCATTGGCTAGTGGACAAGTGAAAATTGTGAGCCCTGACCATTAAAACCACAAAGTAGCAACTGATAATACCTCCAGATTGATCCTCGTTATATAGTAAGCAGTGCATTATATAATGTTTGCGATGGGTAGGTATAGAGATAATTGGTGTAAAATTACTAAACACTTCCTATCTCAAGCATATATACAATAACAATACTGTATTAAAATTACACTTTTAAAATGTCTACAGTTAGATACCATGATAGACTGATAAAACAGTTTATTGTATTTGTTTGTTTTCCTGGCTGGATATTTCCTCGATGAATAAAACTGGGAGTGACATTGTAACAAGTCACAAGCTGGACATTCCAGTCTAGTTGCAGCATCCCAAATTATAACGTATCACACCCAGGGATTCTGGGATACAATGACTAGATTAATGTGAGCAACATAAATGTATGTAGAGCTCTATATTACGCACAAAACCACCATATATAACTGCAGATTCTTACTGGGCTGACTTATTAAGATACACATTGCTATGAGTTTTATGTCTGTGACTCACGTGCTTTCATACACTTCACATACAACTACCTTTACTTAATCAGAAAAGTATACCTAAAGAATGTTTGCACAAACGGTACACTTCTTGCCTCAAATACATGTCCTTTTTTACAACTCTCATCCCATGTGGACAGGTGGCTTGCAGTAAGATTGGAGTTCCTGGGAAATCTAATGGTTTTCTTTGCTGCCCTGTTCGCTGTTCAGGCTGGTGATAAGATGACTTCGGGCACAGTGGGTTTATCGATTACATATGCTCTAAATGTGAGTATTTTCGAGAAGCAACCTAATGGACAGCATTTTCAAAGAGTTCTACTGGTATTATATACAGCAAGCTGGGATCATGGCAACACTGACCTGACCAATAATAGTTTTACTTGGAACTGTATATACATTTCATACAGAATCCTGAATAAGTCATTCAATTAGAATAGAAATTAAATTCATATATATGTTTACCACAAGCTCATTTTACCAATCCTCACTCCAACCAATCACAATAAAGTAAAATCTCTATCTATATGACTTTTACTGTTTTTGTTGTAAATACTGCATATGCTGGTCCTGTAGACCTGTTAATTCTTTTTGTGTGTTATTGATACTTATTTTAATATCTCTACTTCTATGCCTTTTTCTACTGGCTATGTTCTGTTTGTTTCACCAAGATATTGATACATTAAAAACAGAGCAGCTGCAACATTATTGGAATAAACACATGATCCATTTGGCTGCTTTGTTTCCAGTTATAATACTTTTATCATGATATAGTGTCAAGAGTCTCGGTTATTAGTTATGAGTGGTTTATAGTGCTGTGGATGCAGCGATTACATTGGGGGAATGCAGCACCCAATAGAATGCTTCATATAGGGAGTAATTTCTAATGATTCCATATGGAAGCTCTCCACTTCCTAATATAACCAGCATCCCTCCTTGCTGTCAGCTTCACTACTGGATGGGTGTTCCTAAATTAATTTATAAAAGTGCTGATTTCTCTTGAAACTTGCACTTTTATGAAACTGAACAAAGTGTGGGAGGGTGGCGGGGCATGCAGTAAATCCCTAAAGCACCTTAGGTTTTGGGGTTCCCTTCATTGAAGCAGATTACTACACTGTATCATATAACTATACCTCATATAACTATATATTTGACTGTGAACTTGTCTGTGAGTTGTTCCCCTTCCCCAAGCATTTCAAATGCTTCCACCAAGGGTTTACTACAGACACAAGTCGCTATAACTAACTCCGCATTACCAGGTTACACAAGGTACAAGCAAACACCGCCCACTTTATTCAGTTGCAGTAGCCAGCAGCAAAACATGACAGAGTAGTCCATTCACACAGTAACTGCAGGTATATCAAATGGCTTAATGAGTGCTTCAAAGCAGTATCTTTCACTGTCCAGCCAAAGATTGCTTTTCCTGTACACCAAACATTCTTTTGTTGCCTCCTGTGTGACAAAGCACTAACCTTTATTTTAGTATATATATATATATAATATCTCTGTATTTTAATGTGTACATAATTTTATATATTTAGTCAGTACAACGTTAAACAAATATCTGCACACCAGTCAAGCTATAAGACTTGCTTTTCCCACAGAATTTGCAGCAATGATACTACCGCAAAGGATTCTGTGTGGGCATATTCAAATAAGTTTAACAAAGAATCACATTTTTGCCTCATTCCATTTTAAACATGGATTCCTTTGAGTCTGTGTTTGCTGTATACAACAGTGTGGAACACAACTTAGGAAAAGATGCAAAGCCAGTGAAACAGTCATGGACAGCTGTTTCGTTGTTAATGCAAATCATCAGCATGAGGTTGGTTAGTGGCTTGCTATTGAGGCTTGGCAGTACTTGCAAAGCAAAACCCCCAAAAATTATGGTGGGGAAAAAAATTGTGATTGGAACCCTTTCCACCTGAAGTCAGTGGATAGTTAATACAATGTTAAACAAACATCTGCACACCAGTCAAGCCATAAGACTTGCTTTTCCCACAGAAATCCCAAATCAGCAGTGATGTTACAACCGCAAAGGATTCTGGGTGGGCATATGCAAATTAGTTTAACAAAGAATCACATTTTTGCCTCATTCCATTTTAAACATGGATTCCTTTTAATTTGTGTTTGCAGTATACAACTGCTTGGAACACAATTTAGGATAAGATGCAAAACCAGTGAACCACTCATGGACAGCTGTTTCGTTGTTAATGCAACTCTTCAGCATGAGGTTGGTTACTGGTTTGCTTATTGAGGCTTGGTAGTGCTTGGGAAGCAAAATCCAAATAGGTTATGGTGGGGAAAAATTGTGATTGAAACCCCCTTCCACCTGAAGTATGTAGATAGTTAATACAATGTTAAACAAACATCTGCACACCAGTCAAGCCATAAGACTTGCTTTTCCCACAGACTTCAGGTGGAAAGGATTTTCAATCACAATTGTTCCCCACCATAGCTTTTTTGGTTTTTGCTTTATAGACCAGTTTGTTTCAATGACAGAGTTATTCTTACTGTAAAGTTACTGCTTTGCACTTTTAAAAACAATGTACTGAATATTCATCTGTTTCCCAAAAGCAGCAGTTACGTGGATATTTAGAGACCTCAATTTTTTGTAATGAAAATAACTTTCATTAAACATGGAAAACCTTTTTATCTTCTATCTAGATTACTCAGACGTTGAACTTTTGGGTTCGAAAAGCCTGTGAAATTGAAACTAATGGAGTTGCAATTGAAAGAATTTGTGAATATGAAGAAATGGAAAAAGAGGTGAATGAAATAAATGGAACTAGTATTATACAGGCCAAAAATCTTAAATAGCCAACTTTGTAACCTAATTTGACAGTGGCACATATAAAGTGTAAGAAATACTCAGCAAAAATGTAACATGTATGCACAAATCCCATTTGTTTCCCCCTCACCACAAACATTGACATAAATTGGTGAAAAAAGTGTGACAAGTTAAGTCACAATATACACCATAATAGATACCCTGGGGTGTCTGCTTTATCAAATGGAAGCCCTTTGTGGGGTTATTTGAACAGTCAAACAACCATAATATCCCAAAATGAGACATAGGCCCATCATATCCATCTATGAACATTCTAACTATAGAAACTGAAATAGCCTTGTCTCTTATATGGCATTGTAGCTTCACAGATTAGTGCCAAAGGCATACAATGGGGGTATCGTCATAATCAGTAAATTTAGCTGAACACAATATAGGGTTCTGTACAGGAATAGCACACTCCAGGTTTAAGAAATACACATTACAAAAACCTTGTTATATGTGTAAATGCCAAAATAGAGAAAAAACACAATTTTACTCCAATATTTAGCAGAGATTGGCGATGAAATGGCTACGTAAAAAGTGTCAAAATAACCTTAGGTAAATAGCCTGTGATGTCTACTTTATGTAAATATATACTTTTGTGTGGCAATTTTGTTTTCTCTGGTGGCTACTAAACCTACAAGACAAACATACCAACTTCTAAAATTGTTTCACATTGACATTTTATTTTAGTCCTTTTATTTTGTGACCTGTAACTTTCAAAATAAGCTGAAATCCTAAAATTTACTCTATAAATCAAGACACATAAATGAATTTATTTTGAATTACTTTTTGTAGGCTGGACATATTATGCACACGCTATTATTGCCAAAACTGTGAAAAAAATGTATTTTTTGGCATATGTTTTATAATTAATGTGAATTTATCTATGTATATGTGACATCAAATGAATGCCCTTTTTGCAATCTAAAAAAACGGTATATAATATGTGTTGTTGCAATAAATGACTGAGATGCAAATTGCGTTTGAACACAAACAGCAAATAATGCAAAAATAGCTTGTATCCTTAAGGGTAAATCCAGTTTTTGAAGCTGCCTCCTTAAGGGGTTAATGACTAAACTGTGAATTTTGTGAGAGAATCGTCAACTTGGTTGGGTGAATAAACCCCTTTCTTTTAATTTTGGAATGAAATATATATAAAACCAGGGGAAAAGGTAATTTTGTAGAGTGTAACGAAAATAGTGGTTCATGTGTATAATAAATGTAATGCTAATGTAATAGGAATTTAACAGCACATAATCCAGTAGAAATGACACACAAGAAATACATCATACAGCTCGCCACTTATTCTATGTTTTTTGTTTTTATTTTCCACTTTGGGAGATTTACTGTTTCTTTAAGTCTGCCCTCTATCCATATGTCATCTTGTTTTCAATGTATTTCGCTCATTTTATTTATAGAAGAAAGATGAGTAAGATCTGCTGTTATTTTATTTCAGGCTCCTTGGGTTTTGACAAAAAGACCCTCAATGAGTTGGCCAGACCAAGGCATTATAGAATTCACAAACTACCAGGCTCGGTATCGTAAAGATCTTGACCTTGCTTTAAGAGATGTAACGTTTCAACTGCGCTCCACAGAGAAGGTAAAATAATGAAAACCTACTATTTATAGGGTGGTCCCTGTTCTTCTGTAGGAGTACTGGGGTGGACAGAATTAATAAGAGTACAACTGCTGAAATGAAGCATAGTCTCCAGGTCTTTGGTGGATGGGTATAGGATGTTATATATATATTTCTCTCAGACTTCTCCTGCAAATTCATTGGATCGAGACTGGGAAATGTCTGAATCCTGTCCCACCCATAGTGGGGCAACAATAAATAATTTGGATTTTGTGCCTCTTTTTATATTTTTTAAATGGTAAGTTAAAAAATGTGATTTGTTGAATAAAAATGCATATTCCTTACTATTAATTATGTAATAAATGTTGAAACATAATTCCAGAGTGCACACGCACACACCTATTGCCCGGAGGTGCTTACACAAATTTGTCTACATTTGTGGAACTCCCCTTTAATGTTTTAATTGTCATATTAAGTGTTTGTCTTACTTCAGTCTCTGACTTGCACCCCCTGTTCCTCTTTGCTGATGTAGTCTGTCAAATTATATCCTATATATTTAGTGTTATGATTGAAACAAGTTTTGTGACTTGTGTCCTGCTATGTGGGCACTGACTATAGGGCTTTTTTGGAATGTTGATTGGCACACATTCCATATGATGTCCCAAAAATGTTAACTAACCCTTTATGTAAAAATGACTATTGCATAGTGATTTTACTGCTTGAATACATTATGTATTTCTAAAAATGTACACAAAAATAAAAAGATGTCTTCCCATAATCCATTGATATTAGGTCGAAAAGCCAAAAAAAATAAAAAAAGTTAATACAACTTTTTTTAGTTGACATATGTGATAAGCATAAATCCAGCTTTAAAGGAAACCAATGTGATAACAAACTGCTGTTTTGGGTTAAATAATCTCAAACCTGTATTTAATTCCAGTGTAAGTGACACCTGTCAAATAGTGCACCAAGAAAAACCTTACAAACATATGATCTGATCACCTCAACTACAAAGGAAGATTATCTCACCAAGATTGACACTATCGGCCAATGAAAATCCTTGCAGTTCCTCGAAGGCTAGAATCCGCTAATAGTGACTAATCATACAAGGACTGAATGTACTATGCTACGGGTACCTCAGCCACTAGGCCTACATTTACTGCTATACAGATATTCGAAAAGGCTATCGAAAGTCTGCCCAAAAACTCGCTCAGACCACAAATAGCTCTTAAAAACATGTAAAAGCTAGACATCTAATGTACCTTAACTGTATAGCCTAACATACTGCTACACTGGACTGAAATATAGGCCCCCGTTGAAAATAATAAATAGTAAAACCGTAAAATTGTTTCCTAACCCATAAAAAAAAAAATTAAAAGAAAAATATAGCCTGAAATGCGTTTCTGTCATGTCTACTCAGGTTAATAATATGTCTTTGATGAAGATGCATTAAATAACAAAAAAAGAAGGTATTTTTGATGCACTATTTGACAGACACCGCTTCCCTTGGAATTAGGTGCCTGCCCGAGATTACTTAATGCAACACTGAAACGTATTTAGCCTCTTATAATGGCTGTTTAACATTGCTTTCCTTTCTTAGGCTGGGTCTGCGATATTTATATACATATTGACAGTTCAATCTGAATTGCCCTCTTTTCCAAAAACACCAGGGTTTAAGTTGCAAATCCTTCTGTAAATGGGGAGTATACAGTCGAGCTTCCTACAAGCGCCCCACACAAAACAGAGGGTTATTAACTAAAGATTTATCTGACAAATATGTTGCCAAATATAGCTAACTAAAAAAATCCAAATCTGCTGAGTTTGATAATTTTTTACAAAGTTCTTTCTTCTGTTTTGTGAGTTCCTTTGAGTCGTATAATGGTACTGTAGATGAAATCCAGTGTCTGTGTATCCCATTTGTAGGTTGGCATTGTAGGACGAACAGGAGCCGGGAAATCCACGTTGACAAACTGCTTGTTCAGGATTGTGGAGCGAGCCGAAGGCAGTATTGTTATTGATGGAATTGACATAGCAACCATTGGACTCCACGATCTAAGATGTAAACTGAATATTATACCACAGGTAAAGTTGGACAGAGTGATACATGGAAAGAGAGGAAAGGTTTCTGCAATTATTTATTCTGTGGTTCTTCAATCATAGTTACTTCTGGGGCAGATTATTTATACTGTGATACAATTGCATCCTGGCCCTTTAAAGACATCAGTTGAATTTCACAGCCAATTCTAGGTAGTACTTACCATATATTTATAGTTCTTACAGTAAATAAACAACTTTTGTACTGGAGTTTGTATCTTCCGTCTTGGAGTTTCAGTGAATGACCTCGTGTTTTGTACAAAATTTTCTGTACTTTAGACCCCCTATATTGACACCACCACTCTCGGTCCGGTGAATGGGGAGTCAGGCAGAGGTGAGATTTACTTCCCCCAAGCTGCCCCTCATAGGTGCCGCCATCCTCTTAATGTCACTCCTCTTTGTCTCCTGGCGCTTCAGCTGCCAAGAGTGGACATCAGCACTGTATTCTCGTCATGCTCAAGAATATAGCATTGAGGTCTATGGAGGATAGTGCAAGACTGCGGGATTCTCTGTAGAAAGAGCTGATTTCCCTAAAGCTGTCACCGATGACAGCTGGGGGAAATGACAAGGCTTGACGTTGGTAGCTCGCTTTGTCAGGCGAAGGAAAAATACTGAGACAAAGTAGCCATTACAAAGTCTCAGTGAGATTCCAATACAGTCAATCTGAGTTGATAGGGTATAGATATTCTACCTTTATGAAATACTTAGTTTGGAGGGGGTGACAGTGTTGCTTTAATTAATAGGTAACTAGAAAATGGTTCTTATTGCCCATGTATTTGTATGTATAATATTGCTTTCCTTCTTAAATACACTGCTCAAAAAAATAAAGGGAACACAAAAATAACACATCCTAGATCTGAATGAATTAAATATTCTTCTGAAATACTTTGTTCTTTACAAAATCACACAACAATTAAAAAATGGAGATCAGATTTTTCAACCAATGGAGGCCTGGATTTGGAGTCACACTCAAAATTAAAGTGGAAAAACACACTACAGGCTGATCCAACTTTGATGTAATGTTCTTAAAACAAGTCAAAATGAGGCTCAGTAGTGTGTGGCCTCCATGTGCCTGTATGACCTCCCTACAACGCCTGTGCATGCTCCTGATGAGGTGGCGGATGGTCTCCTGAGGGATCTCCTCCCAGACCTGCACTAAAGCATCTGCCAACTCCTGGACAGTCTGTGGTGCAATGTAACGTTGGTGGATGGAGCGAGACATGATGTCCCAGATGTGCTCAATTGGATTCAGGTCTGGGGAATGGGCGGGCCAGTCCATAGCATCAATGCCTTTGTCTTGCATTAGGAGGAACCCAGGGCCAACCGCACCAGCATATGGTCTCACAAGGGGTCTGAGGATCTCATCTCAGTACCTAATGGCAGTCAGGCTACCTCTGGCGAGCACATGGAGGGCTGTGCAGCCCCCCAAAGAAATGCCACTCCATTACTGACCCACTACCAAACCGGTCATGCTGGAGGATGTTGCAGGCAGCAGAACGTTCTCCACAGCGTCTCCAGACTCTGTCACGTCTGTCACATGTGCTCAGTGTGAACCTGCTTTCATCTGTGAAGAGCACAGGGCGCCAGTGGCGAATTTGCCAATCTTGGTGTTCTCTGGCAAATGCCAAACATCCTGCACGGTGTTGGGCTGTAAGCACAACCCCCACCTGTGGACGTTGGGCCCTCATACCACCCTCATGGAGTCTGTTTCTGACCGTTTGAGCAGACACATGCACATTTGTGGCCTGCTGGAGGTAATTTTGCAGGGCTCTGGCAGTGCTCCTCCTGTTCCTCCTTGCACAAAGGCGGAGGTAATGGTCTTGCTGCTGGGTTGTTTCCCTCCTATGGCCTCCTCCACATCTCCTGATGTACTGGCCTGTTTCCTGGTAGCGCCTCCATGCTCTGTACACTACGCTGACAGACACAGCAAACCTTGTTGCCACAGCTCGCATTGATGTGCCATCCTGGATGAGCTGCACTACCTGAGCCACTTGTGTGGGTTGTAGATTCCGTCTCATGCTACCACTAGAGTGAAAGCACCACGGGCATTCAAAAGTGACCAAAACATCAGCCAGGAAGCATAGGAACTGAGAAGTGGTCTGTGGTCACCACCTGTAGAACCACTCCTTTATTGGGGGTGTCTTGCTAATTGCCTATAATTTCCACCTGTTGTCTATCCCATTTGCACAACAGCATGTGAAATTGATTGTCACTCAGTTTTGCTTTCTAAGTGGACAGTTTGATTTCACAGAAGTGTGATTGACTTGGAGTTACATTGTGTTGTTTAAGTGTTCCCTTTATTTTTTGGAGCAGTGTACATTTTTCCTAGTGTAAAGTTCTGTTTCACTTTTTTCCCAGGACTCTAAATTTGGTGGTCTTTTCTGAAGTGGTTATTTCTACTACAAATGACTTGCAAAGAAAAGATAAAACTATTTTAGAGTAATTTAGAAATAAACATTTAATAGACTTTAAATTAAGTCACTTTTCAAAAAGCTTTTATAAATCTCCAAGATAGCTTTATTTTTTCAGTAATCTCCAGGTCCACAATTAGACAAATCCCTTGTTATTAAGACAGTCCTATCATACCACTGGTCAGATAAAGGATTGTTGTATTGTTTTGTAGGATCCAGTACTGTTTTCAGGAGCACTTCGGATGAATTTGGATCCACTAGAGAAACATTCTGACGCTGAACTGTGGGAAGCCTTGGGAATGTGCCATTTAAAGGACTTTGTGCAGTCTCTCCCGAAAAAGCTCTATCATGACATTTCAGAAGGTGGTGAGAATCTAAGGTAACAATTGCAATTTATCTAATCCTGTGATGTAGCGATCTGCAAAATAGCACACTTTTAGCCATGTGATGTATATATTTATAAAAAGCAATATGATCTAGACCTTTTAATACCTATCGCCCACTTTTGTATCTTTGTTGATGGCAAAATTTCCTTACCGCCCACCAGTGCCACAGTCACTAATTTTATAGCGCAAGTGTGATTTTATATATATATATATATATTACTTTATTTAATCTATTTTTTTCAATTCTGCTTTTGTGTCTGTGAGGTGATGTGCGTGTGTGAAGGGGTCAGTGCGTGTGGAGTGTGTGTGAGGGTGCAGTCTGTCTCAGGGGGGTAGTCTTTGTGTGTGAAGTGTGCATAGGGTCTATGCTATGTGTAGGAGGGTGAGATGTGAAAATCTATCTTAATATCTCGACCCCTCCATTCTTCTTACCTTTTACCCAGAGAGGGCTTACAGCAAGGCTGGCTCTGCACGGGCCAGCAGGGGGGATGAAAGGATCTCCCCTGCTGGCCTTGGCCAGCGAGGCCCGCTGGACATTTTCTGCAGAACCCACCACCGCCCACGTGAAATCCCAAACCTCCCACTATTGGGCGGTAGGGACCAGGTTGAATACCCCTAATCTAGACACTTAAGGTACAAAAGGTCGCAGATTTATTTGGAGAATCAAAACATAAACAGCAATGATTCGACCTCCAATGAGGTCAAGGTAACACCACAATAACACAATCCATATTTAAGGCACATAATTTACCATAGATACAAGGTAAATTGCAAACACACACTTCATTATTTGCATGAACTGCATCAAGATCTGTCTTTTGTCTATGAGGATACTAATTAATGAAATTTTTGGCTATAAGGCTCACCCAATGGGAACTTGATGCAAATCATGCAATTAATTGTGTGTTTGCAATTCAAATTGTATCTTAATGCAATTAATAATGTGCTTTTTATATATATATATGAAGTGTGTTATTTTGGTGTTACCTTTTATAAAGGGTTTTTAAGCATATTTCTGTAACATTTTCTATAGCTACTATAACACTATAATGGTCTGTAGTTTCTAAAAACTATTGGAAAGCATCACATTTCTTTATTTTTGATAAACTATTTAATTTTATATATTTTTTAAAGCATCACATTTCTTGATGGGGCTGGTATACTTTTTTTTATTATATCATTAATTTAATTCAAATGTTTTGCTTTCTATTATTTATTTTTTAGCGTTGGACAACGGCAACTAATCTGTCTGGCTCGTGCATTACTCCGGAAAACAAAGATATTGATTTTAGATGAAGCAACAGCCTCTATTGACATGGAGACAGATAACCTGCTACAAACTACAATCCGCAAGGCGTTTTGTGACTGCACTGTACTTACGATCGCTCACAGGCTGCATACTGTTCTCGATTCTGAAAGGTATGGTTAATAATGTTTGGGTTTTTTTGGAACTATTTTGCATTATATGGAACGAAAACAACTGTAAACCGTAAACTTGACAGTTAGCACTGCCTTGAAAAATACACACGATGTCCATAAGATGAAGCTTTTCACATAATATATGTTTAGGCATTATATATATTTCATTTTTGCTACCTGTTATTTGAAGTTTAATGGTACCGGGTTAATGATGAGGATAGGAGTAGTGTTATGGCTTAGATTATTGTTGGGGGAAGAACAAAGGTTTAAGAATTAGGAATAGTGTGTTAAGGGAGTGTAGAGAGTGTAGCTATGGGTTAGGGGTATTGTATGGTGGAAAGTGTATTCTCAGTGAATACTTGCAAGGGTGAATAGGACAAAAACAACAATGAGACTGTAACTAGACCACTTCACTGAGATCAAGTGGTTCGGGTGCCTATTGTGGTTCTTTAAATTTCCACCTGCTTACAGCAAGTAGACAAGTGGACTTTTGATCCCTGCATTTAAAAAATAAATATGTAAAATAATATATATTATGCTTAAGTATATGGTATTATCTGAGTGTGAATATAAGAAATAGTATGCAATTATATATGCATTTTGATATCTTTGTTTTAGCTTAATTCAATAGTTTGTAGTCACTCTGTTAGTTGGTGTTTAACTCCAGGTAATGCATCGGTCATGATCACTGTAACATCTGAGAGATACTTATTTGCCAGGATCACACACCTCCCAACAGTTCCAACTTCAGCTGGACAGTCCCTATTTCAGATTTGTTTTGCTGTCCCAGCTATGTTCCTTGAATCCCGCTTTTTCATGGTCCTCACTGTGTGATTTCCAGTCAACCTGGGTTAGATATAGACCAGGCTGACTTGTCCCAACTTTCCAGACAGGTCTGACCCCTTTGCACAGTGCGTGTGACCATACTGGTTGGCATATGATGGATTAAAATTAATAAATAACCTGGTAAAGTTTATTATCGTATTATCTTTCAACAGGGTCCTTGTTCTGGATGCTGGTAAAGTTGTAGAATTTGGTGAACCACAAAAACTAATCCAGAAGAAAGGTGTTTTCTCAAAGATGGTGACAGAAGCTGGGATACTTTTAGGCACAGAGCCAGCAAAATAAAGCATTATTACATAGTTTGCTGAGACAGCAAACATTCTGTCTGATTTGAAAGACTACAGGTAGTTACAGTAGTAGTTTGTTTTGTTTTTGAACCATTTTTAGCTGAACCATTCAGGGAGATTTTGTAATATTTCCATTTCCTGACTTGGTGACTTAAAGGGATTCACCCACCAAAAACCTTGACACATCTTTCATTAGTGGTCCGTTTCCTATTAACCTTATTGATCTTAAAAATCACCATTCAATCACAACCAAAATGAACAGCAACTCTGTATCTGTAATATTTGGCATATGCTAGTTTACTATGCGGAACACAAGGACCCAGTGAAAAGCACTGAATGATTTTCCACCTGACATGCTGAATATATGATCTTCAAATTATTGAAATAAGGACGATCATTCCTAATATCTTCAAGTACTGAAGTCCTGCCCATGTATAATTCCTCACATTTTGCCCCATTACTATTTATTGAACCAGATTTATTGTAACCCTTTCAGGTAACAGTGTTTGACAGACATTCTTGTTGTCTTAGAAACACCAAGTTAACATCAACACGGATGAAATAAAATAACTTAGGCAAAACATTGCTTTTAAATATTCAGTGTGCATTTGAAAGATCTTTACAAAAAAAGCAATATTTTACTAAAAAATACATGCACCAGATACTCTTGAAGAATATTTTTTTACACTTATAGTAGTAGTAAGTTTTATCACATGTAAGTACTAAAATGAGTGTTGTGGCCAAATGTGTACTAAGTCAAGTTAGCTCTTGACATTAATCTACCTCTTTTTTTCCAAATTAAAAATAATATATATTTATGGTGATTGTGAAATGTAACAGTTTAGCATTGTGTGCATCAAACAAATGTGCAATACATATAAATAGCACTTTGCCTAGATTTTGAGAACATCTAAAGAGCACCAATTTCTAGACATAAGTATTGTACCTCCACAACTTGAACGATTACTTTAATTTTATTTTTGTGGTTAAAATCTGCAAATATCTATTTAAGCAGAGAGAAGCATTATTTGCAGATTAAATAAATACAACATGCAAACTAAACTCTGTTTCTGAGTTCAAAATCTCACTGTTTTTATTCACTCAACTATAAATTGAATTGAAAAATGTAGGCTACAATCGCAAAGTGTTTGTCTTTACTTTGTAATTTGATTTTTAATTCACTACAATGTGGTATTTAGTAAAAGAATCCCTTTCTTTTTGTCATCTTGATAAAAAAAAAAATGGACCAAGGTGATACGTGCAAAAGTGAAATATGACATGCTCTCAACCATGTGGTTTTTATATTTATTTCATGAAAAAATATATATTTGTACGGTATTTTTTTTATATCATAGGAATGTTTTTGAATATTGAAATTCCATCTGTGACTAGGAAATATTTTTTGATACACTTACACGTGAACTCTGTAAGGCAATAAGAAATCTACAGTATTTTATTATTTAAAGGGGTACTCACAATTATTTTTAAGTTGCACATAAATTAGATACAATTTGGTTATATAAATTTTGTGATCCAGTTGCTTACCTGTACGGATTCATATACATAAGACATTGCTCACTAAAGGTGACAAAGTTAATGCAGTTTAGCAGATAACCTTGGCTGTATTTCAGTTTTCATTTGGTTTTAGCTCCCACTTCTAAAAAGTTAATTTAATAAACTACATCGCCTGCACAATTTTCCCTTTATGCCCTAAAGCAGCGATGGCTAACTTTGGCAATGAAAATAATGGTGAACTACAATAAAAATAATCAAAACAGGAGGGGCATATTTTGCTTTTGCGTAAGTACATCCAGGAGACTTGAAATTATTATTACCCAGCTGAATGGTATTTATGTTATTGACATTGGAAGGATGGCAGTTCAAGATGAAGCAGCAATGAATGAAATTGCAGATTAGAGCTCTTATTTAAAATACAAGAGAAACAAAACAAAAAAAAGTTTTGGACTGCATATTATTAAAGGAACACTATAGGGTCAGGAACACAAACATGTATTCTTGACCCTATAGGATTAAAACCACCATGTAGGTGGCTTGCCTCCCCTAAGCCTCGTTAGGTGTTAAAACATACCTTATTTCCAGCGCTATGTAGGTCTGCTGGCGCTGGCCTCGCCTTCTTGGTAACATCAGACTTTACGATTTTTTGCCAGTCCAATGCTTTCTCTTTGGCCAATCAGCACCTCCTCGTAGAGATGCATTGATTCAATGCATCTCTATGAGGAAAATGGAAACGCTGAATGGCAGAGCTGTCTACTGTGCAGCACTGCCCCAGGAAGCACCTCCAGTGGCCATCTGAGGAGTGGCTATAAGAGGTATCCATAGGGGCTATGAAAAGGCAGTGTTTACATGAAAATGCCTGAAGGGAATGATTGTACTCAATAGAACAAATACATTAAAGGGACACTCCACTGCCAGGAAAACAAATCGTTTTCCTGGCACTGCAGGTCCCCTCTCCCTCCCACCACCCATCCCATGTTGCTGAAGGGATGAAAACCCCTTCAGTGACTTACCTGAGACCCCCGCCGATGTCCCTCGGCGGTGGTTTCGGGTCCGCCTATGCTCCTTCGGGGGAGAGCTAATGCGCATGGACGTCAAAAGCGCCCACATTAGACCTTCATAGGAAAGCATCGAACATGCTTTCAATGCTTTCCTATGGGGAATTGAGCGATGCTGGCGGTCCTCAAACTTGTGCTATAATCCAGGAAGTGCCCTCTAGTGGCTGTGTAGTACAGCTACTAGAGGAGGAGTTAACCCTGCAATGTTATTATTGCAGTTAATGAAAACTGCAATAATTACAGCTGCAGGGTTAAGGATAGTGGGAGTTGGCACCCAGACCACTCCAATGGGCAGAACTGGTCTGGGTGCCTGGATTGTGTCTTTAAGCTGTAGTTCTTGTGACTATAGTGTCCCTTTAAACATATCTAAATGAAAGACACTTTCATCAATAAATGCATTATAGTCCACTGAATAAAGAACACATGATATTACAATTGATATGCAGGTTTTAGCTGTAATTTGTCTCCATGTAACGTTTTTGCATGTTACAACAAGGTTGTGACTCCACTTTAAAAAAAAAAAAAAAAGACCAAAACATATGTCTGTAATGTCAGTATTTAAAAGTCTGATTCTCAGCAATAAAACTAATGGAAGGTTGTAAAATGTACATATTCCATATCACGAGAAGAAGAAAAAAAAAAAAAAAAATCCGTGGGCAAACACTAAATAACTAATTGAGGGTATTTAAAAATAGTAGAACAATTGGATGATTTGACTGGTTGACTCCTCCTGTTACTTGATTACCGATGTTTTGTTAGATACTTATTAATACAGTTAATTTAATGTTGAAGATTACTTGTTGATTGTAAATGTCGGCTGGTACTAGTTGCAACTGTTCATTATTGTATCGATAATATTATGTAGTTGTTTATTTCTCTGGGAAAATGCTTTTAAATGACAACCGATCATCTCATCTTGTGTAATGTAATCTTACCCCAAATTTGACATGTACTGGTGCTGCACTTTAGCAAATGTCAAGATTGTTTTAAAGAAAAAAAAAAAAAAAAATTGTATAGTTTTTTTTCCCCACTTACATTTGAGATTTAAAAATAAATAAATAAATATATATACACTTGTATAAATGCCTCTTTTAAAATATAACTTTGGTTTTTCATAAATATAAAATGATTATTTCCCACCCTCCCCCTGGGGCTAAGGAAGAAAGACATGGAGGGGATGGGGTCTAGGAAAGAGAGACACATGGGGTCTAGGAAGAGAGAGACACTGAGGGGCTGTGGAGCTAGGGAATGAGACACACGGAGGGTTTAAGGTGGGAAAGACACATGGGAGGGCTGCAGGACAATTTTCACACAGGGGCCCGGTGGTTTCTATTTACACCTCTGGATGCAGTGTATGCCATGACATTATTCAAGACAAAGTTACACATTTCTTTAAATTATATAGACACACAAGTAATCAGAAAGTTAAATCACTTTATTTTGAAGACCTGATTTTATGAGAACCTTACATTTTCACATTCCTGACTATTGTAAAAACATTTTGCAAGGTAGAAACTCAGCAATATATTTCTAGAGCAGTTCTACTCAATGTGAGTAAGAGTTTGAATGTGTAAACAGAATATAAATTCCAACATTAATACTGCCATGTACCTTTCCCATACACGCATGTACAAATACAAAAAGATTTAACATTACTCCAACACTGCTTAGAATAAGAGACATCTCTATAAATCCTAAAAAGTGCATAACTGCATTATAAAAAAAAATAATAATAAAAAAAAAATATAAGGCTATATAAACTTTACCCCTAACACAGATTTTTTTTCGGAACCAAAACAAATGCCCATGTTATTGCACAATAATAAAAAAATATGAGCTGTCACAAATATGTGAACTCAGTGTTTTCCTTTTGTTACACCGCAAAGCTAGTTTAGGCGGCTGTAAAATTTGGTTGTTGGTATGAACAATTGCTTTTATATGGTTTTAAAAAAAAAAAAAAAAACATACAAAAGACCAATTCTATGAATGTATAACTGTATTTCAGTACCTCAAGTAATGAATTGGTATATCTTATACCAAGGACAAATTAAAACTGCACATAATATGGAATACGTACTGCATCCAAATACATTTCTAAGTAACTCTACATTCTATTGTTTAAACCTTTTTTTTTTTTTAAATAAATAAAATTTTCCCCAAACCAAATTTACAATAGAAATAAACAATAAAATAAAATAAAATAAAAAAGGCTGTTTACGTATACATCCCATTTAATATATTTCTGAAAAAAAAACAAAAAAAAACAGGAACTGAAAAGCATTCAGTTGAAGTTCGTTTTCCGTAAATGTCTATTAGGAATTTCTATAGCACTGACTTGCAGTGGCCAGGAACCACCCATAATTCCTGCCTGAATTGCAACTCCAGTCACCACTGCTAAATCTGGGTCTACTGAGGTGTTCGGTTCCTTACCAAAAAAGTCCCTAATTACTTGGCGTATGCGTGGAATACGAGTAGAACCACCAACTAGCACAATTTCATCAACTTCCTCTTTTTCGACATGTCCTTCTCTTAACACACGTTCTACCGGAACCAAAATCTTTTTGAAAAGGTCTTCATTCAAAGTCTCAAAAAGTTTGCGAGAAATTTCTATTTCAAAGTTTACTTTTTGGTCTAGGCTGGTCTTCTTATGTTGAGATTCTTCTTGAAAATAGGGTTCATTGGGATTTAACATTCGTTCTTCTGTGGACTTGTCCACAAGGTTTTCCTCTGGTTTTCCCATTAAAGAATCTGATCGGGCCAACGTTAAAGGCAATCTAATCCATGATGACTTATGTATTGTCAAGTTCAATTTTATGGCTTCCACAGACTGTCTTAGTCGGTGGATTTCTTCTTTCTTGGATGGCAATGACCCATATGTTGAATAAATATTATCATAAATATATTCTAAGAGTCTCTGATTGAAATCCTGTCCTCCAAGCTTATTGTTACCTATATGACAAATGAAAAGAATTCATGGATCACAAATTGTGCTGAACTCATGTTAAAATTGCAGAATGTGTTTCGGCTTTATATATACACGTGAGAAAACAAGGGGTTGGTTGCACTCACCTGAACATGCTTAAATGGGGTGCTGTTGGGGGCCAGTAAGTACACTAAAAATTTAAATCCAGCACACTCCCTTATCTACTAAACAGCTACTTTGGTGCTGACCGAATTTAATAGTTTATTAAAAACACCTAGGCAAATTATAATGGGGGTTTAGTTAAATTGTATGATCATACATTGCATAAGCCTGCCACAACATCAATGTACCCCATCTTTGGCCGATCCTACTTTAGCAGCCAAATATCTTCTAAATGAATTACTTACTTGGGGAAATACTTCCATCTTGAGTTCTCTGCGGTACAAGGCTAAATAGGGTCCTGGGATGAGGCACCTGTGACAGGGAGGGGTGCAAAACCCAGGAGCTGGCTGCACTCACCTGAACAGAGAACTCGAGATGGAAGTATTTCCCCAAGTAAGTAACTCATTTAGCACATATTTGGCTGTTAGAGTAGGACACTGATGTTGTGGAGGCTTATGCGATGTATGATCATATAATGTAACTAAACCCCCATTATTATTTGCCTAGATTAGGTGTTTTTAATAAAACTAGCAAATTCGGTCACCACCAAAGTAGCTGTTTAGTAGATAAGGGAGTGCGCTGGATTTTCCAATATATACACACACACACACACACACACACACACACTACTATTCTTGAACCTATAAAAAGGAAGCAATTTAGAGTTCTATGTCACAATTGCACAGATTTCAAACGCACGTCCCACTAGAAGGTTCACAGGGTTGCAGAGACCAGTCTCGACTATGCCAGCAACAAGGAAGTTGCACATACTATCGTTTAGTATGTAAAACAATGCTTCTCATTATTATTATCAGTTGATAATGCCAACATATTGCATAGCTCTTTATGGTAATACACTAGGGATATAAAACAATTATTAACATACAAAGTAATTTCGACAGTGCCAAGATGTTCTGGGGACACTATGTGCCAATAATGAATAGGACTGTAGTATATATTGAACTTAAAACAGATTTAGGTTACTTTTTGCTTACCTGCCATGGCTCGTGTTAAAAACATCCCTCCTTGTTTATTTAACAGAGAGACGTCCAGTGTACCTCCTCCCAAATCCACCACTAGAACATTAAAGACATCAGCTTTATGGAGCCCATAAGCCATTGCGGCTGCAGTTGGTTCATTTATAACTCGTAAGATATCCAGACCTGTAGATTTAAAAAGGGAGAGTACAGAAAAATCAAAATGGATTGGTGTGAGACTGGAGTAACAGCAGTGTTTGTAATGAGTAATACCCTGCCTCCAAATTATATTTATTTTTAACTTGAAAATAAGAGTGACCATTAATAAATACAGGACACATAATTTCCACACTATATATGAAGACATTTTAGCTTTGTTAGTTCAGTATTGTTGATGTAAATTAACAGATGAAATTATCCAACACCTTGCTCAAATTGCAAGTGAAAAAAAAAAATAATCACCATTATATATATACATATATTTGTGTGTATGTAGGTTTCTACTACCATCTCCTCTGCTCAATTTTTTTTTTATTTTTCTGCTTACTTTGTGATCCTTATACAGAATATTTACATCCCTCTGGGAGAATTTTATCCATATTATTTTTTCCCCTCTTAGCCTAATCAGACCTGTGTAATATCTGCTCTGATGTGGCTTTAGCCCCAGTATTAAAAGTGAACACTGAATTCTAAGTGTAGCTTTGCTTAGGAATGCTTTAAAACTTGAGAAAGGGAGGATCTGAGCCAAACCCTGGATTTATTTCCTTGTTTACTGAGTCTGTTCTACGTTTCACTAGAGGCAAGGTAGTAAAAAAAAAAAAAATATAGTTAAAGGGACACTATAGGCACCAAGACCACTTCAGCTCATTGTAGTGGTCTGAGTGCAGTGCCCCCGTCAGTTTAACCATGCAATTGTAATTAAGAAACTGCAACAATTACCTTGCAAGGTTAACTCCACCTCTAGAAACGCTTCCAGGTCTTTATGCGACTTTTGGTCACCTAACAGACACTGGACGAACTCACGCTATGCATGAGGACATCCAGCATCAACTAAAACCAAATAGAAAAGCATTGATGTAATGCTTTCCTATGGGGTTGTCCTAATGTGATTGCGGTGATGGACGCGCTCGCATTAGGTCCCTGATGACGGCGATGTTAGGGGAGGAGGAGCGGAGACGGAGCCTGGCCCAGCAGCAAGGCCGAAAGGGGCACTTTATGGTACTATAGTGCAAGGAATACAATTTTGTATTGTTAACCTATAATTTCCCTTTAAAATACTTTGTGGTTGTTACTGAATTTAGACAAACATTCCGAGTCACAACTAAAGTGAATAGGGCGTTGCCAGCCAATGGCTAGCCGTTTTGAGACGAAATAAACCATTTTGCTGGCAACGCATGCAGCCGTGAACAATAATTATCTTTCATTTAAACAGAAAATGTTATGTTTCTATACCGCACATTTAAATAAGTAACCGTAGGAAGTTGTATTATGACACTTACCTGCTAGATTGGCAGCTTTCACTGTATAGTTCCTTTGCCTTTCATCAAACTCTGCTGGCACAGAAATGACAGCCTTAGAAACAGGAATGCCAAGGTAGGTTTCTGCAATATTCTTTAGCTTTAAAAGGAGCTGGGATCCAATGTACTCTGGTGTTACTGTAAAGGTTTCATTGGTTGTGATAGAGTATACTACATCTCCATTATTATGTAGAACCTAGAATTAGAGTGATAAACAAATGTAACACACACTCTATTTTCCCCCATTTGTTTAATGCATAAAACAGGAGGCGGTACAGACCTCATTTGACCAATTGGCCTAGTTGACCAATATGATTGCAAGCTAAACATCTGCAACAAACTCAACCTCACTTAAAGCAGGTTTGAGATAAAAAGCATGTGTTATTTAAGTACAGCAAGTCAGCTATTTACAAGCAACTAACTAGAACCCAGTGCTTTCTAAAGAGTCAGAATGCCAGAGCATACATGTTTAGTTTTTTGTTTGTTTTTTGCTTCATTGCCATGCTGTTGGTTACATACATGGAGGGTCAAGAATTGTGAAATGTCACTCAAATTCTTTGGTGGCTGCATTCAAAGCAGTTCATTCCGTAAGACTATTTTAGATGTAAGGAAACCATTTTCAGTTATGTATATAGAAAAGGCAATACCTTGTGAAGGTGACAGCAAAATTAAAAACACTAATTAAAGTTTATGGCGCTTTCATAAAATGAATAAATGTTTGTACAAAGAAGTACATCTTGGTTTGACAGTCCAGAGAGTGAGCGCGAGTGTGTGTGTCAGTCCATTTTCTGCCTGTAAGGCGTGGGTTCACACTAAGCATAATATGGCCATACTGTTTAACACAATTATAGCATTCCTCCTTTGAACACATTTGGGTAATTTAATCATTTAACACCATACTGCACACAACTATATTTAGTTGCAAAATTACGCTAAAATAACCAAGCTATACCTTTTGCTAGGATAATTTCAAGTTACTATAATTTGAAGGTTTATTAATAAACTCACATACAAAAAAACTCTACGGGAATGTATGGGGCTCGTTAGATACCATTAATTTAGCACTGGTAGCAAGCCGGGACAGGGAGTGACTCATAATAAGAATTTCAGAAGAATATTAAATGTCACTAACCTTGAACGGATACCTGGAACTTTCCTTTTCTAATTCTTCAGTATTAAAGATTTTTCCAATGTATCTTTTAGCATCATATATCGTGTTTTGAGGATTAGAATCAGCAAGTTCAAGACCATCATATCCAACAAAGACATCCTTTTTAGTAAATGAGACAATGCTAGGGATACTCTGATGGCCATCTTCGTCACTGATAACTTTTACTTCGCCCGTGCCAGCGTGAAACACGCCAACTGAGCAATACGTGGTTCCAAGATCGATACCAATTACTTTTGGTGTTGGCATTGGCAAATACTGTTGTGCCAAATATCCAGCTAATAGGAGTGCTAGGATAGCAGAACCTAAGTTGGTTAGGAAAAAAAAAAAAATTTTTTAATTATATATATATATATATATATATATATATATTTATTAATAAGGCAATCAATCAAACACATCACTGAAATAAAGAACAAGAAATGGCTACATGATAATGTACATATGTGGCATGGGAATGAATGTTTTATTTAGCACTGGAAGATCATTAAAGTCAAATGTATAATAAAACCACACCTTGTATAGAAAAAGGTACAATGTGCAACTAACCAATACTCCACCATTTTGCATTTAAAACAGTGCCTTGCCAGACTGCTGACACCAGTTCCAAGTTAGATAGGCAGAGAGAGGTTATTTGGGGTTTTTAAATTTGAATTCTCTTCTAACAGGTTGTGCATAAAACAAGTCTAGCAAGTTTGACAAACTTTTTTTTTTTTTTTTTTTAAATCATAGGCACGGAAAATAACTGCACGCTGAGTTCACACATAAAACCAGTTTTATAAGTGCGTTTTCTTCATATTAAATGCATGAAAGCAACAATATTACAAATTGGCTGATGGGAATTAGATATGATTTCTTTTTTCACTATTCAGGTGGAGAACCCAATCTCCCAGAACAGTACAACAAAAAAAATTATATGTTTGCACTATACCAGTACAGTTCAATTCACAGAGCAAACACTGGTGTGCATCATTTCCTACTTTGCAGAAGCAGCTGGTCTGTGACGCAACAGCACAACAATACGTACTTATAATTTGGAAACAGTAGACAACAATAATTTCACCTGGATAATAGGCTATTATAATCTAAATATTTAGGAAATCTGTACATAATTTTGGAGACAGTGGTTCTGAGTTAAAATGTAATTTTTACTTAGAAGTCAATGCAGAACAAACTGACATATGTTTAAATCTCTGCTGCTGGGGACGCTGAATTGTAAGAACGCACCAGGGCACGCTAGAAACAATAACTTCAACAAGATGAAATAATTACATTGGCTTACAGTGTCCCTTTAATAATTAAAAATGGTTTAACACTGAATAGAAGCATGGCACCAGGGAACGCCAAACACTATAAGCACTTCAATGAGATGAAGCAGTCACAGTGTCTCTTCAACTGTGCTTATATGGCTGCTTTTAAAAAGGCCACAAACCCTTTTATGAGGAATCCTAATAATGGATTATGCAATATAAACTGGACACGGGATATATGATATATATTAGATTGGGATGGATTATTATTGGGGATGGATTATATGATATATATATTAGATTGGGATGGATTATATGATATAGATTAAATAGGGGGTGGATTATAGGATCTATATTAGATAGGGGGTGGATTATAGGATCTATATTAGATAGGGGGTGGATTATAGGATATATATTAGATAGGGGATGGATTATAGGATATGTATTAGATAGGGGATGGATTATAGGATATATATTAGATAGGGGATGGATTATAGGATATGTATTAGATAGGGGATGGATTATAGGATCTATATTAGATAGGGGATGGATTATAGGATCTATATTAGATAGGGGGTGGATTATAGGATATATATTAGATAGGGGATGGATTATAGGATATGTATTAGATAGGGGATGGATTATAGGATATGTATTAGATAGGGGATGGATTATAGGATATATATTAGATAGGGGATGGATTATAGGATATGTATTAGATAGGGGATGGATTATAGGATATATATTAGATATGGGGATGGATTATAGGATATATATTAGATATGGGGATGGATTATAGGATATATATTAGATAGGGGATGGATTATAGGATATATATTAGATAGGGGATGGATTATAGGATATATATTAGATAGGGGATGGATTATAGGATATATATTAGATAGGGGATGGATTATAGGATATATATTAGATAGGATATGGATATTATTAGATAGGGGATGGATATGTATAGATATGGAGATGGATTATAGGATATGTATTAGATAGGGGATGGATTATAGGATATATATTAGATATGGGGATGGATTATAGGATATATATTAGATATGGGATGGATTATAGGATATGTATTAGATAGGGATGGATTATAGGATATGTATTAGATAGGGGATGGATTATAGGATATATATTAGATAGGGGATGGATTATAGGATATATATTAGATAGGGGATGGATTATAGGATATATATTAGATAGGGGATGGATTATAGGATATATATTAGATAGGGGATGGATTATAGGATATATATTAGATAGGGGATGGATTATAGGATATATATTAGATATGGAGATGGATTATAGGATATGTATTAGATATGGGGATGGATTATAGGATATGTATTAGATAGGGGATGGATTATAGGATATATATTAGATAGGGGATGGATTATAGGATATATATTAGATAGGGGATGGATTATAGGATATATATTAGATAGGGGATGGATTATAGGATATGTATTAGATAGGAGATGGATTATAGGATATGTATTAGATAGGGGATGGATTATAGGATATGTATTAGATAGCGGATGGATTATAGGATATATTAGATAGGGGATGGATTATAGGATATATATTAGATAGGGGATGGATTATAGGATATATATTAGATAGGGGATGGATTATAGGATATATATTAGATAGGGGATGGATTATAGGATATATATTAGATAGGGGGTGGATTATAGGATATATATTAGATAGGGGATGGATTATAGGATATATATTAGATAGGGGATGGATTATAGGATATATATATATTTATTAGATAGGGGATGGATTATAGGATCTATATTAGATAGGGGATGGATTATATGATATATATATATTAGATTGGGGAAGGATTATAGGATATATATTAGATTGGGGATGGATTATAGGATATATATTAGATTGGGGATGGATTATAGGATATATATTAGATTGGGGATGGATTATAGGATATATATTAGATAGGGGATGGATTATATGATATGTATTAGATAGGGGATGGATTATAGGATATGTATTAGATAGGGGATGGATTATAGGATATATATATATTTATTAGATAGGGGATGGATTATAGGATCTATATTAGATAGGGGATGGATTATATGATATATATGAGATGGGGGGTGGATTATATGATATATATTAGGGGATGGATTATAGGATATATATTAGATAGGGGATGGATTATAGGATATGTATTAGATAGGGGATGGATTATAGGATATATATTAGATAGGAGATGGATTATAGGATATATATTAGATAGGAGATGGATTATAGGATATATATTAGATAGGAGATGGATTATATGATATATATTAGATAGGGGATGGATTATAGGATATATATTAGATAGGGGATGGATTATAGGATATATATTAGATAGGGGATGGATTATAGGATATATATATATTTATTAGATAGGGGATGGATTATAGGATCTATATTAGATAGGGGATGGATTATATGATATATATATATTAGATTGGGGAAGGATTATAGGATATATATTAGATTGGGGATGGATTATAGGATATATATTAGATTGGGGATGGATTATAGGATATATATTAGATTGGGGATGGATTATAGGATATATATTAGATAGGGGATGGATTATAGGATATATATTAGATTGGGGATGGATTATAGGATATATATTAGATTGGGGATGGATTATAGGATATATATTAGATTGGGGATGGATTATAGGATATATATTAGATTGGGGATGGATTATAGGATATATATTAGATAGGGGATGGATTATAGGATATATATTAGATAGGGGATGGATTATAGGATCTATATTAGATAGGGGATGGATTATAGGATCTATATTAGATAGGGGATGGATTATAGGATCTATATTAGATAGGGGATGGATTATATGATCTATATTAGATAGGGGATGGATTATATGATATATATATATTAGATTGGGGAAGGATTATAGGATATATATTAGATTGGGGATGGATTATAGGATATATATTAGATTGGGGATGGATTATAGGATATATATTAGATAGGGGATGGATTATAGGATATATATTAGATTGGGGATGGATTATAGGATAAAGGTGGTCCAGCTGTCAGTAAGTTAGTCCCCAGGATGCATCATGGGAGATGTAGTTCTATCAGAGAGGTGACCTACGTTTCGGCCACAGCCACTCACCCAGTATAGTCATCTCCCCGGCCATGGAGCTGTCCGTGTGACGGTCTGTGTGCAGCCGGTAACAGCCGCTTCCTGTGTGTCACACTGCGGGATGCTGACTGTACCTAACTCCCAGCCCAGCCACTATCGCATCCACTCCGCGAACGGCATGCCGGGAAACAGAGTCTACTGCGCTGACTGGGAGAACCACCGCACGGCATGCCGGGAAACAGAGTCTACTGCGCTGAATGGGAGAACCACCGCACGGCATGCCGGGAAACAGAGTCTACTGCGCTGAATGGGAGGACCAGCGCACGGCATGCCGGGAAACAGAGTCTTCCGGCCTGGCTGGGAGGACCAGCGCACGGCATGCCGGGAAACAGAGTCTTCCGGCCTGGCTGGGAGGACCAGCGCACGGCATGCCGGGAAACAGAGTCCTCCGGCCTGGCTGGGAGGACCAGCGCATGGCATGCCGGGAAACAGAGTCTTCCGGTGTTCTAGCAAAATCCCCTAACTCGTCACTTCCGGTGAGGGGAATCAGCTGGATCCTGTGCTGCACATGCGTGCTAGCACTCCTGCTACTCCTCCACAGCAAGGTCCTGGAAGGTAAGTAAAACTAGTTTTACACTTTCCTTATTGTTAGTGCATTCACTAAGCTTAGGCACACGGGACATTTAGTGTTAATGTTAGGGTTCAAATTAGGGTTAGGAATAGGGACTTGTTCATATTTAGTGATATTTCACATTAGGGGAATATCACTAAATTGTGCTTTTTCACACTTTGTTTTAACCCTTACACCAAGGGTTAGGGTAAGAATAGAGTGTGAGAGAGGTTAAAATCACTTACCTAACCCTAAACCCTTAGGTAAGTTTGAACCCTAACATTAACACTAAATGTCCCGTGTGCCTAAGCTTAGTGAATGCACTAACTATAATGAAAGTGTAAAACTAGTTTTACTTACCTTCCAGGACCTTGCTGTGGGGGAGTAGCAGGAGTGCTAGCAGGCATGTGCAGCACAGGATCCAGCTGATTCCCCTCACCGGAAGTGAGGGTAGGGGATTTTCACGAGTAGGGGAATGTGATAGAAATTGCACCAAATTCTAAAAAGGGGGAGAGCACTTTGTAGTAAATGAATTAGAAGTGACGGGAACACAGGACACATGAACGCGTCAAAGGGCTCCCACAGAGGGACCAGATGAATAATATACAAACAAATATGTCAACTAAGTAGTTTTTGCGTGATCAAGTTATCCTAGCACATATTTCCAGTCCCTGAATTGGATGTAGAAACATAGAATGTGACGGCAGATAAGAACCATTCGGCCCATCTAGTCTGCCCAATTTTCTAAATACTTTCATTAGTCCCTAGCCTTATCTTATAGTTAGGATAGCCTTATGCCTATCCCGCGCATGCTTAAACTCCTTTACTGTGTTAACCTCTACCACTTCAGCTGGAAGGCTATTCCATGCATCCACTACCCTCTCAGTAAAGTAATACTTCCTGATATTATTTTTAAACCTTTGTCCCTCTAATTTAAGACTATGTCCTCTTGTTGTGGTAGTTTTTCTTCTTTTAAATATAGTCTCCTCCTTTACTGTGTTGATTCCCTTTATATATTTAAAAATGATGTAGGTAGACAGTGCCTTTCCTATTGATAAGTTCACATGGACTGATTATGTACACTTGTTTGCCGGGACATTTGGCATTACATAACACCATCTGCTGCAAAAACAAAGGTGCTGGGTTTTACAGTAAAAGAGTATGACTTGTGAGGAACTCTATACATTGTGGGACTTGACCATCATGTTCCAAACAGCAAAATCTTTAAAACAACCTTAGATCGCAAAAAAAAAAGGCTACAAACGGTTAACTTAAATGGTCCAGTATCCGTCCTGTTCCTTTGAATAAAAGGATCACTGATTTGTATTTGCCAAATAATCAAGGTTTAAGTGTGTGAGAGCCGCAAAAAAACAAGAACTTAAATTTTCATAGAAACGTAGGTTTATTTAGAAAAGTACAGTATAAAAAAAACCAAACAATAAAATTAATGTTTTCTTCTCAACATTTGGCGTCTCTTTCCTGCTTCTATCTTTCCTACTTCAAATCTTGTTCGTACTGATCACTTTCAAAACTGACCCAAGGTAAATGTCTGCAATTCTGGATCTGACAAGAGACTTATTTCCTTTCTTAAGTGAAAATAACTGCTCGCACCAATAAGTACTTCCAAACGTGGAAATAATTTCATATGCAAATCTTCGAGTATGTGCAAACCTGGCTGGCAAGTATTTGTAAAATTCAGGCATGCCAACTTCATTTAATTATGCTTTACACTTTTTCTCAATTACCTCCATTTGCATATGATTACGTATTGATTCTATATTTATAGAGAAAATCTAAGAAAACCTGTCTGCCAAAGATTTACAATCTGCAAACCTTGTTTCAAATTCAGTTCTAAGGTTTAAATTATTTTATTTTTTTTGCATGTTTTTGATTCGGTGCAGTTTTACGTAAAATTGATTTGTTCATGTTACATGTTGAAAAGTGAGTTAAATCTTTATTTTCAACTGCTTTTACCAAAGAACTATCTTACATTTGAATGCTTTAACTTGGTCATACATGTTCGTAATGATCTTGTCTTTTCAAGGCAGTTTTAAATTGAAATCGTATAAGTGTTTTATTATATCAACCATGAAGGATAAATCTTGCAACCATACTGGATCTGAAAACTAGCTTGTGTCTTGATTTTTAGTTATTAAAAACTGACATATATTTCTTCTTTCAAGTCCAAGAATTGTTTAGTAGGACAAACCGGAATATTTGCTTTCTAATTCACTCAAGAGTTTTTTTTTTTTGCGCAGTAATGCCACAAAACCGTTGTCTTTTTCCAATCATTAAAGGAGCTCCATCTGTAGCTACAGAAGTTATTTTTGACAGAGGTAGATTGTATTTTTGCAAAGGTTCATAAACACAGTTAAACATATCTTGTCCTGTAGTAGTGCTGTAACTGCAGGTTGTTCCCTTATTTACCAATATAATGTCTTAAAGCATAGAACTTAGTAGGGCTAACCATACAGATATCTCAGCCATAATTTTATATAGTTAGTAAGAGATCCTCTATTTAACATATATAAATAATTGAGAATACAATATAAAATAAGGATTGTCTTGGAAGCAATAGTTTTGTCTTTTTGGATATTTATTATATAAAAATATAAATATAAAATCCATTATAGCAGTTTATAAGATTAAACTAAATGCTTGTGTAGTAGATAATTTACTGCAAACCAATTAGTTTGAATGACTATCTGTTCCTGTCCAAATTAAAGATAATAAAGTTGCGTGCACGCAGAAGTAAATTCACACTGAGACACAAAGTTCAGGTTAATGAAAGAACTTCAGAGAAGTTTAATGGCTTCTGACAGAAAATGGGTGCGCAGACCCTTATAAAGGCATTATTACATCATTGAAGAAAATCAAGATATAGACAAATAGACATTGTTAATTGGCTTAGGTGCTAAGATGTTAGTAAAATGCCCTCCCTATTCTTAGGTCACTATCTACGTAATTTCTTAACTCCTACAGGTTTTAGCGCCATTTTGCTAACATGAGGAGTTCACTCGACGGGAGGGGCCTTTTGGCAGCTATCCATTTAGAGCGTAGCTGGCACTTGTTAGTTTCTCAAGGTTAAGTTTCAAGGCTTTTAATAAATACACATTTTATCAAAGCTATTTCTTGCTGACATGCAAATTCTATGTTCTATAGACAAAGCTTTCTTGTAAAACTATGGGGGCCTCTTAGAGGTATAGCAAGAGGATTTAAAGGGGCCTTACAGACTTATAGAGGCCTAATAATTCTACAACAGTCCCCCCTAAAATGTTTTTTGCTAAAAGACAAAACTTTATTTGTTAGTATCAGAAGAAGTATTAGCCCAAAGACACAGAAACCCCATGACCGCTGACTTAGTGTTAATGCAAAGTGCAAGTCTATCCCTCTCTTGACCCTAACAGGCTGCAGCACATCCGTCAGTACGGTTCAGGAACACTCTTCACTCCGCTGGTAACCCATAGTGGCTTATCCACTACTTCTCCGTACGGCAGTCTACCCATAAAGGCGGACGCTGTCCCTGTACTGTCCCTTCCTAGACTTTCTGCACTTCATCAGTATAAGGGAGAGTTTGTAGCGGAATACAGGGTGAGATGAGGTCTTGATCATCGATTGTCAGATGAGTGAAGGTTGGTGTTGCTTGGTCTACAGTTTTCTGCAGGAATTTCCTTAGGCATGGGAGGACACAACAAATGAGAAGAGCGAGAATAAAAAGAAAAATTAGTAAGGCAATACCAATCTGGACTAAAGCTCTCTGCCAACCAGTCATCCAACCAAACCATTTTTCCCAGGGATCAGTAACTCCAGAGTTTCTCTTTAACTCTTCTGAGAGTCTATTTAATTTAGCTATGGCCAGAGTGACTTTACCATTAGGACCTGTGTTTTCTGGAATGTAAGTGCAACAAGTCATAGTGTCGGGAAGTATTTTACAGACTCCCCCTTTTTCGGCTAAGATCATGTCTAAGGCCAGTCTGTTCTGGAAGGTCATTTGGGATGTGGCCTGTAATTGCTCGGCCAAGCCCTGGAGGGCATCCCTGGTGTAGTTCACGAAGCGCTGTTGGTTGTAATAGATATAATTAATCCAATTAAGGTTTTTGTTGGCAGTGACTATGGTAAAAAGTGATTCAAAACCTGCAGCTACTTCATCTCTAGCTTTAAATTCATTAGGTACCCCCCTAGGCACCCCAATGGCATCTATGTAAATGTGGGGGTCAAAACTGCCTTTTACTGGGGTTTCGCGCCTTACTCTGGCTGATGTATGTGGAGGGTCGTATGTGTCATGATGATTATCAGAAATAATATGAATGGGCATGATAACTTTGGCCAGGGTACACTCACCCCACCACTCAGTTTCCAGCCTAGATCTTAACTGTAGATCCCCACATAACCAGTAAATATCCCCCAATGACCTGGTATGGTGTTGCAACAGGCGTATAGGAACAGTTCTGTAAGTGGCGCAATAACCTTTAGAAAAGTTACCCATGAATTTACCAATCCCGTCATACATGGCATAACAAGTGTAATTACCTCTATAGACTGTGATTCCATCTGGTGGCTTAACATTTTCAACTAAGAGAGGGTATTCTGCCGTCCATGCCATGCAGAGGGACCTATTAAAGTCATATTGGTAGGCAAAAAGGCTTAAGAAGCA